GCTAAGGGAGGAAAACATCAAGATGATCAGGAGCATCATCCCGTGGAGGTGGTGGTGGAGGAGGAGGAGGAGGAGGAGGAGGAATGCCAGTATGAAGCAGTAGATGAGGAGAATACTTACAAGAGGTACTTGCACCCCGTTGTGTAGTGGTAGAGTACACTCGTCAATCTTCTTGAGACAGGACAAAATTGTCTTGTTTTCTCTGATGACAGAAGTCAACATGAGGGGAAGGAGGAGGAGAAAAGGAGGAGAAAAGTAGGAGAGGCGGAAAAGGAGAGGAGAGAAGGAGGAGGGGGAGAAGGGAGGAGAGGGAGGAGGAGAGGGAGGAGGAGGATAGAGGAGTAAAGAGGGAGGCTGAGAGAGGGAGGAGGGGGAGGAGAGGGAGGGGAGGGAGGGGAGGGAGGGGAGTCAAGAGGAATAAGGGGATGGAGAGGCGGGCGAGGAGGAAGGCTTCACTTGGAATCGTCTTCCGTCACCCCTCCCCATCTGAAGTCAATCCAAGAGAAATCGATGCGGCGCCGCGAGCAGGCCTCTCGGAACGCCGGGTAGATGAAGTTGTTGAGGTAGTCCCGCTCGCAATGCATGTCAGAGAATGTTGACGAGTTGAACACCTGAAAGGAATGTCACCTCGTCTCCCTCAGCTCCTCGACGTCAAATGTTCATCATCATCATCATCATCATCTCGTCATCATCATCATCATCGTCATCGTCATCGTCATCGTCATCTACTTCACCTTGATCTGAACTCGCTCCCCGGGTAGGAATGGCTGGAGGAAGCTTCGCACCAGGGACGCAGACATGAGGACTTGAGAGAGTTGGGGGCACTTGCTTGAGTCCATGAGCTTTTTACTTCGAGCAGTGTGAGCAGCGATCAGAGCAGGGAAGGGAGGAGAAGCAGAAGGGGAGGGGAAGGGAAGGGTAGGCAAGGGGAGGGGAAGGGCAGGGCAGGGCAGGGCAGGGCAGGGAAGGGAAGGAGGAGGGAGGCAGGGAGGGAGAGGTCGCACGTGATAGTGTCTTGCAACGTAGTGATGATGGTCTCGTCGATGAAAAGTTCAAGGATGGCGTATGTGCGTCGGTGGTTGAGTTTGGTGAGGACGACTTGTTTGGAGTCCAGGTTGAGAGCTCTCGCGACCTCTTCGAAGATGCGCTGCTTGAACTCTTCTTCTGATTGCTGTTGGTAGCAAGACAAGGTTGCATTGTAAGAGTCAAAGTGACAAAAATGCCGATGGGTTGAGAGATTGAGCGTACCAGGCTGTTCTTCATGCTGCAAACCATCGCAACGACCAAGAAGGTGCTCATGTCCTGGATCACTTTTGAACGGCTCTGCCAGACCCGAATGTCAACGTTGTTCATCATCATCATCATCATCACCATCACCATCACCACAACCACCACCATGAACATGACTACCATCATAAGCAGCAGGAGGAAGAATGTTTTGATCATCATCATCGTCATCATATCATCATATGAAATCATTTTCTCCTCTCCCTTCCTCCTACCCTTCCTTTTCCTCTGGCCTCCACTCCTCCTCCTCCTCCTCCTGCTCTTTGAGGGTGTACCAGGTACGGAAGCAGGCCTTGTTTCCTCTCTTGCAACCTCTTGCAGATCTCCTCGGCCACCAGCCGCAAGTTGATCATCTTCTTCTCTCCCGTCTCCATCCTCCTCACGCGTTCCATCAGCGACAGCGACAGCTCGACTCGAGCGAAAATCTTCTTCTGCAAGCAAAATTTCACAAGAAAGCCGCGCGCTCAAGGTCAAGATCCGAACATGGTCAACAGACTTCATCGACGCCTCGTGGATGGGGTTGACGACGCCTTGCGCGACAAGGTCGACCGCCTCTAGCTGAACGACTCTGATGATGACGGACTCTCTGGAGATAGCGACCTCTTGCTCCCTTCCCACCTCCTCGCACATGTCCATCATCGTCTTGGTGGTCTCCTCCACAAGCTGCTGCGGCCCTTTGCTCTCAGCCTCGTCGAAGACCGCCAGGTCGAACTCGAGGAACACGTGGGTCTTGTCGATGGCGTCTTGTTTCATGACCCCCATCTGCAGCAATGAGGCAATCTCTGCTACCTGTCAACCATCGCAGTCAAGACGATTGTCTTCTTCACCACGGGTCATCCTCCTCCTCCTCCTCCTCCTCCTCCTCCTCCTATCCTCCTCCTCCTCCTATCCTCCTCCTCGTTTTCGTCCTCCTCCTCCTCCTCCTCCTCTCCAGCAGCAAGGCACTCTACTTTCCTTCCTCTCACCTGCTTCGACTTCAAGGCATGGATCGACTGCGCCCTCGAGATCGTCGACGACACTCTGTCGAACTCATCCACGTTCTTCATCCTCGGCTCCACCAGCATCCTCTTCATCTCCTTGAGCTTCTGCGCGCTGTCTACGTCCCTATCTACCCTCCTCATCCTCGACAGAAGCTTCTTCAGCGGCAGCCTCTCCCCCTCCCCACTCTCCAGCTTCTCCACGTCGCACTTGTCCATCATCTCCAGCCTCAGGATGCAGTCGTACACCCGCACGAGGGAGAACTCCTCCCCGCTCTTGTCCGCACACGCCGCACACTCTCCCCTCATCTCCTCCATCATCTCCGTCGCCCTCCGCTCTATCACATCCAGCTGCGCCTGCGGCAGCTTCTGCGCTATCAGCTGACAGATGCTCACTTGGCCGACCCTCAGGTCCGCCCGGTGCGTCGTTGCCATCTCCTGCAGGAGGGAGCAAAGCTTGTACAGCTCCTGGGGCACCTGCGATCTTCCCAGCTGGAGGATGGAGGACAGAAACTCGTCACAGAACGAGTCCACCCCCATGTGGTCCAGCAGCCGGTGCAGGACGACCGGGTTGTTGAACAGCTCGAGCATCTTCTCGAAGTTCTTCATCTTCAGCTGGCGGACCGCCAGGTCCACCAGGTGCTTGTCCGGCACGTTGAAGTAAACCTTGAAGGTGTCGTGCTGCAGCGACTGCTCGAGTGCCTTGTTCGCCGACATGTTCGCCGTGCTCAGCTCGTTCTCCAGCATCAGGTTGTCCCTCGTCTTGAGAGCCTTCAGTCGTCATCCCGTCAGTCGCTTGCAAGGCAGGAGGAACAGCAACGACACGTCAAGGCAGGGGAGCAAGGGCAGGGAGCAAGAGCAAGGGCAAGCATCAGTCTCCATCATCGTCAACTGGCACGAGATCGGATCATGCGAGCAGAAAATACCTTGATGAACTTGTAGATGCTCTCCCTCGCCCTCTTCCTAATGTTCTGACTCGTCATCTTCGTCTCCAGCTTCACACGCTCGAACTCCGACACGAAACCATCGCGGACAAGAGCGAGTTGAAGCAAAAGAGCCTTCGAACACGTTACCTCTTGTCTGTTTCCTCCTCATCTCCTCCACTTTCTCTTGAGGGCCATCCTTAATCGCTCAAACCCACTCCCGCACCTCCTTTCCTCCCCCTCCCCACTCTCCTGTCCTGTCCTCTTACCGCGTTCTCTTCCAAGTTTAGAATCGTCACTCCCTTTGCTGTTCCGCGGTACAACTCCTCATACTCCGACATGCGTTTCCACGATGACGATTGCCGCATGCTTTTGATCGCTTTGCCCCTTGCAGTGAGCAGGAACTCCTCCTTTCCCTGCAGGAGAAGATGAGAGGAGGGAAGGAGTAGACGGGGAGGGATGAAGGGAGGTAGTCGAGAAATCCGGTTCGAACATGGTCACCTTGAAAGTGTCTTGCTCTTCTCCATCGATTCTCTTCTCCCATCTCAAGATGACGACATTCTGCTTGACTTCCTTGCTCAAGAACTGCAGCAAGATCAGCATCGTGTCATGCAGGAGGACCGAGAGGAGAGCGCGAGGGTCTGGGGAGTAGCAGAGGAAACGGGGGCGTAGGTAGGAGGGGAGGTCGGTAGTGCAAGATCGCAGCAGAGGAGAGAGAAGGGCGGACGAGAACAGTAAGAGGACACGGGGACGTGAAGGGGCTGGGAAGGCACCTGCGGTTTGGGGGGCTTGGGACGGGAGGTTGTGATTACGGTCCTCCAGCAAGAGACTGAGAGAAGGCGGATGAGATGGAAGGCTCAGCAACAGCGTCGTCGTTACCGATCGTCTCTCCTCGCTCGTCGCTCAGGACCGCTCTCAGCTTACATACACAAGTTGTTGAGGACAGGACGGGCTGAGACAAGGTGTAAGGGTTGACCGGGGCGTGCTGGGAGGTGGGAGCTTACTATAGCGATGTTGAAGGTACTCCTGTCTCGACGATCCGTCGTCTCTATCTGATCAAGATTGTCATTCACACGCACACGGATGTTTGTCAGATGTGCATCGTTGGCACTTAACCCCTTATCTCCTGCCTCCTCCTCCTCCTCACCAGCCATGGCAACAAGACGCAACGGCAGCCTCTGCAGCATGCTCCCGCCTTACCTTCTCACGGCGACGGACTACCTTCTCAGTCATCTCTGCAGATTCCAACTCGAGGCAATGCACATCTTTTGCCACCGCCTCCTCGAGCACGCAGGTGAGGAAGACGTCGCAGCACGTCACTCGCTCAACAGAAAAGCTTGGCAGGAATGCCTTCATCCACTGTCAGCCTTTCCCCCCCCAGGTCCTCCAACATCCCTCACCCGCCGGTTCGACGGCTCCTGCTGCTTCCCGCTAGCACGGTGACCTCCGTCCTCGCCTGAGTCCCCAAGGAGCATGTCGAGCCCCTGGAAGCTCAGTCACGCTCCCCTCATGGTCTTCTCCTCTTACTGGAGCGCAGATGTCCGTCAACCACAGGGAAGAGGAGGAGTCTTCGTGCCACAGGGACTTGTTGAGCGTGTGAACGTGCACCATGGTTCTGACTCTGCGGCAAACGGGAGGTCAGGAAGAGAGCAGAAAAGAGGAGGAGAAGAGAGGAGGAGAAGAGAGGAGAGGAAAGGACGAGAGAAGAAGAGGAGCAGACTTGTTCAGCACGTGACGGTTCTTGATTCCATGCAGCATCGCCTCCCCTTCGTCGAGGAAGGAGTCGTTGACGTCGAACACAAAGGGGAAGAGGAGGGGCCTCAGCAACTCCAGACATGCTCTGACCTTCTTGCTGACCGACGGCTCGGCAGCAGACCATCTGAAGGAGCGGAAGACATCAGCTGGACTCTTGCCGAGCGAGAGCTGGTGCAAGACGTCAAAGGTGACGTGCTCCCCGAATCTGTCAGCAGAGAGGTTGATAACGTAGTCGACGACTCCCTCCAGGTCAGAGGGAAAGTCGTCGGGCACAGAAAGTTTCGAGTCTTGAAAGAGCACGAACAGAGTCGTCTTGAGGTAGAGAGGTGAGAAATACTGAAGAGAAAACAACTCAGCGTCTTCGGAAGAGTCCTCCCCGCACACACCATCTCTTGATTGTTTGCAATCTTGGACAAGGAGCTCATAGCACTCCGCAAGGACGGAGGAATGCTCCCCTGCACCAACAAAACCATCCAAGTCAGACGAAGATGTAATCTTCCAGGTGTTCTCGGGCTGAGCAAGAGCAAGAAACAACAACGCAACACAGCTCGTCTACATCGCATGTCTAGGACATCAACATCATCTCCCATCTGCTCACGTCCGGAAGGGCTTCGGCGACGTTTGCACGCAGCATGTGCAGCCTCTCCTTCACGCTGAGCTTGTCCATCCTCGTCACCGACAGTTCGATCCCCTCGCATGTAGCAGTTAGCTCCTGTTACACCATCACGAGTCACTTCTCCCTCCTCTCATCTCCACCAGCCCTACATGGAAGCTCAGGATTGGCCCCGATGTCACGATGCAAGAGCCTGGGAGCAGGGAGCAGACCAGGCGGAGCTTCTCGACTTGCGAGCCCACTGAGCTGCCCAGTCGGTTCGAGGGGCCCAGCAGGGCTGAGACGTCGGTGCTGCCGAGCGACTCTATCATGACAAGCAGTCGCGGCAGCGGCTGACTCGCCGTCCCTCCGAGCAGCACCTGCTGCAGGTCCTGATAAAGTACCTTGTCCTTCCCCCTCACGTCCAGAATCCACTTCCAGTGAGGAGGGACTTGCTGATAGGATTCCTTGAAGAAGGCGAACAAGCGCTGCGCAAGCTCCTCCTCCTGCTCCTCAAGTATTCCCGTCTCTTGCACCCCGTTTGACGTTTTCTGAACCCCGACGGCCTCCAACCCAGCAGCACCCTCCTCCGCGCTCGCCTTCTCCCTCACAATCTGCATTTCGTCGTCAGATCGGTCAGCGTCACTTCTTGCAACTCACCCGCACCAACTCATCCAATCTCCTAATCATCTCGTCCGTCCTTGCGCCATCGTTGCACACAAGGCAACACGCGTCGAAGAGCACATAGTCGATCACCTGGACCAGGTCTAGCCCAGGTCGTCTGAACGCAAAGATTGTGTGTACGGGCTTCTGGCCGTGATCTGATCTGAGGATATTCCTCACCACACTAGAGACTACTGAAGTCTTTCCCTCTCCCCCTTCACCCTCCAGGTAGAAGATCATCAGTTGACTGTCGCTGGACTGCTCCAGGACTTGGCTCAACATGAGCTTCATGGTTTCATCTTGGATGAGGCCCTTCATAAGGCTGCACGAATGCAGGAGCTTGTCGAGGATGACCTGTTGCCTCTGCAGCTCCTGCACGTGCTGCTCGTGCCGGTTGTCCCTCCTCGAAATCTCCTGTAACACCCCGCCGCCCAAGCTCCCCGACATCGTCGACCCGCTGTGGTTGGGGGAGGAGGAGTACAGGATGTGCTTGTCAAGTATGGCATCACCGTCACACCCCAGCTTCTCTGCAAGCCACCTGACCAGCTCGCCCAGCATGCCCCCAGCACTGACGCGGTGAGAGAAGAGAAAGCAGCTCCTCTGCAGCAACCCCAGGAGGGCCTCCACCTCCTTCCCCGAGAACCGCTGCGACAGCTCATCCTGCATGCGGGGGGTGAGGGAGGACGAGAACCAGACCTCGACCCCGTCCCTCATCACCTTGACCTCCTCCTCACTCTTGTACTTGAGGGAGAATGCCCCCCCTGCCCTCATCGCCCTCATCACCTGCTCCCCCTGCGCGAACGGAACCCACAAGTCCAGCGTGACTGCCATGTCCTCAGCTGTTTGCTCAATCAGGTCCTGGAACCCCCTGGAGTCGACAAACTGCAGCACCCTCCGCTCCCCTCCCTTCCTCTCCCCCCTCCTCGCACCCGCTCGTGAGGCCTCTGGCCTCGGGTGCGAGCTATACCCCGATCGCTCGCTCTGCCTGCTCATTGCATGTACAATCCGAGCTCCCATACTCTTATGATCGATTTCCGCCATCCTTCCTACGTCCTCCACAAATTCACGAAGGAGCGATTGAAAGCCCATGGCGCAAGACAACGTTTTCGTCTCCACACGAAGCGTAACGAAGCCTCCATCTTCTCCCTTCGCCCCATACTCGAGCATGTTCACGACTCGTGACAGCAGGCCCTCAGCCCTCGCTCGCTGACCTTCGCTCAGACAGTTGACCAAACCCGAAGTTTGCGCGCGATCGATCTTCTTTTTCACCTTCAAGAGAGTCTCCACCTCCTCCAGACTCACGCTCGCCTCCCCCAGCAGACTGATGAGCTCCGGTCGCTCGCCGTCCACCAAAGTGCGCGTGTTCTTGCTCAGGGAGAGGTCCGAGCAGGGTTGCTTCAGCTCTTCAATCAGCCTCCTTGCGATCGACAGGCAGTCGCTCGCGTTGGAGGGGGAAGGAGGCCCAGCCTTAGGAGACACGCGAGCATCGGGCTTGATAATCACAATCAGGCACAAGGTCAAGTGATCGTCGATAGGATGACTCTCCACTCTGAGGACGAGACGATCAGCAGAGACGAACAAGTGGCAAGCAAACTCTTGTCTGATCTGAGCGAGAAGCAGCTCGGGGTTTGAGATCGAGTCATCACAGTCTTGCTTCATGGGGATCAAAACCTTCTTCGCCTGATTGTCTTGTACCCTGTAGGATTCCAACCAGAGGAGATGGCTATTGACGAACCCATCGAATTCTGTGACTAACGAATCAACTGTGATCGAAAACTGTGATGTCTTGCATGCTAGCAGAAATTTCTTCGCGGCTGAGCCTTCAAAGCTTCTCCCATTCTTCACTAGGTGTTGTCGGAGCAGAGACAGGTAATTTCTCCGCGACAGCGCATTGTTCGCATCGTCAGATCGCAGATGGAAGGGCTCATCTCGTACAATGCGGTCAAGAGCCTCCTCGAAACACTGAAAATCCTGCAAGATAGACCCGAGGCAGCGCTGGCTCAGCCTTCGCTGCAGGAAGAGCAAGTCCGACAGAACACGGCTGGCAGTAGCTATGAGCCGACCATCGATCAGCGTGACGATCACATGGTTGAGATCTTGCATAGACGCAGTTGTCCAGCTCCCGTCCAGCCCTCTGCAGTCAGCATAGAAGCTTTGAGCGCATCTCGCCAGTTGCTCTCGATGACTAGAAGCTAACAAGTTCTTGACTTGAGTGCAGAGCTTACTTCTTGCCGGCAACCTCAGGCTGTCAAGGGACGGAGGCCTCGCACGGCTCGCCCATGGTCTGTTCTGCTCTGTCTTTGGTCGCTTGCGAGGAGCCGTCAACGGCCTCTTTGGAATGCTTTCGGGGTTCATGTCCGGTGTAGGGGACTTCGACTCATCCCGGGAACGGGCGATGGGCTCTGCCGACCTGGGTCTTGTGACAATCCCCACGGGCCTGTCGGCCTGCATGTCGACGTTGAAGGGATCAGATGAAGCCGCTTCATCCTGAGATCAGATCAGAATGTCACGTGGCCGTTTACAAGGATGCTTAAGCACGGCTAGTTTCACCCCTGGGTAATTTCAGGATGAATATGCATATGTGCTGGGAAAATATTGCGAGCAATGCATCGAGTGTGAACAGCTTCATACACCAATCAAGAACACCTCTTCCACACTCTTATCACGGGCATTCGAAACATGGTACCTTCCACGATCGTTCGCGTGGTGTTGGGCAGAAGTCAAGTGACCACAGCGCCAAGGAGCTCAATGGACACAGGGAGGGAGGAGGACATGGAGGTATTCCACTTTGCTATCCTTACAAGGAACACGGAGAGGGAGAGGAGAAGGATGCGGCCGCCTCCCTTACCTGCTCCAGCGGTATGACAAAGACCATGGCGCTGCGATCCGCCCAAGTTGGAAAGGATTAGAACAGGGGTGCCAGAGTTGAGATGGTACTGAAAAGTGATGTGAAAGGTGTAAGGTCGGAACTATACCCTTTTTAATTAGAGATACACATGAGAAATAGGTAGAGTTTTAGGGAGAGAATCCGGCAGTGGGATAAGAGTACCCGATTAGGGGTGGGGGGTTTCTCCCTCGTATCGGTTAGCCGAGGGGACGAGGGTTCGCCACTTAAATGTATTATTACAAGTATATATCTATTTTATGATCGGCAAGTCCGAAAACTATGGACGCCGCCCGGCGAGAGGCCGCTGGCCGCGGGCCCGGGCCCGGGCAGGGGCCTGAGCGCCGGGCCGGGCGGCATCATGGCACAGCCGGGATGATGATCCGCCTTACGGTCCAGGCTGGGCCCGCACGGCAGTGTTTGACCCGGTCTCTTTACTACTCGCTACGGTTTACAGTGTTCAAAGTTACCCTCGCCGCCGTGCCGACCGTACCGTACGGCGGTGCCACGACCGGGTGATCGGACCCGGTAGTCCGTACTGCGGCATACGGTAGCCGCCGGCTGAGCCCAGCGGCCTGCTAGTACTCTCGCGGCGCGGCGGCCGATTTTTAACTTACTAAGTGTAACTTTGCCAGGCCCGGAGTGAAGCCTGATCAATTCCGGTCGGACTACCAGCCCGACTGAGCACTCAGTGACTGTCAGGGCCCGGCCTGGCGGCGGCCCGGCCCGGCCGGTCACGTTTATTTGATCAGCCTGAAATTCTGCTAGTCGAAGGGTCGCGTATGGTTGCCGTGATTGTGGATCACAGAGTAAGAGTAGCCGCTGTCGCTGCAGTTGCCGCTTTCTTGCTCGTCTTACTGGGAACAAACTTCATGGATGAAGTTGATGGTGCTGAACTGGCTAGGAAGAGCATGTCTGAACCAGTGAACTCTGCTTCTGGACTAGTTCCTGACCGCTTCCCCGCTGGATTGGGCTATACCGCACAAGCAGCAGAGGACCCTTTTACTGGGAAGCCACTTTTGAGAAGAGATCCGATTCATCCTGGGAAGGTCATACTAACGAGACTGGCGAAATCGCGAAGGGATGCTTACTATGCATGGTTGAGGCGTCATCGCAAAAACCCTCTCTTCAACAGGTTCGTTCACAACAGCCAAGAAAGTCTCGGGTCTGCATTCTCGATCCATTCGATCTTACACGATATATTTGGGACCCCGAAGAAGTGAACATTATGGCTTGAGCCACATGGAGCAGCACAGGTTGTGATACCTATGTAAATTAGTGAAACCAGAATGTCATGAGTCTCGTCTTTCCAACTCGATACTTCGGACTCTTTCAAGTTTTGTTTGAAGTCTCGATGTATTATACATTAACCTTTGCACTAGCAAGTTACTTGGAAATCCTAGAGATTCCCTTACACTTCTCTCTATACAGCTGTAGATGCAACTAGTCTCCTGTCTGTGCACGGAAGCACGCATACATCTTGCCCTGCACTCGATGTTAGCAACTTCATACAACAAATACATTAAAGTTCATCACCTTCTTTCAAGTCCATTACGTCAATATTCTTATTGACATTCATCAGTTTCTTGACCGTCGTCTGAAATCGAGCTGCAGAACATCTTCAATACCGAATCATTCAGTCGATCTCAGAGAGTATGTGACCTGCGATCACTACAAGCGTGTCTCCCCTCCGAACCTTGTAAATTGAGCCGATCCTAAGCACCACGTCGGAATGCAGCACAGCATTCGGCTGAGGTAGCCAAGGATTCAGATTCCACATCCTGCGCCAATTTCGATCCAGATGATACCTGCAGATGCTCAGAACATTTGTTTGCGTGCTCAACAACTTACTGGCGTGCAAGCGATTCTAGAGTCATCCCCTTGTTGATGTAGATGGAACAAATCGAAACTGTTATTGACACGCAGGTGACAGCTCCTGGCCCAAGATAACCACTATCCGTGCAGCCGTAGCATAGCCTGATAATCTTTCCATCATCCAATGCCGCTTGAGCCTGGTACGTCAACGTGGTTTCCACAGACTTCGTTGTGGTTCCGACGTTCACCACTGCATCCACCGTCAAGCAGTCGCTCAAACCACACACATATTGCTGCTCGACTTTTTTGTCAAAGATAGTTGCATTGACAATGTAGACAAGAGGTGTCAAACTTGACTGCGAAGAAGCGTTGATGCTGCATGTCATGGTGTGTCCTAACAAGGCCTGTCCTGGAGCAAGGTACACCATGTCGGAAGCAGGTGGGATATACCGCCACATCGGGTTTGTACTTGAGACAGTGAAGGTAAGTGTATAAGTGTGGACCGGACAAATGTTGATGGCACCCGGCGTTCCGATGACAAACTCCCCCACATGTTGCGCTCCCTGCAGCCCCCGAGTCGGCATCCACTGGACTTCCCAAGTCTGCGGTGTTGTGCTAGAGACAGTCATCCCGATGGGGACACCAGGATCGACCGTCGCCTGAAATGTCAACGATGTTGAGAGGGGGAGATTGATTTGAAATTGGATCAATTCGTTGACACTGACACTGTTAACATAAGTGCACTGGGTTTTTCCATCGGCTGTCGTGCAAGAGAATTCCTTGATATTTGAAAATGGATTCTGTAAATTGGACAGAGAAGAACACTGCACGAATTTGATGCCTAGGTTGTTGCATTCAGGTATCGTGCATGCGGGAGGCTGAGCTTGATCTTGACTCGAGAACTGGGCAGTTTTCGCACAGGTGGGGACTGTGATGGCGGAAGTTCCTTTCTTGATGTCGGTGACAGAAGCTGCAGGATTCAAATATGTGCCAATATAAAGAGTTCCAAACATGGGCTCAGCTCTGTACATGTTTGAAATGGTTAAATCGCAGCCATTGGCAGAAGCATCGAGAGCGTCCGCCGCCTGGAAACCTTGGAGTGCAAAGATGAACAAGAACAGCAAGAAGATGGATGAACTGGGGAAGATGTGTGTAGCGAGGGATGGAGGGTATGATGAGGAAAGAAGAGAGATTCCTAAGTGAGCGGAGGAGCATCTTGCTGCTTTACGGCGCCGCGGTTTCATATCACGCGGCGCCATAGTGCCAAGAGCCATGGGATGATAATGAAGTGGATTTTTGTCAAGGGTTCTATGCCGACAACAACTTCGTTATATTGTTCCAAAATATATTGTCAAATGTTCAAATTTTAATCAAAATGTTTCTTCACAATTTGATTCGTGAAAATGAACTGGAGGACAATTGGAAAAACGAACATAAATAGGAGAACGATCTTTCAAAACTAGAGAAAAATTTGAAATATAAAACTTAAATTTAGCAACAGGACGAAAAATCCCTAAAAAGAATTGGTAAGTTTTGCTGCTCGAAAAACTCTTGATAAGTCGATCATCCCTCTATTTGACCTTCATATCTGAAATCTCATCTCGAACCTCCTCCCCGTGGATGGTTTGTGGACCGCGTCCCCACACACACCCAAGTTACGGACCCACCCTTTGCACCACCCCCAGCTTGACCACCCCCACCTTCAACAAAGCTTTCGACTTGAATACAACCCATCACAACTAACGGTACCCCCTAGCCCCTGGTGATGCAAGGGGTCCACCCTGACCCTTCTACGGCAGTTATATTCCGTAACCAACGGTGAAGAGTCACCACCGAGAGACACTCGCCATGCTCGCTAAGCTGTGGAACGCTGCCAGCAACGACGCCGTCGGAGGTGCATCTCACAATGCTTTCCACACCAACGCTGCCAAGTCCATCTATGCAGAGTACAGGTCTATGGGAAGCTCCGAGAGGAAGGACAAGCTCGCTGCCTCTCGCTGCACTGGGCTCGTGTCTGGGCTCCGCCTTGCTGCTCTCAGCCGCCCGGACTTCTAAAGCGCTCGTTGCCGGCAGCATTTCAAGAGCGATTGAGTTCAAGTTTGCTTGATTGGATTTTCTCATTTCCGTGCTCCTGCTCACCAGACAGAAGGCAACATTTTTTTCTCTCTCCCCAAGTCTTTGATTAAAATGTGATCCTCACAAAAAGATGAAGTTGTAGTTCATGGATTTATTGGAGTTCACAGCTGAAAGCTTACATACATATGAAGGGGGAAAGTTAGACCTTTCTAGATTTTCTTTGTGGATTTTTAGAGCATTTTTAGAGCATGATCGCGATCTCTTCCGTGTTACGGAGACAAGCCTGAGCATGTGGAGGAATGATATCTGTAACATACCACCCTACCATTTCGCACGTATACCATTCCATATCGGCATTGGATATGGTTTTGGAAACCATCTCGTAGACGGATCTATGCCTAAAATGTTGCTCGCCTCTGCAGGATCGACGTCGGTAATGAATCCATCTCCTGTAGAAAATCATTCAGAAGCTAGTCTGATACAATTAGTCTGTATCAAAGTAGATCTCTGTGTGAGCAGTTCAGATGAGACTGCTGATGTCTTGTGCTGCATTGTGACAAGATTGGTGGTGGGCATTTCGATGAAGTCCACCACGATCCACGCGGGATGTACACGAAGGGGCGATGCAAGCGAGACACCGGGCAGCAACATGCACAGGAAGAGGACTCACCTTGATTGACTAGGGCGTAGCCGCTGCTATCGAAGAAGACGAAGCCCTTGCTGGTCAGGTAGATCTCGAAGTCCTGCTGTTGCTTGTTCGTTAGGAGGATGTGAGGGCCCTTCGGTCGAAACACCCAGCTCCCTATCTCAAACGGGTTGCTCCCTATAGGCTTGGCAAAGGAGAGCTTCTTCATCTCCTCTGCCAGGGTCTCGTTGTCCCATTCGGTCAGATTGCCGGTATACCCCTGGGGCCAGACGGTAACGACGTCGTTGCCGGCCATGTCGTACGTGGTTCTGAACTGTCCTCCGCTCGCTCCCCACAGCTCTATCATGATGAAGGGCGGCTCTCGGTTCATGAGCATGGTGAGCGTGCTCTCGAGGTCATCCGGCACCGTGTGGATGTCCCAGAACTCTGCTGCGGAGTCGAGCCAGCGATCTGACATGGATCCTCCGCGCAAGCGCACGACCTCACCCGGACTCGTCGCACAAGATGGACGGGGAACATGCTGGACCATGGAGCTCTCGGCTTCGCCCCATCTCATTGCGAGGAAGTAGACGAGCATGATCGTGAGCTTAGAGCAAGAGCTTGTCGCTCTTACGAGCATCGTTGTCAAATAAGAAGGGGATGTTCCAGGTTCAAACAAGCATTCAGATTGCAGGAATGGAGAGCACGGTGTACCTCTACCTCAGCACATGCCTCCGTCGTGCTCATGCCCTGCCCTGCCTCCCAGACGCGACCCAGCATCATATCCCCGACGCCGATCCGCCCCAACATGGCGACACATCTGCCACTGAACCTTTGTTGGCCCTCTTCCCCGCTCATTCCTCCTGACTTGAGTCCCTTCAAAGAAATCCATGGCGAGGGTGACGGGGACCCTGGCGCTGGTGCTAGCAGGGATGATGGTGGGAGGAGGAGGGAAAGGTGAGGAGTTCGAGCAAGTCTCAGAATCTCTCTGATTCTTCCCCTTCCTCCTGCCCCCGTCTCCCTCCAGCATCCCTGCTGATGAAAGGGTGCCGATGCTGTTGTGTACTGATTGTGTTGGTGGCACAGTCGCTAGCTCGAGGGGTGTCGTCAACAACAAGTTCTTCACCTTCACACCCTTAAGCCTGCGATCTGATGGCGAGCGCAAGATGAAGCCATGCTGTGTCTCATGGCCTGGGGGGACTTACCAGGCCGCGGATGGCACAATCACTGGGTCGGGAGATGAAACCTTCGATGGCAAACTGGTGCCTTCCTGCCTGAGTCTTGAGGGCTGATCTGATTGACTTCTCCTGCGCAAAAGGTTGTGGACGGGACGAGCGGGTGGATCAGGAGCATCAAGGGATGGACATGTGCACAAAGTTTCTGTGTCCATGTTGCATCAGGGAATTGGACCATTGCAGACTGCGGAATGAAAGTTGAAGGTGGCAACACGATGCCAGCCGCTATCGTTCAGGTTCATCAGTGAGATGTTGCCATTCTGTCTGATTCATGAGCAGACAGATCGAGATGCTTCGGTGCTGCTGCAAGACTGCGATTTGAATGGTGCATGGTCTGCTGGTAAATGAGTTTATGTTCTATACGTGGAATGGTGGTGGTGATTGAGATGATGATGATGATGATGATGATGATGGCGATGATGATGATGATGGCGATGATGATGATGGCGATGATGATGATGGCGATGATGATGATGGCGATGATGATGATGATGATGATGGCGATGATGATGATGATGATGATGAGGAGGAGGAGGAGGAGGAGGAGGATGACGAAAATAACGATGATGACGATGATGATGATGATGAGGATGATGATGATGATGAGGAGGAGGAGGAGGATGACGATGATGATGATGAGGATGACGATGAGGATGACGATGACGATGACGATGATGATGGCGATGACGATGATGATGATGATCAGATACAGCGGACGACGATGACTTACAGCAACAAATATTTGGGAAAGACTCTGAAACATCCGTCATCTGCGGCGTTGAGACGCTTGCAGAGTCGTCGTTGGTCGTCAACAGAACAACATTTCAGGCACGAAAGTAGTTTGTTGTTCTTCTCTTGGTTAGAGGAGATCCAGAACTTGAGAATGGAAGGATAGTCTTTGCGCGTTAGAGGAGATTTTTGTGATGGAGATGGATTCTTCCCTGACTCTTGTTTCCTTCCAACAGGGGTTCGCCTTGGGTTGCTCGAGCTCAGCACAGTCTACAGCGACTTGTCTCGGTCAGCCCTGCTACCCTCTGTTCGACGCTCTCTGACATGTAGCCCAAGCCTCTCGCTTCAAAGACTGTGCCGTCTGTCTCTGCCTGGAGGAGCAGAGCAGGTGCTTGGTTCGAGACTGTCACATGCAAGCAAAGTTGGGAGCAATCTGCACCAAGACTGAAGATTGCAGATGCGATGTTGATGAGTACAGCCAGTTCGATGGCCCGAAAATCTTTGTTGCCCCCAGTGCGACGCTGAGCAACCTGCCGGATCTGAACGACTTCCCCCCCCCTGCTGGACTCCAGCAGGTCGCAGAGTCGAGCGGAGCTTTCACCCACTCGCTGCAAGAGTACGTTGAGAGGGAGGTGATGGCGGCGAAGGATCATGCCGTCGTCACGAAGAACCTCTCGAGCTGGGAGTACGTCGACCTCGTCCTTTCCAAGGTCTCGGCGAATCTCAGCGAATGTCCGCCCGAACTGCAGGAGAAGCTCGTGAGGAAGTGGGAAGGTGTAGGAGGAGGGAGACCCGGGAATGGATCTGACTCTGCTTGTCAGAGCTGTTTCTGTCGCCCGTGGACGAGGAGAGGTCAGCGGGGATCCTTGACGGCCTCGCGCCCGAGGACGAACGGTACGTGACATGTTTGACATTTTGACGTCTCTGCCGCTGGTTGCTGATGAAGGGGAGGAGGGGAGAGAGGAGGGGAGGTGATCTTTCCTCCATAGCTTCCAGCAGTGGAGGAGCGCGTTCAAGTTGACGTCTTCCCTGCAAAGGCAGATGATTGCCAGCGCGATGCTGGTGAGCGAGGGAGGAGGCGAAGGGAGTTCCTCCTGCTCACTGGCTTCCAGCACATGGACTCCCTCAGGCAGAGAAACGCATCCCGGGATATGGTGCACGAGGAAGAGATCCCACAGCGTGATCTCTACCAGTTGCTACAAGGCAAAGGCAATGGCGAAGGTAGCCTTCCTTCCCCCTCCCTGTTGACTCCACGAATGCCTCCCTCCTCTCCTCGTTGAAATCCTCCTGTTCTTCTCTTGTCCTTGGTTTCAAAGATGTTCTCCTCCTGTTCCTGCTCCCCCTCTCCGCTCCTCCTGCTCCTGCTCCTGCTCCTGCTCCTGCTCCTGCTCCTGCTCCTGCTCCTGCTCCTGCTCCTGCTCCTGCTCCTGCTCCCTCCCTCCTCAAACAACGGCAGCTGCGGAGGACGGCTTCATCAAGTGGCGTCCCAACAGGAAGTTGAGTGCGAGGGAGGAAGCGGAGAGGAAGAAGAGAATCTTCTGGTCCACCCTCAAGCTCATCAACGAGACCTCTCCCCACGACCTTCAGCTCGTCAAGTCGCTCTCCTCCTGGTGTGCTTGAACCTACACTTGCGCCCGCCCACCGTTGCCGCTCACTCCCTCTCCCTTCTTGCCGCTGCTCGTTCTCTTCCTCCTTCCTCCTTCCCTGCCTGCCTGCCTGCCTCCCTCCCTCCCTCCTTTCCCTGCTCTTTTCCTCCCCCGTCCCTCTTCCCCCGTCCCTTCCTCCTCCCCTTCTTGCTTCACGATCTGATTTGCTATTTCCTCGTTTCTCTCTTTCTGCCTTCTTTCAGCCTGATGAATATGACGGACTCCGTCTCCTTCGACGATCCCAAGCGCAATATGCTCACTTCCATTCACCACCTGCTCTCCGAATTCAACCAGCTCCGAGGTAACTCAAAGACAGACAGACAGACAGACAGACAGACAGACAGACAGTCAGTCAGTCAGTCAGTCAGTCAGTCAGTCAGTCAGTCAGTCAGCCAGTCAGCCAGTCAGTCAGCCAGCCAGTCAGTCGCCTCCATGTTTCTCATTGTTCCTCCAGGAGCCTCTCCTGATGCCGTGGGCGGGGAGGAGGGGCCTGGGCTAGAGGAGCCAGCAAGCAAGAGGACGAGGAAGGAGGAGGAGCTGCCTGCAGGTTGGGTGGAGAGAATCTCCAAGAGGACGGGAACCAAGTACTTCCTTCACCTCAGCACTGGGAGGTCGCAATGGACAAGGCCGGAGAAGGATGAACGGATACATGCTTCCCTGCCTACTCATCCTCCTGTCCCTGCTCCTGTCCTCCGTCCTTCCGTTCCCCTCCACCCTTCTCTTCCTCCTCAAGGTTCCCCTCGTCCTCCACAGGACCCAAAGTTTTATTAAGAGCAGGAAGAGATTGTTTTCTGCACTTTGAATGGCTTGCACTTGTGAGATCCAAATCAAACTTTCTTCTGCAGCGCGCAGGAGGGCTGTGCCAGGACGAGGAAACGAGATTTCACCAAGGAGAGGAGGGGAGAAGGGAGAAGAGAGAGGAGGAGAGGACAGCGGAAAGTTTTTAAGATTTCTTAAGATGAGGATGAGGAGGATGAGGATGACGGGCAGGAAACATGCTGTGCAAGCAGATGCTGGTGATGACGAGAGGAATAGCCACCCAGGTCATGACGGAGATGCTCTTGTTGTAGATGAAGCTCTACAGGAAGAAGAGGGGGAGGAGCGGAGGAAGAGAGGAGGGGGGGGGGGGGAGACAAGGGAGAGGGAAGAGGAGAGGAGACAAGAAGCGAGGGAAGGGAGGAGAGAAGGAGTGAAGGAAGGGAGGAGAGAAGGAATCGGTCAGGTCAGCGCATGAGCGTTGAGTTTAGATCTGTCCAGACCTGCAGGAAGGTTGTGATCAAGATCCCGAAGATTGTAGCGAATCCCTTCTTGACTCCTCCTCCATACTTGGTCACCTGTCCTCTCCATCAGTCCATCGCTCCTCGCCTTCTCTTCTCCCTCCTCCACATTCAATCTTCCTTTCCCCGCCACCATGTTTTTCCTCCTCCCCACCCCTCTGCTTTCTGCTCCTCATCTCCTTCCTCCTTCCTCTCCCCCGCCTTGCCCCCTCTCTCTGGCTCTTGACCTGCCCCACGAAGATGCCGCCCATGGCGTTGGTGAAGACAGGAAGCGAAGTCATTCTCGTCCAACCCCCGAAAACTCCTCGAGTTAGCATCGCCTCCCGGTCCTCATCGAACCCCTGCTCAAGCTGTCAGCAGACTCTCCTCCCTTCTCGTTCCAGAGTCCCTGCCTGCCTGCCTGCCTGCCTGCCTCCCTGCCTGCCTCCCTCCCTCCCTCCCTCCCTCCCTCCCTCCCTCCCTCCCTTCATGAACCCTTCGTTCGTTGCATCTCTTTCTTTGCCTGCTCCTGCTCCTGCTCCTGCTCCTGCTCCTGCCTCTTTCCGACCTCCGGGTAGATGAAAATCAAGGCGGAGAGGGAGATAATGCTGTACGTCGCGATCTCCATGGTGTAGAGGTAGCTGTTTCTCTTGCTCCTTTGCAGCGCCACCTGACTCAGCCCTCCTGCCAGCCCTGAGGTGACGGTCAAGGGAGCGAAGCCGAGCAAGCGAGGAGGAGGAGGAGGAGGAGGACAGGAGGAGTACAGATCAAGGCATAAGATCAGCGACCTGACATGAGACTGGCTCCGAGGACGGGTATCACCCCCAACCAGAAGTCATTGTGAATGTCATCCTCGTCGTTAGAGTTGGGGTTCTTCGGCTCGCTGCCATCAGCTTTCAGACCAACGCCTCCGTCCTCCTTCCCTTTCTTCTTCCTCCTCCCTCTCCTTCGCTCTCCTCTGCTGCTTGTGCTGCTTGCCGGCCCCCAGCCCTCTTCCTCCTCTCTCTTCCTCTCCTGCGCCACCTGCAGAGCAGAACCGCAGCCACGAAGAGAACAGCGAGAGCCAACACCTGAGGTGAGTTGAGAGGCCATGCCATGCCAAGGCACGCGGAGCGATGCGAGGAGAGACGAGGGAGCGGGAGGAGGGAGGAGGGGGGAAGACGGAGAAGGGGAGAAGGAGAGGGTAGGTAAGGATCAGAAAAGGATACAGCTGGCAAGGAGGAGCTAAGAAAAGCGAGAGGGAAAAAACAAGGAAGACGAACTTGCAAGCATACCTGCATGTGCGATTGGCGAATCCCCATCAGCTGATAGATAAAGAACGCCATGAAGAGAATTTTCGTCTGTGAGAACCAACAGGTCCGTCAGGAAGCTGACTGGCATGCCGATCTGCTCGCCTATCACCTGATTCAGGAGATTGAAGGTCAAGAAGTCCAGGTTCTGATACCCCACCTGCGAGCTCACGTCAGGAGGGTCCCAGAGCTCTCGGAACACCAGTGGCCCTGCATACCTGCGTCAGGAGGTTCTGAACCGCATAGATCAGCGCAGGGAGGGCGGCAAACTTGAGACTCTCTCTCAGACGGAATCTGCATCCTCATCAGCATGCAGCACAAACGCAGCACCAGCTCCCTCTCTTGCTTCCTCCCTCGACTCCCTCCTCCCTGCTCTCGCTCCCTCCCTCCCTCCTCCCTCCCTCCTTCACCTCCCACCTCCTCAACTCTTCGACGATGGTTGTCGGGTCGAAGATGAGCATCACCACGGCGATCCCGAGCTTCATCAACTGGGCGGAGACGTCGAGGGCAGCACGGTTAGCCTCCTCTCCTTCACTCCGCTGCTTCTCACCTCCTGCCCGAACACCATCGATGACAGCGTGACGTTCTTTCGATCAATGCATTCTTTGAACAGCAGCGGCTGCGGCAACAGTCAGCTGATCCGCCCTCCCCGCCACCCCAACCCCCGGTTCCTCCTCTTTCCCTCTTCTCCTTCCCATCCTAACTTCCTCTTCCCCCCTCCTTTTCCGCCCTCGCTCCCTCGCTCCCCTTTCCAGTTCCCCCGCTCCTCGCTCCCAATCCTCCCCGCAACCCCCCCCCAAAGCGTCACCATGATCTACACAACCTGAAGGCCGAACTGAAGGGACAGGAGGACCATGAAGAGCGTCGCTCGAAACTCTGAGTTCTCGCTCGCATGCTTCTTGGGCGCCGCAAGTTTGCTTTCCGTTGCCATTCACCTGACGCTAGAATGCAAAACTACAAAAAATGTCACTGTGACTATCCCAGCTGGAATCGCCGACACAGACACATCTCTGCATTCTGGGCGCATCACAACAACATCACGCGAACGACTCGTGCTGCACTCCCCTGCTCCTCTCACGTCTTCGTCAGGGAGGCGACCATATCAGAATCTCTCTCGTCTGATTGCTTCCTATGAAATTAGGAGGCAGGGGGCGCTCGTGAAGAAAGCATGACGACGATCGCTGCAGATCCATCTAGAAAATCTGATTGCAGCTTCAACTAGCAAGGTCTCCACTAATTCTCACAGGGCGATCAATCGATTTTGACCCTCCTTCATTCAGATCCCAAAACCTCCGTCATCCTCCGTTTCAGAAGTGCACATGGTTTCTAATCCACTCCGCATTCACGTCTTGACTCTCTTGCGTCCTTCTTGATCGAGAAACTCCTTTGATCTCCTGTATTCCGCATCCCCTCCTCCCTCCCTCCTCTCCTGCTGCACTTGCGATACCACCCTGGGAGCAACATGACTGCCCTAGAACAGTCTCCCCATGTCTGTACTTCAGTTGCTGTTCTTCTCGTCACCACGCATCTCTCGTCCTCTCTTGCCTTGCCTTCCCATGTTTCTGCTGTACGCTCCCTCCTTGTCTCCGTTCCTCTCTCCCTCCCTCTCCCTCCTCCCTCCTCTCCGTACCCGATCATGGATCCTGGGGCCGACCTCAGTAGGCGGTCAGGGGTGGGGGTTCAAAATAGGGGGTAGGGTACTAACAGAACGGGTCATCGTCAAAGACTATAGTAAAATAGGGGTACTTTCCTGGGGAAATAGGCGGTACATTACTGGAAATGGGTACATACCCCAGTATCAATGATTGGATGGACTTGACAAGGGGTGGTTTTGAATGAGGACTACCCTACACTTGGTTAAGATTGGAGTAGGGTAGGGTGGCAATGCACTGATAATAGTGACAGAGCTGAAGAGACATGGGAGGGAGGGAGGGAGGGAGGGAGGGAAGGAGGGAAGGAGGGAGGGAGGGAAGGAGGGAAGGAGGGAGGGAGGGAGGGAAGGGGGAAGCAGAGTAAGCTGAGGATGAGAAGAGATACAGATGCGATGATGAAGAAGTGAAGAAGGGACATATTTCGATCCAGAACACCCGAAAGAACCACAAGATAGGAAAACAAAATTTGACGAGTTGTTGGGAATGATGTTGCTTTGAGGAATGATGTTACTTTTGCAATCCATTGGGGAGAACAAGAGAATTTCATTTCGTTTTTTTGATAAAATGTTTCTGACATTGTCTGTTCCTCTCCTCTCATCAAAGATCGTCAAAACATGGCTCCATGGAGGTGTGCGAGTTTGCGGACGAGCAGGTATGGTTGATTGAATCTCGTGGCGCAGGGGGCAGCTGTTGTTATGTTGCGTCTTGGCATTTCTGCTTCCTCACACGCTCGGAAACGTAAGTCCTGCTAGTACGTTCAACCGCGTGTCTGACGGCAAGGTTGACAACCACAGGTCATGAACGAAGCCAAGATCTCGCGGCATCTTCTCCAAGCTGAGAGTCTCGCGAACGCAGGTAAGATCGCCTGCCTTCCTCTCCTCTCAGCTCGGAGGTTCCAATCAGAAGCCTTGAGCATCCTGTTAGATTCCTCCGCACGCAAACTGACCATTCTCCTCCTCAGGCGGGGTCTGGCACTACAACGATGCCGCTGCTCCAATGGTGGACGGTGAGTGGGATGATGTGGATTGGATACCTTGGTCTTATGGCTTCATGGTTCTGCCCAGACAAGTCGATCAGGATGGCTCGGCAGATGGAGATGGCTGACGCTGGTTCCGATGCTCCCAGCGAGGCGGTAGAGGACGGAGGATGTGCGAGAGAGTGTTGGGTCTCATCGCTGCCTACCAGGAGGAGGCTGCTGAGGCAAACGCTGACTACGAGGACCACAAGTGACGCCAGCTGCTAACAGCCTGCTCTGCTGTTGACTCTCCTTCAGGAAAGTGACCGCCGAGATCGTCAAGAGGATCACAGAGCCTTTCAAGGACAGGAATCCTGTCTACTTCTTGTTAGGTACTCGGCGGCAGGTGTGAGGGTATGGAGGTGCCGTTTACCTTTCTGCCATGTAGAGGGCTTCATGGTGTGCGGGGTTGTTATCCTGGGGTTCTGGGTGTCAGAGAGGGTAAGGTGCTCGCTACTAGTGTGCTCGGTGATCACTGCTGGCAGTTGTGGTTGAAGCAGAACCTCTCGCTGGCCTCGTTCTGGGACCCAGAGATCGACAAGAGGATGTACCCGCTCTTCTAGACCCTCACGAGCCCAGTGTATGAATTCCTTGTGTGTAAATATACAGTAGCAGATCATCAGCTCTCAAGCTCCTTGTTGGATGAGAATTTTTAATAACATTCTTGTACCGGCTTGATTACCTTCGGGCCTATTGCAAGATGTATCACCCAGTGCAGATTCCTAGACGGTCGAGTGCTTCTGCAAACAAACCATCGTTGCTTGGAATGTCTTGAATGACTTAGTCCTCGAGATCTTTTTCGTGTAAGACTGCTGGCTTGCACGCCTGTTTCAGCTCCAATGGGCTGGAAGAAACTGAAATTTTGGTTCTGATAATAGAGCTCAAAGATCGCGACATTGGTTGGGGAGCTCACCTTCAACGTGCCGTTCGAAGCCTACCCGATGAGCTCAGTCATCAGGGTCATGGGCTTCCGGCTCAAGGACCCTTCGTGCAATGCCGAGATGGCAAGGGTACCTTTCACAGCACAGCACAAAATCAAAACATATGGACAAAAATTCAACAGATATCATAGGGAGAAAAGGGGCGTGCCAAAATTCCCCATGATGCCCACCTCGTCAAATATCGATGAGAACTTGATTGAGTCGAACGCTTAACCAGTTCTGATTGATTTCACATTCCCGCTGTACACTTAGCTCTTGAATATTCGTTTTGAATAAGCCAAATTGACCACTTCCGCTTTGTTGGACCACAGCACACTGCAGACTGCGTCGTAGGCGCGGCGAAGTTCAGCTGACGCATCTTTCGAAGCAAGCATCGCTCGGCTGCTGCAAGTCATGTATCCCTTTCCTGAGCTATAAATAACTATGGTGATGAACGGGTTCAGAGCAGACTTGATTTTGAGGCCAGCAAAGAACTCAGGCTCATAGGTGACGTTGAAATCTCTGACCAGAAACTGAAAGGCAGATTCGAGCTTGATACTGATCCCCAGATCAAAGTCCAACTTGCCCATTTCAATTCGAATACCGTTTTCATCAGCGGATTCTAAAATTCCCAGGTCCAACCTGTCCGGTGCAGACACAGCGTATGACCTTCGTCCAAGCCTGTCCTGAGTGAAGGCGTTGCGAATCCTCATGATAGCTTTGTCTACCACATACAACAGCTCCTCATAATTCTTGGCTCCAGATATTGACATCATTCCATTGGAAAAGACAGACACGTTTATCATTCGCTTGACACCTTTGCTCGGCACTTTGATGAACATGCTCATCATGTTTGACATAGCGCGACGTTTGCGGCTCAAATTCCCTTCGAATCTCAAACGCCCTCGTGGATCAAAAACACAATTTCCACCAGGCAGCGATTTTGCAAGCACTTCAAGTTTCACAGCGGACTGATTTAACCTTGCACTCGCTGTCATCGTCGAGAACACTAATGAGTCCCTATGGATCCTTTTGGCGAGTTTCACTCCACGAGCTCGCGAGACCTGGACAGGTTCACTTGATTCCTTCAGCCGATAGCTTTCTGTGCTCTGTGTGCAAGGTTTGCTCGAGCATCTTCTGTCATCTTCACACGGTGATTGAAATGTGAAGTCACACTTCAAGCCGGGCAGGGCGGAAATGTACGCCTCGTCTGCATGGATCAAATCCTCCTGACATGTAGTCTTGGTCTTAGACCCCTCTTCAGGTATCCAAGACTGAGTATCCCAGGGATAGGTGGAATAGGTGGGCGAGGACATGTTACCTCAGCCTCTTTGTCGCAAATACTCTACTTTCAGATACCCATCCGGTTAAACCGAAATTTTGATTCTTCAACTTTATCGACAGGAGCTGGAGTTCAGTTTTAAAATAATCTCTGTACCTTAAATACCAGCGGATGCTGACTGAAATGGGAAAACGTCGAGGCTCCAAAGAAAGGGCTGCAAACACAGTGCAAGGATTTTGTGTGGGGAAGCGAAGTAGTGAGGAGTCGAGAGGGAGGAGACCCAGGGATGGAGGGACCGGAGGCCCAGAGGTGAGTGAAGCAGAGAGGGAGGAGAGGGGAGGACGAGGAGCTAGAGAGCAAGGGGCTCGTGTCAGGAGCGGGAGCTTCAGCACGGGATCCTCAGTGGAGCCGCATGGCGCGACAGAGGAGAGGCACGTGGACAGGTGGTGAGGAATTGGGGGATGCCGGGGGTAGGGGTCATGAAAGTACGGGTATTGGTTCCACATCATGAGTAGTTTGAAATATTTGTAACGATGTTTGAAATATTTTTTGGTCAATTTTTCAAGTGTAAAAATATATATTGGTAATTTCAAATACTAGATGGGTGGTATGCCAGGGACGACCAAAGCAGCGGAAAGCGCGGGGCAGGCTGTCCCTGAGGCGGAGTGGGCAGGGAACATGCAGGGGGCTGTCTGTCCCGGATCGGATCCGACTCAGCCTCCGCCGTGACGGTGTGCCGCCCGGCGGCGGCCCGGCCCGGCCCAGGAGTCACCGGCCGGGCCGCCCGGCCGCCGCAGTCCGGGGAGCGGGCCGGCAGTGTCATCGCACGCCGTGCAAGACGGTTGCCGTCACAGATCGGACTCGGACTCCGAGTCCCGGCCCCGGAGTCGGAGCTGCCTCATGAAGAACAAGAAGGCATTGGATATCTTTTTCTTTTGCCGGGCCAGTGACTGTCACGCCGGCCCGACCGGGCCCGGGCGATACGCCGGGTCACTGTCCGATTTGACTCAGATCCGATTATAGTACCGCCGGACGCGGCACGGGGGCTGCGGGCGGCCGCGCACTGCCGCAGGCCGGGCCCGGCCGGGGCCGCTTGCCACGCCCGGCCGGCACCGTTTCAAACTTTCCGACGGCGGGGCTCCGGTGGCACGGTGCGCCGAAACTAGGAGAGAGACTGAGTTCGGAACATCCGATCCGTTTCCGTTGAAGGCATTTTGTATTTGACTCAGTGAAGCCTTTCAGTACTCAAAGTGAAGATCTCGGGCAGGCCGCCTGTGCGACACTGGCCGGGCGGCAGTGAGTCCTGCGGCAGGGCCCGCCGGGTGAGGCTGATGATTGTTACATGGAACTTGTACAGTGATGGACTAACTCTTTCTCGAGAGCTCTTCCTTACGTCAATTGTAAAACGATTTCAAGTGCCACTGAATAGCACGACACTGTTGAACAATTCGGCCAGACTCAATACATCAAGAATTTCGCCAAGTCACCTGATGATGACTTCCCGGATCAAACAGAAGCTGAGCTTCATACACTCTCTGCCCACTTCCAGAGATCTGTCATTTTTCGTGCTTTCTTCACGTTCTGCGCATGAGAGTGAAGAATCCAACTGGTTTACTGCATCGTCAATCAAGATCTTGCAACCGCGCACTTGCTCAGACGTAACTCGTCGAGCTCGAACAGGAAACCTTCGTTCCGGACCAGGTCTCTTCATATGATCAACTTGCTGATCTCTCACCAAGATCATTCCATTTCTGCATGTTCGTCGCAATGCAATGGCCACTATCGGCTGGCAAGCATCCGGGGGGTTGAATACCGCTGAGATCGAAAACATGGTCGTTGTTGTTTTATGCTTCAGGGAACCCCATTCAGACACTTGTGGCCGCAGAGCGCACACAGAACTGCACCATACGCAGTTAGGGTATTCAACTCCGGGCCAGCATAAAGGCTCACCTGAAAGGAACTTGCCTGAGCCATCACCTTGGTGTGAGATCAGAGCATACCTTGCAACCTCGAGCTCCCTGCTTAGTCGAGCAGCATCTTCCCCTGTTGCATTTCTGAGCAATTCACTCACAGTTGCCACAGAGAGATTGAGATTCGCCTCCGTCAAATTTCTTTTAGCATGCGCCAACTCCTCTTCGCCTTCAAACTTGGCTAGCTTAAGCTCCTCTTTTCTCAGCCGCACTTGTGCCTCCGCTGCCTTCTTCTTGTCGCCTTCAAGCTCGGCTAGCCTGAGCTGCTCTTTAACCATGGCTCGCAAACAGCGAGCCCGCGGCAGCATGTGGAGACATCAGATGTTCACCGAATATCATCTTGGGAAATTCCTGAGGTGTAGAGATGATGATCCTTGAGGGGTGCTTCGTACAGTGCGTGAATCTCACGAAAAATCGTTTGGTAAGCGAAGAGCATCAATAATACAAGTGAAAACCACCATCACAGGGATACATTGCAATCGAAACCGATGCATGACAGGGAAACTGAGTTGGAGTACATGGATGGAGATTACACACAAGACGACAAGGAATCATCATCTGATGGTGACTGGATTGTTCAAAAAGCCGAACAGTCACCAATGAGCTCAAGAACACATTCACGACGATGTATGTTAGGTTCGCAAGAAACACAGTGCATTTTTGCAGTGAGCTGCTCGATTGCTTGAAACCACGATGATCCGCAGCACTATCGAATGATAACAAGCAAGTCCAGTGGTTCGTCAAGGGTTCTTCATCCGCTTTTCAAGGAGATGGACATGTTGCAAATCACCAAGGTCTATGCCATTTGAACACATGATGCATCATGTAAATATTACTGGTGCAGCAAACATGAGCACTTTGAAGATGCTGATATTCCAGGCCGTACAGCATTTATGATGTGGCCACATGTCACATTCTTCGTGGTTAACACAGATACAGCTTCGCCAGGCAAAAGATGGAACGTCGTCAGGATTACAAGGAGGTCGGTTGTGCTTTTACCCTGATTGAAACGCTTGTAATAAAGATATGATCACCTGAATGTGTAATGCTGTTTATTGATTCACAGTGTTTCTGGTTCGTTTACAATCATCGAGTGCTTGCTCTGTTGAAGAAGGCACTCCTCTGTAGAGCCAAATGCGACAAGAACTCTACGGTTGCATGGTAGCATTGCGAACTTTCCAAACAAGGCAGGATTGATTCGAAGAACATCTCATTTATTGATATCAGATTCATCTGCACATTGTTTCATTTCTGATTAGGTTTCTGCAGCGTTGTGGAAATGTCATGACAGAGGAAGAAGTTGCAGTGCAGAAAAATCATCCAACGTCATGAAACATGGAAATGCAATTGCCAATGCACTTGATCATGGATATAGTGATTCATGATCAACAACGATGACTTAAAGTCATCTATCCTGGCAGGTAGAGAAATCCTTTGTGCAAACGTCTCTTCATGCATCGTTGAACGGTTGAGTATATGTAAGGCTTGTCTCTATAGACAAGTGAGGTGCATGAATCCTGACCGTAAGACTAGAAGAATTGAAAGTGAGTGATGATATGAGAACACATATCTAGACAGCCAAGTCGTATAAGGTACAGCTGGATACAAATTTCTCACAAATCATGCATTCGAGCTCAACGTAACCTACCGCAATTTGAAAGAAGGGTCAATCAGAGTTGATTCTGTTCAATGGTGCATCCATTTTTAGTTGCTTACCTGTTAATGAAAATTTCATCTTGTCTTCGAAGAATTTTTGCAAGTACACTCGCGGATTGTTTGAACCAAGGGTGTATATTCCAGTACACGATGGATGATTCAAACCTTGGCCCAACCTGCAGAGTTGAGAAAGAAGCTCGATCATCTCCTACAGGTATTATATGAGATCTTCATCTGATTTCTATCTCAGTTGGGTTGGATTCGAAGTCTCTGAATATCAAGGTTCATCCTCGCGAGTCAGGAAGGCACCATCATTTCATTGCCTTACTTTGGTTTGGCGTGGTCAGTGAGGTGTCCACGCAACCAAATTCAAATCACCCTACCCTTCTTGACAGCAATCAGTGAACTTATCATCGGCGGATCGGAACTTCGGAATGCCGACACTCAGCACGTGACAGTTCGATTTCACAAACTTTATACTGAACACTCGAACGACTCGATACCGTACCGTTAACTGTAAATCTGTCTATCTCTACTGAAGTCTGTCTGTTGCATAATTTCACCCAAGTTGGCTGACTCCGCCGCCCGAGCAACGCTGGACAACCGTTTCGCTCAATTCTTGTTGTTCTTCATCTTTTCCTTCATCTTTGCAATGTTTTCCATCCTCGTTTCGGCGGTAAGCGACAGAATTCGCATGAGATCCAGTCTTTGAGATTCGCTATCCTCGCAGACGGACAAGAAGTTCTGCAAGCAAGTTAGAACCAAGCTTGCATCCACCTGGACAGGTGTCTCACCGGTACTTTGAGCTCGAAGCAGCGGCAGTCAGTGTGTGCGACCACATCGCATGCTCTTTTGCAGTCATCGTCGGAGTTCTCCAGCAATTTTCCACACATGGAAATGAAAGCGATCTCGCCAAAGAAGTCGCCTGAGAAAACATGTCAAAACTACAAGAAGATCAGAGCAGCAAGATTGCTCACCAGTGGAAAGCTCTTGGGCAATTTCACCTCGAAACATTGCATACGCGACTCCCGTGTCGATGAAGTACATGCTGTCGCCAACAGATCCTTGCTTGACAATGATATCACCAGCCTGGAATTTCACCTGAATTCAAGGAGTCACAAGGGGAAACAAAGGATGTTCGCAAAAATACCTCGCGAAGCTTCTTCACAACAATGTTCAATACTTTATAAGACATCCGGCTGAAGAAGGCAAATTGTCTCCATGAGGCTTTGTACAACTTCACTTCACTCGATGTGCTCTCTGAAACCTGGTCGTTCCCAGCAGCAATGGTTGTGCCCTTCTGTGCAGCTCCATACATTACTAGTGCTCCAACCCACTTCAATGCGTCAACAGGCTCATTGAAGCAGATCCTGAGAGAGTTGTTAGGATCATCACTCGCATCGACGTTGGTTGAGATGATGACTTCGCATGATGCATTGCTAGGAGAGTAGACTTCGAGTTCTTTGACATTCAGTTTTCCCATTTCAATGTCAGCATTTCTTCCATCCATGATCTTCAAGAAGCCATCCCGCTCAAGAAGGCAGAAGATCTGAATTCCTTCATTCGAGTCTTGCAATGTCTTCATATCAGCCCAGGCGTACAGTTCAGGCAACATCGAGGTCGAGGAATTCTGTGACGGGCTGGTGGTAGATTCAGATTGATGTGCCCATTCATTGCATGATGAGTTCATAGTTTCTTCAGCGCAATACTTCTTGTAGAGAGGATCTGGGGAGGTAGCACGTGGAGACCTGTATCCAAGGAAAGAGCGCTGAAGCTGTCGCCTTAGTTCACCTCTGGTAGAATCGTTGAGGCATCCTTCTTTCTCCCATAGTCGCTGCCAGGAAGGCACATCCTCTTCTTCTACTTCAGGCAGGGAATGTGACCTTGCCAAACGTGGTGCCTCCGCCCGCCCACGGCAGTCGTGAACCACCTTCTGAGCCCTGTAGATGTCGGACTCAGAACCAGACCTGAACAGCGCAGAAAAAGTGAGTGACCTGCACATGACAGGCAGTGAACTATGAAGATACCTTGCTCTATGAGCCATTTGGTTGCTTGGCGCCGCAGAAGCAGATCTTGTAAATTGCCTCTCTGAATTGAGAGTGGGCGGTAGTTGAGGTTTCGGCGATTGCACTGAAGGTTGCTTGTGGTTTTCAATCTCCTTGGCTCTCCTTCGTGCCATCATCACGCTAGAGAGGACAGACGCTTCTAGCTGGTTGAACTTGTCCTTTCCTTGGTGCTGCATGTCGAAAACTGAACTCATAGAGTGACTGAACGCCTCTGGTTTGCGCGTCAAGAAATCGCTCCTTGTCATTGTCAGAATCCGTGTAAGATGCTGCTCCTGGAATATGAATGGGAGATACAGATAGGAAGAGGATTGCAAGAGCAGAACACAGGGAGCCGGCCGCGTGTCCTTATGGAAGGATCAAGAGAGTTTGCGAGATCGAGTGAGAGCGGCTGAGGACGACGTACGACAGAAGAGGAGAGGAGCGGAGGTCAGCAAGTTTCCCCTGCGACTGAAATCGAGCTTTTTCCTCTTCCAAGTCTCCTTCAGAGAGGGGTGGGGTGATGCAAGGATACATCCCAACCAGTAGGTAGGGTGATGAGGTAAATTAATTGGAAAATAGGGGGTACTCATTGGGTCAATGGGGGGTATATATTTTGGGGGGGGTATCTAGTAGGATATAGCAGCACAAAAATATGACACAAGGGTGGTTCACGTGTTGAATCTTCTTGGACGACCCCTGGACGTATCTACTTGAGGGGGGTGAGGCCCTGGTCGTGCACCGTCTGTCAAGGGTTCAAACAGGGGTCCAGGCAACAATCATGACGGGTGAAATAAGGGTGGGGTGGAGTAGTATCTCCGATAACTCACGAGATATCAAATGATGACATTTGAGCGCATTTCCTCCGGCAAATAATTTTTTTGAAGGAACCAAACTCCGGAAATCCAAACGAAAGGGAACTTCTTCGTATTGAAAGATGGTCACATGCCCATCAGCATCGTCAAATTTTCGCTGTCGTCACGATGTCGCACGTTCCTGGTTGGCTAATGAAACTTTACCACTGCTGATCGCCTCCGAACCGTCGTGCCTTTCCGTCAGGGATATTGTTGAGTAATGATTTTAGATATCAGCGACTCCGATCCTCCGAAGGTTTGAAGTCAAGTTCGCCTCGGATTTCAACCTTCGGAAGATCCGGAGACAGAACCACATCTGAGAATCTCTACCTTAGAGCTGGAGTGCTGCCCTTGGACAACTAAACTGATTTTCAAATCCCAGCACTGGTACTGCCGTACCTGTCAGCCGCGAATCCCGTCAGCCGCAGGGTCCGATCACCCGCCGGGTCGTGACTACCGGGTGGAATCCGACTCAGTAGTAGTGAGGGCCACCGGGTCCCCGGGCCCGGGTCACCTCCCCGGGCAGACCGGTGACCGGCTTTCACTGAAACGGGGGCCGTCAAGTTCAAAGCGGCCGGCGATGTCACATCACATTGAACTCATGATGCCGGGCGGCTCGACGGTCACGGCGTCGGTCCCGCTCGGAGGGCCGGTAGGACCAGTCATTCTCCCGGGCGCGGCCCCCGGCCACGACGCCGGGGCCGCGCGGCCAGGCGGCCGGTGGCCCCCGGCGGACATGCCACGCGGAGTGCCGCCGCTCACACTGATCGGGGTGACGGTGATCTTCAACCAAACAGTGCCAGGCGGCAGTGCCAGGGCCGCGCAGTCTGGCCCGGGCCGGGCCGGGCCCGGCCCCCGCCAGCCCGCCGGGCCGACTGTGGCAGCAAATGTCGTATAAGACAGGAATTACCCGCTGCAAGGGCAGCAGCATTCTGGAGGCCGACGGCATGCTAGGGGGAGAGGCGGCGGGTGAGGGTTGGGCAGAGGTGGAGAGCGAGAGAGTGTAGAAGGAGGACCAGGAAGATGATCATAAAGCGGAGTTTGAGGCAAGAGCTGTGTCGAAAACTATGCTGGATGTGCGCTCAACCAGATTCATCGTAAGAAGCATGCGCAGCAAAGTCTGTGAAGAACATGCAGGGCATTCGTGAGCGTTAGAGCTCGTGGTACATCTCGACCCGATGAAGCTAGATAGCTCATTTCTCTTTGTCCTCTCTGTCCTCACAATGAGAGCTGGCCTTAACACGGCGTTCTTCTCACTACCGCTGCCCTTGACGGGAGGTAGTTTTGGTAGGACTTTGAAGCCAATCGCAACAAGGCTGGCAGGGCAACCGCACATGACTGTTATGGGGTACAACAGCAAGCCAAGTCGACAGAATGGAATCGCCATCTCCAGGACAAGGAACAAGAAGCGCCATCTCTCCCCGCGGACAAGCCCCCCCGCTCAACAGAGCGCGACGACGACGAAATCGTCGAAGCAGATCACAAGGAAGCTGAAGCATCTTATCAAAACCGACCCGGGAGAAGCAACGAGATACTTCCATGAGCTGCGCAGCTCAAACCTGGTTGACTCGTATCATTACGCCGTCATGATTGAGGAAGCAGAGGATCTGCCAGGAGCCATGGAGCTCCTGGAGGAACTGAGGGGGAGGGGCCTGCAAGAGCAGTGTGCGTGCCACAACTCGATATTGAAGAAGATCTGCATGATGGGACAGATGGAGGAGGCAGAGAAGTACTTCCTGCGGATGAAGGGAGACGCGAGCATATCCCCCAACTACCGCACCTACTGCCACCTCATCCTGGCGCACAGCGGGAGCAACGAGAGCAGATGCGAGGAGCTGTTCGAGGAGATGAGGGTTGGGAACCTTTCCTTGGGGTACGGGAGGTGGCAGGAGCTGGTGAAGGATCTTAGGATCAAGATGGAGACGACCAACCTGCAGGATAAGCTAAGAAGCTCCTTGGAGGGGCCCGTCGGGGAGTTCGAACGGCTCCTCGGGGAGGGACTGGTGGACACCGTGACCTTCAACCTCGTCCTCAACAGCAGCAAGACGGCAGAGGAGGCAGAGGAGACCTGGAGGAGGCTTCAGCTGATCGACCTGAAGCCTGACGTCACGAGCTACAAGATCTTCCTCAAGATCCTGTGCTCCCACCACAAGTTCCAGCAGGTCCAGCGCGCATGTCATTGTGCTGTCTTGCTGTTGCCCTGACTCCCCGTGTGCAGGCGGAGGAAGTGATGGAGGAGGCGATGCAGAAGCAGCTGGAGAACAACAAGATCTTCACGCGCCTCATCTCGAGCTACAGCGACGCGGGGAGAGGAGGAGACGCGGACAGAATCTTCCAGCTTGCAAGGGCTCGAGGATTTCTGAAGCAGCATGAAACGTGGGCAGATCGCTAGTCCCCTCCCTCTCCCTCCCTCCCTCCCTCCCTCCCTCCCTCCCTCCCTCCCTCTCCCTCCCTTCCTCTCCCTCCTTGTCTTTGTCTTCCTTGGACCTCCTCCGTGCTCAGGTAGCTCACAAGTGCTCCAGGTATGAGTCAGTGGTACGAGGTCTGCAACTGGCAACCTACAAGAAGCTACTGCGATCCCTCATCGAGGTGAAGGAGCGGAGGAAAGGAGGGCGCGACATGAAAATGAAAATGGAGGAGCAAGTGGGAGGGACGCAGGCAGGGAGGGAGAGACGGGGGAAGCAGAGAATGGAAGGAGGGGCAAGGAGAGAATGGAAAGAGGGGAGGGAGGGAGGGTGCGAGGGAGGGAGGGAGAGGGGTGATTGAGAAAGTGATGGTGATGGTGATGGTGATGGTGATGGTGATGAAATGGAGGCGATGGTGATGATTCAGACGACTGAAGGACACGTTGTTCATGTTACTGACTTCCTACATGTTTACAAAGATGGAAGATCATAACAGGGCTGTCGATGTTTTGATCCAAATGCTGAAGACGGATGTGTTGGACACGTCGTCGATAGACTTGATCCTTTCAGGTCAGATGAGAACATTCCTATATCACCTCTTGTTGCTGCTTCTGCTGCTGCTACGCATCACCGTTGTCAACCCATCAACCATGATCAAAGCTGCAATAAGTGCCATTGTTGTCAATCTTCTACATCTCTTGCCGTCCTCTCTGTACTCCTTTGTCACCATCTTCATCTCTACCACTCTCAAACTCTTTGTCCCATCTTGTTAGCAGCATCGCCCGACATGAGTTTTGCAGTTCCCGGCACTCACATCGCCTACGACCTTCTGCTCAAGCTGCAAGCACAGGACATTCAACTTGAGGCGGCGACGACATCCCTACTCCTCAAGGTCTTCATGACAAGTCTACCTCCTCCTCCTCCTCCTCCTCTTTCTCCTCGTCCACCTCTCCCACCACCACCATCTCCTCCTCCTCCTCCTCCACCACCACCACCACCACCACCTCTCCAACCACCACCATCTCCTGTCCCCCTCCCCCCCCCCTCCTCCTCCTTCTCCTCCTCCTTTTGAATTTCTCGCAGACTCTTTCACGGAAGAAGTCTCCGCATGAGCTGTCGCAGCTTATTTCTGCGTTCAAGCATTCGCTGTGAGAAGACAAGCTGACGACCTGACGAAGAGTAGGAGAAGCAGGAAGGAGAAGGAGCAGGGGGAAGCAGGAGGAAAGTGAAGAAGGAAAGCAAGAAAGGAGCGTATGGACTACAGTTGTGAAACCACGGGAACTTCAAGTAGCAAGAACATGCTACAATCGGGAAAAAATCGATCATCACTTATTTTCTGCAAACAACAAGAAGAGTATGATACTTCCTTGTTGTCTCTTTTGCAGCTCAAACCGCATCCCCCTCTCCATCTCACCCTCCTCTCCTCACCCTCTCACCCCCTCCCTCCTCTCACTCCCCTCCTCCCTCCTCCAGCTCCTACTTCAGTATCGTCCGTAGGACGAGTAGCCCCCAAATCCTGGTCGCAGAGATCGTTGGACTGCCTGCTTGAACGCGGGAAGGTTGTCCTGACAAACCATCATTCTCTTTCCTCCCCCGTTCCACCTCCTCCCTCCCCCGACAGCCATCGCATGCCTACCTTCATCAGCTCTGCTGCTTCCTTGTTGAGCGGGTCTTGAGGGTTTGGCTCCTGAGTAGCAACGTGAGGAGATGATGGAAACAAGAAGCGGAGCAGGAGCAGGAGCAGGAGCAGGAGCAGGAGCAGGAGCGGTTAGTGTCGGAGGACACCAGGAGAACAGGAAGTGGGGGAGGGGGAAACAGGGGGGGATGGGGTCCAAGACGGGGGGGGGGGGGGGGGGGAGGTTGGAGGAGAAGGAGACCAGGAACAAGAAGAAGAGTCCGTTGATGACGGCGCCGATGTCAAGCACTGGCTTCCACTCGTCACGAAGGATGTTCAAGCAGACCTTGCCCTCCAAGTCGATATTGGGATGAAACACCTGGAAGCTCTAGGTCAGCACGAGAGGGAGGGAGCAGGAGCAGGAGCAGGAGCAGGAGCAGGAGCAAGAAGCAAGGAGGATACATCAAATATAAGGAGGCGACACAGCACAGCAACGAAAATAGAGAAAGAGCATAGCAATGAAAGGGGAGGGAGAGAAAGAGCAAGGGGAGGAGGAGGAGGAGGTATAGGAGGGGGAGGAGGGGGGAGGAGAAGAATGGGGGGAGAACACATCACCTTGGTGGTGCAGAGAGTCTTGGGTGGGGAATGGGGATAGTCGGACGGGATCTCAAACTTGAAGCTGAACTTGCCTCCCTTCCAGAAGCCCTGGGGATACAAAAGCATGAGAGGAGGAGCAGCAATAGGAAGGAGGGAAACGAGAGTAGGAGGAAGCGAGCAAGGAGGGAGAAGGGAAACGAGAGCAAGAGGGAGGAGGGAGGGGAGAGCAAGAGAGAGGAGGGAGGGGAGAGCAGTGCAAGAGGGGTCGACTGATCGACATTCACCTCGTCGGGCATGAGCGTGACATTGAAGTTCATGATGTCGTCGGGGTCCGGGAACTCCATCTGGCACCAGGAGTTCTTCTCGATCCCATTCTTGAGATCTGAGCGCGTCAAACTCCGTCAAACGCACAAGGGGGAGGGAGGGGGCAGGAGGAGGAAGAGGAGGAGGCACGTCGCTGCTAACCTTTCTGGACTCGTCGTTGGGCAGCGGGGATGATCTTTCCTCCAGCCTTGCTCCCTCCCTCTGCGGACTCACTCGATCCTGCCTTCTGCTCTGCCTTCTCCTGCTTCAGCTTCAACAGGTTCAGCATCCTTCCGTCGCTCCTCTCCTGCAAGGAACCAACGTCAGGGCTGGACGCGTCTCCCGCTCGCTCCGACTCTCGTCTCCTCGTAAGCACTGACGATCGCAACAGGCGCTGCAACTGACTGGTTGCGGGTGTTGTTCACAATCATCCATCATCCCCAGTATGATATCGCCTCCTTCCTGTTGATGACTTTGCTTTGCATGGAGACAACCACCAAACTCTTCTCTGCTTCCTACCACCCATCGACATGCTGGAACTTTTCTGCTCTCCTTTCTCCCCCCCCACCCCCATCGCCCCGCTCTTCTCTACTCGTCCTCGTCACACTTCTCCTCCGTTCCTGTCTCCAGGCTGAAGTTTTGCCCTACCAAACACAACTCTGCTCATCACACACCTAGTACTCATCGTCCTCGTTATAACCCCGATGCTTCCGTATGACCTGCCCACTCTGCTGCTTCCAACGCTTCCCCTTCTCTGCTGCTCTCCTGCTCCTCTCTCTGTTCATCTCCATGCTCTCCTCTCTGCTCTCCTCCCTGCTCCGCGTTCTAGTTCTAGCTCTGCTCGTCTTCCTCCCCTCCTCCTTCCCCTTCCTCCTCAGCCATGGTTCGCCTCTTGCTCTGCTGTTTTAGAGGGGTGACGAGTAAAAGTCCTAAAATACCGCCGAGGTCTGAATGCAGCCTGATTTTCATGCATCAACCAATATTTTTTAATATATAAAGGAAACTATTGAAATTTACCAATATTATTTCTAAAGCTCAAACGAAACCAAACAAATTTGGCATTCCGAGGGATTGGACAAGGAGTGCTGGGGGTGGGGGCGGGAGAATGGGCGGGAGGAGGGGATAGCCATGCTCGGCCTTGTACGGTGGTAACGTAGGACATAAATCCTCTGAACAGCATGAAGTTCCATGCGCTCTCATGAGGGAACGACCCCACATTGCTCTGATCGATCAAGCTCGTCGCCCCGCTGCATCCTCCCTCACTCCCCACAGCCTCGGCTCCTCTTCCGTCCTCTCCCCACAGACGACATCGAGCAGCGATGGGAGGAAAAGACATCTTCACTTTCTTTAAACAAAATTCAAGCAATTGTGGGCGTCAACCACGGATCAATATCAAATCTATTTCTTGGCGGCAGGAGCAGCTTCCGTCTGCCAGGGCGTCAGAGGGAGCAGGAGCGATGGGGGCAGGCTTCACCTTAGCAGCTCCCTTGGCAGCAGGGGCAGGGGCAGCGGCCTTGGGTGCCTCAACCTGGGCGAGTTAGGGGGGAAGAGGAGGCAGAGGGGCAGCCACCTTAGGGGCCTCCTGCTTCTTAGGGGCCTCCTGTCGTGTTGTCAGACAGGGAGGGAGGAGGAGGAGGAGGGCACTTGCCTTGGGAGCAGGGGTGAGGCTAGCAAGCTTCTTCTCCTCGGAGGTGACGACGGAAGCCTTCTTGTCGAACTCACCCTTGAGCTTCGACTGCTCCGACTTGAGCTTCGACTCCTCCTGCTTGATCTTCTTGACCTGCGGGGGGATGTGAGGAAAGGACATCTTGCTGCCTTGACCTCCAACCTCGTTCTCGATGTTGCCGATGTCATTCAGAAGACGCTCCTGCACCGCATAGAGTCAGGAGACTCTCCTCCTCCGCCCCGCTCTCCTCCTCTGCGTCTACCTCCTTCTTGAGGTCCTTGGCGCTCTGAGCAGCATCCAGTGCTTTCTCAAGGTCATCGAACTAGAAAAGCGTCAGAGAGGAGTAGGAGGAAGCAACGAGACGAAGGCGAGAGAGAGAGAGAGAGAACAAGTCATGGCAGGGAGTGAGAGAACAAGTCATGGCAGGGAGTGAGAGAACAAGTCATGGCAGGGAAGGGGGGTAAGGGAAGGTGTGGATGAAGTTGTGGAGGAAAATAGAGCAACAGACCTTGCTGGTGCTGGAGATCAACCTCTCGGAGAGCTTCTTGAGCTCGCCAGTCTTCTTGTCAAGAGCCTTCGACGGCTGTAAGGCGCGAGGGGATGCGGAGACACCTGCTCACCTGTTTGGCGCTATTGGCCTCCTTCTTGGCCTTCTCTACCTTGCCCTTCTGCTCCTTGATCTGCTTGGCCTGCGCAACACCAACTTGGTCAGTTGCAGTCTGCACGAGGGCCAGTCTCGGCTGACCCGCTTCTCGTCCTCCTGCTTCTTCTTCTCCGCAGCCTTCTTCGCCTCCTCCTTCTGTAGCAGAGAGTCAGCCACGTTGCTGACGTCATCCTGCCCTGTCCAACCTTCTTCGCCTCCTCTTTCTTCTTCCTCTCAGCTTCAGCCTGTCACACCGGAAGTCATCAGGCATCTGACAGCTCTAAGAGACGCCATCCTCCACCTTAGCCTTCTTGATCTCATCCTCGGCTTTCTTCTTGGCCTCCTTTGCCTGCAGCCGTATGACCACAGCGGAGCTCTGCGACAAACAAGATCTCCCACCTTCTTCTCCTCCTCTCGGAGCTTCCTCTCAGCCTCCTCGCGCGCCTTCTTTTCCTGCGGGCCCACCTTCAGCTTTCAACCCCTCCGCTCAAGAACAGGACCTTCTCGGCACGGTCCTTCAACTCCTTCTCCAGAGCAGCCCTGCCACATCGGTCAGGCAAGAGCGAGCGCAGCGTCTGGCGGGTCATCACTTGGCAGCCTTGGCCTTGGCCGCAGCAGCCTGAGCGCGCTTCTCAGCCTCAGCTGCTCTCTGCTCGAAAGTGAGCTCCTTGGCGGGAGCCTGGGCTGCGACGGGGAGCACGGTCCCAGTGAGGATCGAGGAAGCGACCAAACTGAGGGAGAGGGGTCAGAGCTATCGCTGAGTTCGAGGGAGCATCACAATCCAGAGATGGTGGCGGTTGCCTTGCGCTTCAAGTTGTCCAGCTGGGAAGAATCCTGAGCAGAGCAGACCACTCTGCGTGACAGGCTGTTGCGGAGCGAGAGAGATCTGGACTCCCTGCGTCGTCGGTGTGAGACCTCTGGATGGCGACCGCCTCCCACACTCGCTCACCTCAGCACAGGAGCAGGGGAAAAGGCAGTGACGGGGTGGAGGATCGCGAGCGCCGCAAGGAATGCCAACGACGCCAGCGCCATGAAAGTAGAAGCCTTCATTCTGCATCCTAGTCAGCGCATCTCACAAGGCGTTCAAAGTTAGCTCATCCATGAGATGTCAAGGACAAAAAGAGTCTCGTCACACAGACATGAAAATCACGGCTGTACGAGAGCTATGCTGCTTGTGCGGGTCGCAACGCAAATATCCTATCAGCTTTCAAGTCCGACCGAGCTACGAATGCGCATCTTCAAAGACGAGGAGTCTACGTGTTCAAACAGAGAGGGTGGGTTTAAAGGTCGAGGCAGGATAATTAGGAGGGATAATTTCTGCATGAACACTTCCTATCGATGCCCTCCCAATAGGAATGCTATGTTTTCCTTGCGCATCGTCCTCCACTGTCCTGGTCAGCATCCGATTGCACGTGCTGAGTCGGACAGAAACTCAATCCTATCTAACTGGCCGAAAGTTGTTCAACAACATGAAACGTTTGCTCTGAGGTTCCTCGCCTGGACAACCTACTGCTTTCCTGGTGTTGGGAATCACCTTTACCTACCGTGGCCTGCGCAGGTAATCGTGTCTGCACCATCTCTACTTCTTCAAACTCTCCATGTACATGTTGGACTTCCTGATATCCACTCGAAACCATGTCTCAACCTCGTCCTGATCTTCCTCTGCTATCTTCTCTTCCTCCTTCTCCTCGTTGACTCCCGCCCTCCCACCCTCCTTCATGGATCCGCAATGCATCGGCCACCTACACCCCCACCCCCACCCCAACCCAATATCCTACCCCTACCCTTCTGGACTCAATGTACCCCTCCACTACCCCACCCTTTCAATATCCTAACCCCTACCCTACATGGGAACCCCCGTTCGACAGCAGACAGCACCCACACCAGTGACCCCAGGATCAATAATATGTAGTAGAACACCCGTAGTTTGACATGTTGTGGAACCGGGTACTCAGGTTTCAAAATCTCAGCACCGGTTGTTTATTTCACCCACCCCCCTGTCTAGGCCCTACCTTGTGGAATCCAATACACGGGTGGGGAGAATTCCAGGATCCTAGGGGTGATTGGTACCACCGGTCATCACAGTTTTACAGTGAATCCCCTATAGAAACCACCCGTGTGTAACCACCCCCACCTTCATGAATGTGCCTGTCCCACACCTCTTGCATACTGATCTCCGACTGGTGCTGAGGGTCCAGTACCCTACCTTGTATCTTTACAAATCTCCAGTACCCTACCCCTTTGTTTGATCGAGGCTTAAGACCAAAGCCCTAGAGTTGCTACATACCATTTATTCATTATTGAAAGAAATAGATTATGTAAGAGCTTGACCATATGGCTATCCATATTTCGCACCCTGCACTGAGTCAACCAGCATACATTTTTTACCCCACCCAGTAATTATCATAGAATAAAAGGACCCTACCCCCTAGTTTCGTCGTCATAAAAAATTTCGCACCCCTTCCCCTCCTTATAAGGGCAGCTCACCCACCCCTGTACAGGTACCTCAAACATGGACCCACCATCTGAACATCCATAAGACCATCCATCAGACTACCCATTATTTCTCCATTCAAAGCACCCGTAATACTGGAACAAAACACCTTACCGACCTACCCCCATGACCAACCCCCTACCCCCACCCTTGGGTCTTCCAAGGCTGGCCTGCCTCAGAGGGCCGGATCGATGACCCGGACCCGCCGACGGACCGGGCCCATGAAGACTCGAACATCCCTGAGGCGAGCCTGACCAAATGGCTTGAGTGAAGTTCGGGTGGACCGAGTGCTTTAACCCCACCCCCTCGTAAACGATGCAAGAGCAGGGAAGAAGGGGTAGGGGTGGCCACTCCATGTCAAGAGCCTCCGCCGAAAAATGGCGATGATCTGAGAGGAGTCGCATGGACGAGGAGCGGTCGACCTCGAGCAGACGCGCAGCAGAATCCGCTGAGATTGGGAACTCTCTCCCCCTCCTCCTGGATCACTGACTCACAGGGTTGTACAAGACGGTGGAACTGTAAGGCTTCCGGAGGAGATTCAATGAGTGGGTGAGCTACAGTGTGGAGGTAATTGAGAATGAGACGCGGTGCTGTCAAGCTGCTCGCCCTGCAGTTTGCCCTTCTGTCATGTCGGATCTGTGCAGCCATCCTCATGCCAGGCACTCAACTGATTCTTGCCTACGATCCGTCGATTGCGAACCTGTCAACCAACATCAACTTGCTGTTTCAAGTTCAAACTGCGGGCCCTGCGACGAAGCTGCAGGGTTTTCTGATGAATTTCTCGGACTCCTCGACCTCTGTGAGCAGAGACCTGCATTTCACGGAGGCTTGGAGCTCTCGGAATGCGGCGCCAGCGGGCAACGACACGCTCGCTTCAGTGGACCGCGTCTCCTGGAACAAGCTGACGTACGCAATTGAGATTTCTTTCAAGAGGGAGCTTCCTAGTGGGTTCTGGGTGGACATCACCATCTCTTCCTCCAACGGGATCCGCCTCCCCGAGCGAGGGCTGTTGCAACAGGACTCGAGACTGGTGAACGAAGAAGTGCTTTCCTCTTCCTCGTGCTCGTAACCTTCTTGTGTCAGACGTTCAGCGGCGCCACGTGCATTTCCCCCGCCGTAGGAAGTTTTCTTGATATCGCCAACCCGACAGAGCTCCGGTAGGGAAGGGAAGGAGGGATGGAGTATCTATGGGAGAGGAAGGAGGGAAGAAGGAGATGAGGACGAGGAAAAATCGGGCAGGGGAGGAAGAAAAGTTCGACTGCGATGTGTGTCAAGGTATGACGGCATTCTGTTGCCTGCAGGGTGTCTGGAGATAAACTTGGGCAAATCATCTTCCGTCCTCATTTCCGTATTTTCCCTCAAGACAAGGTTCAGGATTGAGATGGTCTCAATCCTGAAACGAGACTAACACCTCTTCTTCTTTCCTTCCCCTTCCCCTTCCCAACCTCCTCCTCTTTCTCCTCCTTCCAGGTCATCATCGACTTGCCGGATTTCTACACAACATCGGAGACAAGCGTAGTCACCATAGGGGGCACCACGGAGAGTTGGAGTCTGAGCAAGAGGACACTGACAATACAGTTCAGCTCTACACAGGAGAAGGACGTGCTGCAGTCCATCTCCGTATGGCCGACCATCTCCATTCCTGTCAACGGGCTGCTATCATCGTCTACTGCCTTGACAATCTCCTGCGATTGTGCGGAAGGACCGGTATGAGAACGAGGAGAACGAGGAGGAGGAGGAGGAGGAGGAGGAAGAAGAGTGCAAGGTGGAGGAGGAGTGGAGGGGGAGGACGAGGGGGACGAGGAGGACTGCAAGGAGGAGGAAGAGGAGGAGTGGAAACCCATCAGGGAACGAACACTTGTGCGAGCCAGCGGGTGATGAGAGATCGGAAATGGAAGAGGAGGAAGTAGCGTAGAGCTTATGCGCTTGCCCAGGTCACTCCTACCCCCTTCGTGAAGATCCCCGATGTTGTCGGATACATCGCACAGTCAAGCTTGAAGCTCAGCAAGAGCTCCTGCTTGTTCGACGGTTTCAGGTAGGGCATGTGCGAGAGAGCAGACGAGGGAGTGGGAGGGAGGAAGAGGATGAAGTGGGAGGGATGTAGAAGTGTTCGAAGAAGTTCAAGAGCTGGAAGCAACTAAGGTAGAGCCTGAAGGGAAAGGCAGACGGTGGGGGGGGAGGAGGGAAATGTTGGGAACAGAAGAGATGAAACGAGGACGAGCGTAGCCCTGAGATGCTGCGGATCAGGTGGCAGTGCGAGTGGAAAGCTCCGAGGGTCGACGAGGCAAGCGAGCTCGTCTTTGCGTTCAAGTTCTCCTCTTGGAGCTTCCTCAAGGGCGACCCGCTGCGGGTCAAGCTGGAAGGGTTCGGAGGGGAGAGGAGGGAGGGCTTCCCAGTCTCCCAGACGCCCATTCTTGCCGAGTTGAGCCCTCCCTCTACCCTCGCTCGCCATCCCTACGGCTGCCCCTCCAACGCGGGCTGTGCCAGCATGCAGTACGCAGGAGACTCGCTCTTCTCCTCTGCCTCCTGGGACCCGCAGGCCTCTCTGCTGGTGTTCACAGCCTCCAAGGACGTCCCTGCTCAGACCAGCATCGTGCTGGTCGTCTCCTCCTCGGCTGGGCTGCGGGTCCCAACGGTCGGGCTGTGGAGCAAGTCACCGGTGTCCATCCCCCTTGACTTCCCGCTGAACCTCTCGACCTCTGTGCTGCAGAACCTCTACCCTGTGATGGCGTACAGGACTGTGTCCCTGTCCTTCTCTCCTCTCCTCCCGAACAGGAGGGTCGAGCTGGTCTTCAGGATGCAGCCATGGGTGCAGATGCAGGCGGGAGAGAACATCACGCTCCTTCTCCCTGGCTTCGTTGCCCAGCAGAACGCGAGCTGCCGAGGAGGACGGGAGTTCTTGGCGAGTTTCAACTCCACTAGCAGCGGGCAGCTGCTAGTCTTGTTCACGCTCCTGCAAGGCGTGCTTCCCCTGGGGGAGAGGAACGTCAGCTGTTCCGGCCTCCTCTCCCCTCCCCTCGGGACGTCGGGCCTCGTCGCCATGAGCTCCTTCCTCCCCTTGAGCAGGAGGCCGTCGGAGCAGAGGGCAGACCTGCAGTTCATCCTCCCTCCCCTCCTCAACGTCAGCCTGACCTTCAGCAACGACACCAGCTCTGACGCAGTCGCTCTGCTCCTCTCCTTCAACCTCTCCATCCCCCTCGTCGCCGGCGACCGCATCGAGCTCCTCCTTCCGGGCTTCAAGTCACAGCGCACATCCTCCGTCTCCACGGACACCGGGAGGGTGCAGTACGACGGCTCCTCCCAGACCCTCTCAGTTACGCTGACGGTGGACCTGCCGGAAGGAGGACCCAGGAGTCTCCTCGTCCCCCAGAGCGCGAATATGTTCCTGCCCCTCCGCGGCCTCGAGCAGAACGATCCTTCTCTGCGCTGGAGGGTGAGCATGAGCAAGCAGGAGCAGGAGTGGCTTCCCTTGTACTACTCTCAGAGGATCACGCAGAGGCTGGACAACAGCTCCGTCTCCTTCCTCACCCCTCGCGCCGGGCAGCTCACCGACCTCCTCCTCACTGTCCGCTCCTTCGAGCCCTACTTCAAGGACGGCACCTCCATCCTCCTCCTTCTCCCAGGCTTCCCTCCCACCTCCGGCCTGACCGTCACAGGAGCTGACAAGGTCTCCCTGGTATGGAACGCGAGCTCCCAGCAGCTCACCGTCACCATCCTTCAGCTCGGAGCCGCCGCAGACAGCAGGAGCATCTCCCTTCTCTTCCGCAAGGTTCAGTTGCCCCCAGCTGGAGTCGACCTTCTCGCCTCCTCCTCCCTGGCCTTTAGCCTGCTCTCCGACGGTCGCATGCTGTTTCCCCCACAGCCCTTCACCTCCGTCGGGCTCGTCGGCGCGCTCCTCGACTCGCGGATCGACTTCTTCCCCCGCAACCCGCCCGGCTCGCTGCTTGGCCTCAACCTCGCCTTCACCCCTGGCATGCAGCTGCTGATCGGAGAAACCTTGGTAAGAGATTACGATGATGATGATGATGATGATGGAGATGATACTGGTGGTGGTGGTGGTGGTGGTGGTGGTGGTGATGATGATGATGATGATGATGGTAGTGTCATGGGTTGAACAAGGACGAGCGTTCGTTTGATATTCAGTTATGCGTCATACAATCAAAGTCACTGACAGGTTTTCTCAGGTCCTCAACTTGACAGGTTTTACAGGGGCAGACAACAATCTCATTCTCCTCTCTTCTCATTCCTCCACTACCTACTTCCAGGTGCCTCCTCCTCCTCCTCCTCCTCCTCCTCCTCCTCCTCCTCCTCCTCCTCCTCCTCCTCCTCCTCCTCCTCCTCCTCCTCCTTCCTTCCTCCTTCTAACTCCTCCTCCTCCTTCTAACTCCTCCTCCTCCTCTTCTCCTTCTACCTCCTTCTACCTTCTCCTTCTACCTCCTTGCTCTCTTCTTCTCTCGTCTCACCCGCGTCTTTCATCCCGTTCTGACACATTCCTTGTCCTCCTTCTTCCTCCCCTTGCTACCTCTTCTCCTCATTTCCTCCTTCATCCTCTCCCTCCACGCACACGCTCACCTCTCGCATCCCCTTACAGGAGGCGAGCTGGAAGCAATCATCGCAGCAGCTCATCCTCACCGCCTCCTCGCTGCTCCCTCGCTTCACCCCGGTCGACGTCGTCGTCCCCTCCTCCTCCGGCATCCGGTCGCCGTCGGCCGGCATTGCCAGCTGTGCAGCAGCAGCAGCCTGCCCCCTCCGTCTCTCCTCCTCTGCTCGCAGCGGGCCTGTCCTCTCCTCCGACCTCGTGGACTATCAACCCCTGGGGTACGTCAAGAGGATCAGCGTTGCCTTCTCCTCCTACGTCATCGACACGCCCGTCTCCCTCTCCCTCTCCCTCTCCCTCTCCCTCCAGCTGGCCGCCGGCGACCAGATCCTTCTCTACCTCCCCTCCTTCTCCTCCTCCCTGGTCGGCCAGGACGTCTCCGGCTCCTTCTCCCACCCCCTGCTCTTCCTCGGGCCGCTGGCGATGGAGGGAGGAGCGCTGGTGGTGACCTTCATCGCCCGGGGCGTCGTTGCCATCGATCAGGACGTCTCCTTCCTCCTCTCCTCCTCTCTCCGCATCTTCCTCCCTCCCCGTGGCATCAGGCGATCGGCGAACCAGCTCGACCTGCTGGTGAGGAGGACGGTCCTCTCCGGCCCTGTGGACATCCTCCCCCGCAACTCCCTCTTCGCCCTTCCCCTCCTCTTCTCCTTCGACCAGGCTCGCGTCTCCTTCGACCCTCCTCGCGCCGGCCCCGTCTCGATCTCCTTCCTCCTCAACCCTGCCGTACCCTTGGCGGAGGGCGATACGATTCACCTCCTCCTCCCTCAGTTCCGGCAGACCGTGCTGGTCCCAACGCCCCACGATCTCCTGCTGGGGTCGACGAGGGTGGCAAGCTGGCGGGTCGAGGTTGGGGGGATAGCAGTCCAGCTGCTACAGAACGTGACGGCAAACTCAAGCATGCAGTTCTTGGTCAACAGCAGCGAAGGTTTCCTGGTACCCCTTGAAGGCATCTTGGCAGACTCGCTCCCCCAGCTCAAGTTCCAGGGACAGGAAGGGAAACTTGACCGTCTCCTCCTCTCCTTCGACCCTGTGCAGGCAGCCCTGCTGAACATGCGGATGACCTTCCTTCCCGCCATCGCCAACACCGTCGCCTCGGTCACCATCTCCTTCGTCGGAACTTCCGAGCTCATGAAAGACGATGTGATCAGGTGCCCTGCAGTCTCCTCTCCTTCCTTCTCCTCTCCTCTCCTCCTTCTCCTCCTCCTCCTCCTCCTCCTCCTCCTCCTCCTCCTCCTCCTCCTCCTCCTCCTCTTCCTGCTCTTTCTCTGTTCTTTCTCTCCCTTCTCCTTGCTCATTCACCTCACTATCATCCACCAGCTTTTCACTTGCAGGCTTCACGAGGCAGTTCGACTGCTGGGACCAGCAGAGCTCGTATCCCCAGCGCTGCATCTACTCAGTCATCGCCTCCTCCAAATTCTGCCTCCCTTGCGGCGACGGCTGCCTCCTCCAATCCGGCACTCGAGGGTGCTTGTTCACCGTCCTCACCAGCCTTGGGCAGCAGCAGCAGCGGCGGCAGCAGCAGCAGCCTAGCGATCCTACCGTCTTCAACGGAGCATGGCTCCCCAGCACCTCAGTCCTGCTCATCAACACCAACAGCAGTGTCGCAGCTCGAATCCCCGTCTCCGTCCTCCTCCCAGCTGCCCTCCAGCTCGTCCTCCCCGCAGCTGGAGTCAGCGCTTCCTCCCCCCTCCTCTACTCCCTCTCCAACAGGTGGGGTGACATGAAGCAGCAGAACGTTCCTAGCAGGACCATCGTCGCCGCGTTCCTGCAGCTCCCGACCGTACAGTTCGGGTCGCACCGCGCCGGTCTGTCCGACTCCCTTCTCCTCTCCTTCACCCTGGCCGTCCCCCTCCTCCGGGGAGATCTCCTTATCCTCCAGCTCCTCGATTTCCTCCCCGCTCCTGCCCTTGCGCGGTCTCCGACGGTCAGCGTCTCCTCGACGCCCGCTGGCCTCTCCCTCTCGGGCAGCTGGAACGCTTCCTCCCGCCAGCTAACGTTCTCCGTGGAGCTCGATCGGGTGGAAGGAGGAACTCCGATCTCGCTGCTGATGGCGCAGGGAACCTTCATCCTCCCCTATCAGGGTGAGGCGAAGCAGCCGCCTTCCTCTTCTCCTCCTCCTCAACCTCCTCCCCATCATCATCATCATCATCATCATCATCATCATCATCATCATCATCATCATCATGTCCCTCCTGTTCGTCTCGTGCAATCTTTCTGCCCTTCTCCCCTGCTCGCCTTCTCATCCTGATCCTCTCCTTTCCTCCTCCTCTCTCTTCTCCTCTTCTCCTCTTCTTTTGCCCTCCTGCTCCTCCTCTTGGCTGCTGCTCCTCCTCTTGGCTGCTGCTGCTGCTGCTGCTGCTGTCTTCTCCTAACCCTCTGCTTCTACTTGTGATTTCGTTTCCTCAGGCCTCCGAGGGGATGAAAACAAAATCTTCTTGCAGATCATTGGAAGCATCGGGGTCGTCGATCCCTCCCCTGTCTCTTACAAGGGTGAGGGGGGGAGGACAGAAGATGGAGGAGGAGAGCGAGAAGAAGAGCGATCGACCAGCTCGTATCCTTCCTTCGATACTCTTCCACTTTCCTCACACTTACTCGATCACTGCTGGCTCTTTCTCTCTCTCCGATTCCCCTCCTTTCCTTCCTGTTCTCCTCTTCATCTCCTGACTACCCCGAAAGCTTCAGATACCTCTCAAGACTCACAGCAGGATCGTTCTGCAGAAGTCCTGCCCGTTCGCTCTCGACCCGTGAGGACTTGACCTGACCTCCTTCCCTTCCCCTCCCCTCCCTTCTCCTCTCCTCCCCTCCCCTTCTTTCCATTCCCTTCCCTTCCGCCTTCACTAAACTGCGTTCATGACTTCCTTGCAGTTGTAATGATGCAAACTCAATTTCAATCGTCTCAGTCGGTGAGATTTTCTTGCTCTTTCCCTCCTCCTCCCTGACACCAAACAGCCGACCCCTCGCTCTTCACCATCGAGACTGAGAACCCGTTGGGAATCGTCTCGCCGATTCCTGTTTGCCGCCATTGAGAGGAGGTGAGGTGATGACGTGGCACGCAGGTCCGGCTGGTGACAGCCGTTGGCTCCGACGATCTCAGGTAGTCTCATGCAGCGTGTGAGAGGAAGTGACGGGTGGGAACAGCGGGGACTGGCGAGGAGAGACGGTCTCAAGTGCAGGATACGTGGATGTGAGAAATAATCAGTGAAGACTGTTCTACCCTCGTCTTGTTACCTTGCTTGTTGTCTTTGCTGACATTGTTCTCCGTTGCAGTACATTACAACTCTCAAACTTGGTTGTATCTCAATCTCAACGACATGTCCCGCCATCGCCAACTACGACTGCAACTACATCCAAACTCCGACACATGTGCAGGTTTGAGATTTGAAAATGAATGAAAATGATGATGACAATGACAAGTATTGGGGAATGTAACAAAGAGTTTGAGGGCGATATGGGGATGACGATGACGATGACGATGATAATGGTGGTGCTGGTGGTGATGGTGGTGATGATGACGATGACATGATGGCAACCTATGTTTGCACATTGTTGTGTTTTGCTGCCAACATGTTGACAACCCTCAAAAGGTTGCTGGGGAAAACATGCAGGTATCAACGCAGACTTCAAGGTTTCACTCTGTCACTGACGACATGACGTACCTGCTGTCGGGGTAAAACAGCATCCGTTGCACTTTACATGTCAAGTTTTGAACCTCTTTGCTGTCGCCAGGAGCTCCAGCGTTTTGACCATCAAGAGCAAAGACAACGGTCAAGTCAATGTTTACAACTCCTCGAACAACAAGGTGAGACAAACTCAAAGCTCACCATGACATCAGAACACAACACAACACAACACAACACAACACAACACATTGAGTCTCTCACCTGTTAGAACGCTTGCCTCCGATATCGTGCACTCCGTCGGGTGAATCTTGAAGGCGATTGGGATACAATACTGGAGATGCAATGGCCGAGTACCTTCCTTGCTATTGGTCGACTCTCTTCCCGACTGTTCTCCTTTCCCCTCCTTTCCCCCTGTCTTGCTTCTGCAGCGTCTTCCTCCTCTTCCCGGTCATCCTCCTTCTCCCCCTCCCCCTCCCCTTCTCTGCTTCTGCTCTCCTCTCATCTCCTCTCACTGTCCTGTTTGCCCATCTCTCCCTCCACCTTCGCCATCCCCCCGCCCTCCTCACTTGTATGACCTCGTGCGATCCCAGTGAGAGGGACTGGCGACCTGGCAGTGAGGCTTAGGTTCAAGCTCACGGCGATCAAACAGTTCAGCCCGTTCGGGCTTGAGCTGGCGACGTCATACGAGAACGAGGTCAGCGAGAGGAGAGGAGAGGAGAGGAGGGGAGATCAGAGTGGTTGTGTGGAGAGATCAGTAGGGAACAGCCCGAGGGGAGGAGGGAGGAGGGAGGAGGGAGGAGGGAGGAGGGAGGAGGGGAGAGGGAGAGGTAGCCGTCGCCATTGCTGACGATCTTGTTTGCAGTACCTCAAGCTGGCACTGGCAGACATCGCAGGTGAAGTTTGCGGTGCGAGTGTGTCAGAGGAGTGAGGGACGAGCAGGAGTGTCTTCTACCAGCGTCTCCTTCACCAGCGACAAGTATCCTCCGGTCCCTTCTCCTTTCTCCCTCCCCAGCCCGCAAGCTCACACAGAACAACAGATAGAGCAATGCAACCAGCTCGACTCCTGCAACATAGAAGCATGGGTGAGGAGCAAGAGAGGCAGAGACAGGCAGAGCGAGAGGGAGGGGGGGAAGAGAGGGAGGGAGGGACGCTGGGGAGAGTCTCATGCTGGTGACCTGCAGTTGTCTGCTGAGACGGTCGATCAGAAGACTATCGTCTCAAACTGGATCGCTCAGATCAGCAAGGCGGTGAGCCGTGCTGTCACTCCTGCCTCTTCCCTTCCTACCCCTTCTCCTCCTTCCCTACCTCCATCTCTTCCCCTGTTCCTCCTTCCTCCTCCTCTTTTCCTCCCCACACATGTCTTCCTCCTCTTCCTCCTCTTCCTCTTTTCCTCCCCCTCCCCATCTCTTCCTCCTCTTCCTCTGTTTCTCCCCCCCATTGCTCGTCTCTGCTCCTCGTCATCCAGAACTTGATCTTCCCTCAACCTACACCCTTGCAGTTTGATTCTGGCGATTTCAACAAGCGGCTCAGCGTGAGGGATTTGTTTGCTACAGCTACGCTCAACGAAAATCCATTTGTAAGCCTCCCTCCTCCCTCAACTCGTTCTCCTCTCTTTCCCATCTACACCTTTCTTCCTATCCACGATCACCACCACGAGCCCCTCCTTCCCTCTCTTCCTCCATCCTGATGCATGCCCACCCCTCACACTTGGCCAACCTGCTCACCTCCGTTGCCTCTCCTCTCCTCCTCCTCCCTCGTCCCTCTCAACGTCTCTTCTCTCCCTCCCTCCCTCATCTTCCCCTGACATTCTTTCAGCCCTCCAAACAACTGGACAAGGACACGACTTGCCCTCCGGTCACCTCCCGATTTTACAGCTTCCCCAACTACGGCAAATGGACGGACCCTGTCGAGGAAAGTGCTGTGCAAAGGAGGCAGTGTATAGCGAAACTTGGACGAGGGAAGGGAGAAGCTTGGAGGAGGAGAACAAGGAGGAGAGGGGAGCGGGGGGAGGGGAGTGCGGAAGGAGGAGAAGGTCCTGACGCCTTCTTCAGGGAATGGATCTCATCAAGTCAACGGACGTGAACGAGGCAGGCATGCTGAACCGCAAGTCCGCCGACTGCCTCACAAAGGTTCCCATCCTCCGACTATCCTTCTCCTATCCGACCCTCTTCTCCTCCGCTTCTCCTCCCCATCCCCTCCCCTTCTCCTCCCCTTCTCCTCCCCTTCTCCTCCCCCTCTCCTCCCCCTCTCCTCCCCTTCTTGGGGCCTCACATGCTCATAGAACGGAGCGCTCGACGGGGACAATGTGCAGTACGATCAATCCTACACTGTGACCTTCACGCCCACGACGGTGAGGGGGCTAAAGAGGGAAGGGGATAGAGGGCAGGAGAACAGGAGGGAGAAGGGGCGGAGGTTATGGACGGTTGAAGTAGATTAGGAAAGGAGTCAGTTCGTGAGAGGGGAGGCGACAAGGAGCATGAGCTGATATCTCAAACTCAGATCCTGCTGCGCAATGGCAACCCTCCCAGCAGTCTGGCGTCTGCTACGAGCCCCCCCGCGCAGGTGAGTAGGAGCTTCCATACGTGGAGGGAACAGGACATGACGATCAAGTTCAGACCAACGTCACCACGACATTCAGCGCAGGGCCACGGAGGGAGCCAGGTATGCTGGCAGCGCTGGTGGTGGCGATGCTGCTGTTCGTGGCAGTGGGGGTCAGGGGAGCGACTGAGTGAGAAGGAAACAAGATGTATTTTATTACATGAGGGGGACAAGCTTCTTTCACACACCCACTTGAGCCCCGGGAGTGGACAAACGGACGGGGAAACTGATGCTGGAAACCCTCTACATGCCGACGATGGGGAGGCTGACAGGAGAGATCATCATGGACTTGAATCGCTCCATGTTGTGCTGGGTCTCGCACTTCACAACCTGCCATGGCGTCAAGCGCTGACGAGGATGCAAACACACTCTCACCTCCTCGTATGTTCCCTTGACACCGCACGAGCAGGTGTATTCGATGCCCTTGCAAGAGGTTTCGTGCTCAGCAACATCCTCATAAATTCCAGAGTATCCGCAGTTCTTCTGGCAGACGAAGGCCTGGGGGATCATGCAGGGGCAGGTAGGAGAAGAGATGAGTCTGATGATACAAGGCGTTCAGATGCATCGTGGAAGAGCGCTCGAGGTGTCATACCTGAGCTGCTCCATCTTCTGGGCACGATGCTGGGTGATACACTGAGCCCTGGCGAGGATGAGCTTGTTCTCAAGGAACTTCTCGTCGGCGGCAGCGAGGGCAGCCTTGGTAGTATCGTAGTTCTCGCGGCAATCCTGGAGGACCTTGTCGTTCTCGGTCTGGCGAGCAGTGATCTGCTGAACGAGCTGCAGGTCCCGACGTCACTACCGAGTGAACAACAGCACGTGTCCAGTACCTGAGGGTTGGCCTCGAAGGTCTTGAGGTCTCTCTCGATCTGATCGGCCAGGACCTCGGCGCTGTACATCTGCTGGTGGAGGGTGTCGAACTTGAACTGCGCCTCGATGTACTCCCTCATCTCAGCGTCGACCTGGGGGTATCCTTGTGAGTTTCGAAATCGCGCAAGGCACTAACTCGCACCTTCTGACCGCACTTGATGAGCTCTCTGTTGCTCTCCTCGTAGTCAGCCATGGCTATTCTAGTCCTGAGAGGTCGTTAGCTTGCATAGCTGCACTCACAACGAGAAACTCACTCGAGGCAGGTTCTGTTCTGGCATTCTCCAGCGCGGATGCCGCCCTCGAACATGTTGAGGGACGCTACTTCTTCGATCTTTTCGTCGCTGAGAATGTCCTCGACCTTGTTCTCCGGGTGGTGAGGGATGATGACTTCGACGACCAAGCAGTTCTGGCCGACAATGATCTGTCCAACCTTGAAAGGGGCACACTGCTCGTGCATACCGAGCTTGATGAGGGGACCACGAAGCTTCTCCTTGAGCGAGGTTCTGAGCGCCTCTTCGCCCTCGGGCTTGAGAACCTCTTCGTCCTTGTTGAGGCGAACGCGGAGGGCGATGGGTCCACCATCGCGGGGCTTGGGAGCAGGGCAGGAGGCCAAAGACGCCATGGAAGCTGGTGAGAGCGATTGAGGGTCACCCGGTTATAAACCTTCTAAAAGGGAATGGGGGGTGGGGGTTTGATGTTGAGGGGTCCCCAGAGCTGAAAAGGGGGTGAAAAGAGGCAAAATCGAGAGGAATGGGGGGTGGGATTCGAAACGGGTAGTTCGTGTGGAGATTCAGTGATGACTGGTGGGTCATACGTAGGTTCTAGGAAGCATATCATCAGTCTCGGATCTCCTAGCGGGAGTCCATTCAGGTCCTAGGAAAGTGTCCTATCATCAGTCTACCACGCCTAACAACCGTTTTTTTCCTGGGTGCAGATGTTGCCTACCCTACAGTATATTTTTGGAGTACCCACCCTGGATTCATAGTGATAACATGTCTTGAAATAAGGGGTAGTAATGAATCCCCTACCCCCCGATCAACATAACAAAAACCTCCTCGAGCACCAAGGGAAATAGAGCCGTTACACACGAGTGTGCGAGGGGCACAATTAGAAATATTTCCAAAAATAGAAGCAGATTTAAAAATCTCGGTACAAAGATCAAGAATCAGTAGAAACTTTCTGTACGTCCCCTCGAGGCTGTTAAAAGTGATCTCTTACAACCAACTCGTGGCCCTTGTACCATGTCAAGTTGACTTTTCTTACAATTCATTATTATACCAGCCGGGCGTGAGGGGCTCGGAGTCCGGCGGCCGGGCCGGTCGGCGGCGGGCACTGGGTGACGCCGGGCCCCGGGCCCGGGGCCCAGGAGTACTGTTAGTGCCGCGCTCAGTCACTAAAAAATGATAGGGAAGCCTCGGAGTTTGGTGGGGTGATCTAGATAGGGGTAGGGGTAATAGATACACCGGTACATTTGTCTGTTGTGTGTGTCAAAATTTGAGGTAGGGTGATCAATTGTGTACTAATGATGTGGGGTGGGTGAGAGGACTCTGGAGGGTAGTGATCAGGCGCATCCCTAGAGGGCTTCAAGAACTTTGCGTGCATGTAAATCGATGCGTAGGAGAGGAGGGAAAGTGGAAGAGAGGCTGGGGATAGAAGAGAAGAGAGAGGGACAAGGAACAAGATCCGTACATGCTCAGCACCTGAAAGAACAAAGCTGAAGAAAGATGAAGAATGAGAACCGGTAGTTGTCGACGCGAAGTCGATCGGAAAAGAGGCGGGGCTGACTATTCTGCAAGGGCTGCAATGAACAATCACTCTCACAGCATCCTGCTAACGCCTGTAACTTTGTCAGGATCGAATGATATGAGCAAGGTGGAGACCGAGTTGAAACAAAGACTATTGCCCTCTCCTCAAGATCCTCCCGGTGAAGGTCCACCTACCTACTGCTAAGTGGATTGCTCTAAGATCTCTTGCCTTCAGATCCAAACGCACAGAGGAGGGTGTTGAGTGCCGAGGCCGCAACCGACCTAGAGGAAGGATGTGGGACGAGGAGGATCGCTCTCCAGATCACCGGGATGACCTGCGCGAGCTGCGTCTCCAAGGTCGAGAGGACTATCTCCTCGCTGAGAGGAGTGAGCAACGTGTCCGTCAACCTCCTCACCGAGACTGCCGGTCTGAGATCGATCTCCAACACTTGTCAACTTGACTGATGTGACCGCACGCAAGGCCTTGAGATCTCGGCAGACATCGCGGTTGACGATGTCGTCCGAACGGTGGAGAACCTCGGCTATGGAGCTAAAGAGAAAGTGTCTGGATCGAAGGTGAACCTAGGGAGGCAAGGATTGTTCTCTGCTGATCTGAACAAGCAGGCTCTGTACTTTACCTTGTGGGCCGCTGGGACGTCCCTCTTGCATACCAAGGAAACGGTTGAGAGGTCTTTGAACCAACTGGGACTCAACAAGTACAAAGTCGTTCCTTTCGAGTCATCAGAGCCCGAGATTCAGCATCGCTTGCAAGCTATGTATCACAATGACGGGGGGCCGACGTTCGATGCGATGTCGACGGTGGTTGTGCAGGGGTCGTTCTCCACAGCGGACATCACTGTAAGGGACCTGTTGGATCTGCTGTGGGACAAACAGTTGAAAGCTGGGAGCATTACGATGCCCAACCAGGTCAATCAGAATGGCGCGCTCCTCAAACGGAGGCAGCTCCAAAGGCTCCTGCTGGCCAGCTGCATCTTCACGGTCCCGTGCTTTCTGATTGCCATGGTGTTTCCTATGATACCGTCCCTGAATGTTGTGCTTTCGCAACGAATTTGGGGTGCAGTGAGTCTGGGAACGATTCTCACGTGGATCCTGTCGACGCCAGTTCAGTTTGTGATTGCCGCAAAGATGTACTACAAGGCCTACCGCACGATCCTCACAGGGACGCCTGGAATGGAAGTGTTGATCATGACCGGCACCTCGGCCTCGTACATCTATTCCGTCATTGCGGTCATCATCTCCTCGGGAGCGGATTTCGAGCTGCATTCCTTCTTCGAGACCGGGTCCATGCTCATCACCTTCGTCTACTTAGGCAAACTCCTGGAAGCGATAGCGACGGGACGGACCTCCATGGCGCTCGAGAAGCTGATGAACTTGCAGCCGGCCACTGCACTGATCGTGTATAACTTCGAGATGGACGATGATGGGGGCGGTGGGCGGCCGGGGGCATCAAGCCTGGAGAGGGAAGTTGATGTCGACCTCCTCAAAGTCGGAGACGTAGTCAAGGTTCTGCCTGGAGGCAAAATCCCCGCGGACGGGACCGTGATGCGGGGGAAGGGGTCAGTGAACGAGAGCATGATCACAGGCGAGTCTCTCCCGGTTGACAAGCAGCCCGGATCGAAGGTGATCTGCGGCACCATCAACCTGAACGGGTTCATCTACATGAGAGTTGAACAGACTGGCGATTCTACGATCCTCGCACAGATCGTCAACCTCGTCCAGGAGGCGCAGGCCTCCAAGACTGAGATCCAGCGGATCGCCGACGTCATCGCCGGAGTCTTCGTCAAGGTTGTCATAGTCATCGCACTCCTGACATGGATGACTTGGGTCTTGCTCGTGACCAACGGGTTCGCTCAGCCCGAATATGAAGGCAACTTGCTCCATCCGACCGTCTTTGCGCTCATCTTTGCCATGTCGGTGTTGGTTATCGCATGCCCCTGTGCGCTCGGACTGGCGACTCCGACGGCCGTCATGGTGGGCACTGGAGTGGGAGCGAGGGAAGGGATCCTGATTAAGGGAGGGCGAGCGCTGGAGACGGCTCATCGCATCAGTGCGATCATCTTTGACAAGACAGGTACTGTAACTCAGGGCAAACCGCAAGTCACAGGGCACTGGTGTGTCACTGCTGAGGGCTCTAGGAAGGAGGCGATCAGCACAATGATGTGGAGCTTGCTGGAGAGTGCAGAAGCAAACTCGGAACATCCACTGGGGCAGGCGATCCATCAGAAGGCTCGGACGATGTTGGAGAGCAGCGGGAGGGAGGAGGAGTCGTTGATGGGGCAAGTCGGCGGTCCCGAGGATGGAGGAGCAACAGACTTTGAGACCGTCGCTGGTCGTGGACTCAAGTGCAAGGTGAGCAGAGAGTCTGAGGGATCGATGGCGTGAGGCACCTGACAACAGGTGCGGGACATCGACGTGTGCATCGGAAATGCTGCCTTCATGCACGATGTTGGTGCTGTGTGGGCCAAAGACGTCGAAGGGGGAAGGGCAGGAGATCGGGCCAACGAGATCATTGCCGAATGGGAGTCGCAGGCAAGTACAAGCCTGCATGTAAGCGAGCGAGCCTGAGCTTGTCGCTACAGGGCTGTACCGTCGTCCTCGTCTCCATCCAAGGCATGATTATAGGGTGCTTGGCTCTGTCCGATCCCATTAAGGTCGAGGGCGTGTGCTGGTCTCGCCTTGCTGACGTCAGCGGCCTCTTCAGCCCGAGGCTAAGGATGTCGTCAACTGGTTGACGCAAAAGAAGATGGAGGTCTGGTTGGTCACAGGCGACAACTCGCACGCAGGTCTTACGAGCATCTTCTAGTGACTCGCTGACTCTGCAGCATCAGCCATGCATGCTGCAAGAAGCATCGGCATCAGCAACGTGCAAGCAGAGGTACTCAAGTCTCTCATCGACCTCCTGCTTGACCCCTCATGCTCAGACGTTCCCAGCCGACAAGGTTGCGCGCGTGAAGGCGCTGCAGGTTGAGGGTCGACTTGTGTGCATGAGCTAAAGGCGGAGGAGCAGGCGGAGGGCCATGTGGTCGCCATGGTAGGAGACGGGATCAACGACTCTCCTGCGCTCGCTCAGGTTCGTTGACTGACCGTCGAAACATGTGACTCGCTTCCAGGCTGATCTGGGGATCGCGATCGGAAGCGGCACAGACATCGCGATCGAGGCTGCGGACATTGTGAGGGGTCAAGATGCTTCGTCGTTCTTGTGACGGAGATTGCAGGTGCTGATGCATGCGAGCCTGCAGGACGTGGCCGTCGCCGTTCATCTCTCCATGGTGGAGCCCCTGCCGCTCCTCGTGCTCTGCCTTATCCTCCTTGCAGGCGACTTATCGTCGGATCATCATCAACTTCATCTGGGCCTTCTTCTTCAACATCATCGGCATCCCTCTTGCCGCCGGGCTGTTCCATCCTCTGGGTGTGCTGCTGCCCCCTGGGCGGCAGGACTTGCCATGGCACGGCAGTTCCCTTGCAGCCGGGTTGTCGACTGACGAGTCGACAGGCCTGCTCGTCAGTGTTGGTAGTGATGTCTTCCTTGCTCTTGAACCGATACAGGAGACCTGCCTTCAGCCGGGGGCAAGGTGACTCGTTTCCACATCCTCCTGCTATCGAGCACTGAACATGGCTGCTGACGCTACAGGAGCAAGGAGTCAGGCAACAGGAGCCCCCGTCCTCCACTCTCAGGGCATCCAGGCTGCCAATACGTCTTCCATGGTGGTCGGTTGCAGCTGTGGGAACACGGGTCCTTGACTGATCCCTCGTCCCTCCTCCCTTCTCACGTTGGAGTCCAGGGTGTCGCTGCCCCCCCATCCGCTACCTCTATCAGCCCTCGAGCGGCGGGTACGTTCCCGAGGAGCATCGCTGCGCGGACTTTGGGTGCGAGGTGAGCGGGAAGGAGAAGGAGCGGCGGGGATGGTGGTGACGTGCTGCTGCCGCTGGCAGTCCTGCTCCAAGTGCAACGAGATCATCGAGAAGTCCAAGGAAGTTCGTTCAGTGCATGTGAAGAGCGCGGGCGATGGTCATGCCCTGCTCCTCAAGGTTCAGGGCATGTCGTGCGGAAAGTGCTCGAGCCGAGTGAACAAGTGCCTCTCGAAGCAGGTTGCCCGCCTCCTGCCGCCTGCCCTGCATTTCTGACCGCATGCTGTCAGGAGGGAGTGACGAGGGTTGAGGTCGACTTGGAGAGGGGGGAAGCGCGAGTATGGGGAGACGTTGTCAGCGCCGATGCAGTGCCTTGCGATCTTCGAGTCGAAGGGATGACCTGCTCCAAGTGCGAAAACCGGGTGAAGAAGATGATTCAGAAGATAACCAAGGAAGCTGTCATCAAGGTCAACCTCTCCAATGGGCTCGTTCAGGTCCACAAGGGCGCCAAGTTCATCGACCAGGTCGTGTCGGAGTTGTCCTCCAACGGGTATATGGCTCACAAGCTCCCTGGCAAGACCAGCGACGTGGATCTTTGCGCTTCCCTCGTGGAACTGGGATACAATGCAACCACCATGGAGGGCTCCGGGCATGGCGGAGCAGCACAAGACGGCAGGAAGGTGGTCTACGTGTTTGGAGAGGCAGAACTGCGCGCTGGCTCTGAGATCAAGGCTTTGCTTCTTCAAGCTCTTGGAGCTGCGTACGACGACCGGGACCTTACCTTCATACCCATAGCCGTTCGTGACGAGCAACGAGGAGCGCAAGAGGAGGAGCTGGCCGATCGCCAGCTCAAGCTCGTGTACATGGCATGGATGAAAGTGAATCCTGACGGGGATGATGAGAGGAGAGTGCTCGAAAGGCTCGTGACAAGAGGGTGGCAAGCATTTGTTGTCTGAAAGGTATAACGATGTAGGACTGTCAGACACTTGAGTGAAGGCAATCGGGATGTTTTATGACAAAACGCTCTCAAACGCTAAATACTCTTAACATGAAATGGCTTTTGCCAACACGTGTCGGTCACGCGTCAGTCCTGCCTGTTTGAGGAACTCCTTGAGCGAGAAGTGCCCTTCTTCTATCGCGATCTCTACTACCGTCCTTCCATCTGTACATCGGCAATTCAAGTCGGCTCCCCCCTCCAGCAGCGCTTGGAAGCTATCCACATCTCCCTTCTGCGCTGCGATGGCCAGTGCAGGAAAACCGTCAGCATCGCACAGTTCAGGGTTTGCGCCAGCGGCAAGCAGGAGCTTGATACTCTCGGTCTTGCCTTTCTTGGTGGCGCGGATCAAGGCAGTGCACCCGTCCGCATCCAGGGCATTTAGATCTCTGCAGTATTGCAGAAGAGCGGAGAGACAGCTGGCATAACAGGACGCAAAGTGCAGTGCCTTTTCGCCCTTGTCTGTCTTCGCCTCCGTGTCTGCTCCTGCCTTGACGAGGACCCGGATACACTCCGGCTCCACGCAGTTGGCTGCGTTCATCAGGGCAGTGCGTCCGTTCCTCATGCTCGCATTTGGATCAGCCTGAGCAGCCAGAAGCAACTCCAAGCACTTTGGGTCGCCACTGGTCGCCGCGTTCATGAGAGGAGTCCTCCCATTGATGCCGTTGTGAGCACCAGGATTGGCTCCTGAGTCCAACAAGAGCTTCAGGCAGCTGGTCCTCGCAGCCTTGACGGCAATGCAGCTGCTCGCATAGTGGCTCGAGGCGAAGTGCGCAGCTGTCTCACCGCAGTCGTTGATGGTGTTCGGGTTTGCTCCTGCTTGAAGGAGTTGCCCAACGATCTCTACATGTGCGAGCTTCGCAGCGGTCAACAGGCAGGCCTCGTTTCTTTGACGACAGATAGCGTTTGCATCCACATTGGAGTCAAGAAGGAGTTTAGTGAAGTCTGATTTCCCGCATCTCACTGCATGGATCAGTGCTTCCTCTTGCTTCTGCCTTGTTTCGTCAGAGCGCTTCCCGGACATGAGTCGCTTCAATCGTTCCATGTCATCGGTACTGACTGCTTCAACATAATCGCAAAAGTCATCTTCCCATAGCATATTTCTTCAAACGATCCTGAGGCAAATTGAAATGTGGACTTGACCCTCACAGGATGCTCGACAGGATGTATCAAGGTGATTCAACTCGATTTGTAGATGAGTGATGAGCTTTCCCTCCGACTCCGCTCTGGTTCCAGGTCCAGGATGAGATTCTTTTGCCAGCTTTGCAGAAACGATCGAAGAGAGATAGGGAGGAGAGGAAAGGGAGCAGCCCTTGGCAGAACTTGGCGCAAGGCAGCAACAAGCAAGCAACAAGCAGCACGGGGTTGGGGAACGGGTTGGGGAACGGGGTTGGGGAGGAGGCGGAGGAGATTAAAATCCTTGATGAACTTACAGGAAACCTGCAGGGATTGGGGTGGGGCAGCAGAGAGTTGAGGGTACAAGCTTACCCAAGTTTCATTAGTATCTCTATATAGAGATTGCGATAGTCAACCCCTATCCCTTGAAGAAAACCAGTCAATGGCCAAAATTGAGGAATGGGGGGTGGGGTAGTAGAGGTGGGGTTGCTGCGAGATGATGCGAGATACCTACACCTGGCAGATCAAATTTTGAAAAAGAAATATTTCGTCTTTTGGGTACTATAATTTAAATTGGATGTAAAAGCAAGCACCACCCCCCACCCCTGTCTTTCGACCATGAGCTCCTTAGTACCCAACAACTTTACCTCAATTTTACCCCTACTTACAGACCCCGAACCGTCAGGCGCATTCAAGTCCAACGGCGACCGGACATCTTTCGGAGGCTAATAAAGGTTATTAGCCTGTCTAAAAGGTTATTATAGCAGGTCCGTGGTCATGAAACTCCATTTCTCTTTGTGGTACCTAGCGGCTGCTCGCTGTGTGAGGGTAACGTGACGGCGATAGAGATTGAAGGGTCGTAGAGCTCTCGAGATCGCATTCCGCTAGCAGTCTGATGGCATGTGCTAGTCCCAAGGGTCAGCAAAAGGGTCACGGAGCCTCCGACACTCTGACACGTACTGAGGCCGTGCCACTTGCCGTGCCCTAAGACCTTCACCTTGCCTTTTTGGATACGGTAGTACCCCGGGGCCCGCCGGGGGCCCCACCACAGCCACCCGACTGTTTCAGTCGGTGGCGGGTCCCGGGGGCCCGCCCGGGCGGCCGGGAGCGGCGGCGGGCCCCGGGTCACCGGGTTGTCGTCGTACGCCCTGATTTTTCAAAGTTTAACTCAACTTTGAGTGAAGGCCGTTAGTAACCAAGACTGAGGTGTGATCGGAGTGTGATAAAGCCGTTGCCCAGTCGCAACATGCAACGCGGTGAGGACGAGCCTGGCATGGAGGCTCATCAGATGCAGCCAGCACCGTCAAGGACAAACCATGCCAGGCTCATCAGATGCAGCCAGCACAAGGACAAACTTGAAAGGGGCCGATGAAAGTTCAATGCCATGATGGCTGGTCTACCTCACCTGGCTCCGAAGAGACGATGTCGCCTTGAATCATCGGATCCTCAAAGCTACTAGACAAGCATTTCAATCTCTGCGGAGTCCTTGTGGCCGCCCAAGTACCTGAGTCACTGGCCGTTGATTCAGCAACTTGACTTTTCAACTTGAAGAAATTCGAATCAACAACTGCATCTCCTCACTTCACTCGGACTTGTGCACATCCTTCTAGATGACTTCAAGCAGGGGTTGCGTCGAAATGCTGGAGCTCCTTGCTCAATTTAGCAGGGATCCCAATCAGCATACCATAGTTGGTCGCATGTTGAACTTAGTCTTGCATCAGTTTCCGTTGATCTCCAGGAACGACGATATCTTTAAGAAGTACCAAACAACAATAAGGCTGTTATGGCAGCAGCCGAATCTTCTCATGATCCATTCTTGCACTCTGAAGAGGATTGTGGGAATGGACTGCAACAGCGACTCCATTCTGTGCTCTCTTGTAGAAGTTATGATGCTGAAAACAGATTTTCAGATAGCGGCATACATTGAAACGGTCTCTAGTTTCATTCTTTCTCGTCACTGTCGCTGCCTTGATCTTCTTGGGAGTTACGCAGTCTGCAAGCATTTCTCGTCCAGGAAGACTGCAATGAGATGTCTCACCAAGGCAGCGATGAAGGACATGTCGTTGTTCGAGGCGTGCGTTAAGACCATTCTACAAAAACTGTCAGATGTCCATGTCAAGACAGATTTCTGTCTGGAGGCTCTCCTAGACCTGGCTCGATCAAGCTGCCTTGCATTCTTGGCTCTTATCGCGGAGCACATGAATCGACTTGACCGTGACGGAAGAGTTTTCATTGCGGTCCTACACGTGATCAAAATCATCGCACATGACAGCAACTGGACCTCAAACTGTGTACACACTCTGAATATGAATTTGCAGCATGAAAGCAACTTGGCTCGCCAGAACGCTATACAAGCAATTGCTTTCGTTTGCAACAAAGAAACTACAAAGAATTACACTAGTGTGAAGACTACTCTTTACTTTCAGGACAGCGTTTCAACGTCAGAAATTCAACAATCTGTCCTCAAAGAGATGGCAAGGTATTTAGAACATTCCTCGAAAGACGTACAGGAATCAGCCATATCTGCTTTCAAAGCCCTGAAAGAAGTGGGAGTCAGCAAAATCTCAATTGTTCAATGCGTTTCGAATTATCTTACCAATCCCTCAGAACAAATTCGTGATATGGCAGTTTACGGTATTTCGCAGATAATTTCCAACTCGGACACTGATTGTGTACACATCTTATTTGAGACGATGAAAAACTCTAGCGAGCTTCAAAGAAAATCTATTGTTCGCGCGCTGAGCAGAATTCTTCCAGAAACAAACATACGTGACATGAGCGCTACTTTGCCGAAGATAGAAAGCATCTACAGGGTGGAAATCGCTTTCACACTTCTTTCTTCACCTTCTACTTTCCTTACTGATGAGAAGGAGACTTTCTTAGGAACTCTGGCTCGGGTGACAGGAATTGCAGTTGAACGAATCAGTCTACGTGACGTCACTCGTGTCTCTCCATCAATAACACATGAAATATTGGCTAAAAGCGAACATGGACCAAAAACTTTGGGCTTGAACCAGAGCTATTGGAATTCGACAAAGCCGAATTCCAGAAAGAGGAGGGGAGCGGCTTACGGCGGTGCAATGACGGTGCGTGTCGAGTGTGACATCCTTCTCAACAAGAATGAAACATGCGAGTTACTGTTTGATTCTGACAATCTGCAACAAGTTCTTTCCGAACAGGGTTACATTTGGCTGGAAGTAGTTCGACCCGCCTCGATTGCAAGCACGAACTCAACTCTGATTTCTCAGACAATGATGGATCTTTTGCAGGAGGAGCAGAGCCATCACGTGATACACGATGCCCTTAAAGTTCTCGAAGCCGTTGTCGAGCAGAAGCATATAGGGCTCAAATATATGTGATCCATGAAATGATCCATGAATTTTCTATTTTTCAAAGGGATGCTCTATCATGCACAAGAACCATGATCATGATATGTATTCATTACCACACAGCAAGAACAACGAGGCTTTAACCCCTGCTCTTGAGGAAAGCGATGAGATCTGCACGATCCTCGGCCTTCTTCAGACCAGCAAACACCATCTTAGTACCGGGCATGTACTATCGAGCGCTGTCAGTTGCATCACAATAGCCCAGTCAAGCTTACCTTCTTGGGATCCTGCAAGTAGACCTCAAGGTGCTTGTCACTCCAGATGATTCCAGAGTTCTTGTTGGCAGCCGAGTACGCAAACCCGGCTACCTGGCCTGACTCACGTCCAATGATACCCCACAAATTGGGTCCCTGTCCGTTCTTTCCACCCTGAACCATTCTTTAGCAAACAAGGCGCACTAAATGTCTAGCAGTTTGAAAACAAGACATAAACAAAACAAAATCGAAGAAAGTCGAAGAGCACTGTCAACAGATGCATTGCCGTGGAATAGATTGGGAGAAAGCGACACAACTCATGACATCAGATTCAGTCATAAGCTTGAGTAAACATAAAGGAACTCTAACACACTTTCGACGGCATCTATAATGTCTACAAGGAGCCTGGTCAGGCCAACAATCAACATCACAGGACACATCGTGTCTGGCAAATCCCCACGCTGTCACGAGACCATAGATTCCAGACATCCCTCGCAACAAGTAAGGGTTCTAACCTGGTCGGCATTGTGGCACTGGGCGCACTTGGTCTTGAAGATCTTCGCACCCTTCTCGACATTTCCGTCGGCTACAGTCACATCCGGCTCAGGGATACCCATGGTGTTCGCTGCTTCTCGCTGCTTGCTTGAGGTTGCTCAGAATGTGGGGGTAGGGTCTGGTTGGGGTGCATATCCCACGGCCTCGGGGTAAGTTGATGGTAGATAAGGGGGGTAGTCGTGCAAGGACACTGTACGACGATGGGAAATAAGGGGGTATGTCACGGGCTCAGTACGGGTCCTGCGAGATGATTTCTTATTCTGCAAGGTAGGGGTGTGCAATGAGTCCACTGACCGGTGGATGGCGATGAGGGGGTGGGGTGGAGGAGGGGTGATGAATGTGGTACGAGGCGTAGAATGGGGATCTGGATGGGTGGGTCCCATGTACCCCCCTTGCCCTGAGACCCTTGAGGATCTTGGGGGATCTGTGACTGAGGTGGAAGGGGGTAGAGACAGGGGGGTGGTGGAATGCGTAGGGTGGTAGGGGGTAGGGGAGGAGCGGGAGCTTGGGAGTGTGTCCACGTGCTGATGCGATGGAGCGATCCTATTTCTCAATTTAAAAATCAGTATATTGAAAAGAAACTCAATTATTCCATAGTACAGATTCAATTCTTATTTCAATTTACAATGGAAATTATTTGTATGTTAAAATTGAAAGGTAATAATTTGTTTCCAAATTACATCTATATATATTCCCAACGGTAATGATTTCAGTACCAGTCACTCTCAATAATCGTACCAGTTCCTTTTTTGTCAAGGAGCTCTAGCGGGAGGGCGTCAAGGGGGGTAGAGGGTCCATAATGAATATTATATGGGTAGGTCATTGTATATCCAAAGGGAGGGTAGGGTCAAACATAAGTGATCAGATGGTGGGGTGGGACATAGACATGCTACGTATCAGCTGTCATCCATAAAAAAGAGCTCTGAGGCGAGCCAGTAAAACCAATTTCTGTGGCCCGGCGGCCCCGGGCCCGGCCCGAGAGTAAAATGCTAGCTGGAGTACTTGGTGTCCGTCCGATAACCGTTACGATCTCCGTTATCCTTGGCCCTTGGTCCCGCAGGCCGCGAATGAATGGTGGTGTGAAGGTAAGCGGAGGACGAACGCTGATGAGAGAGTTGAGGCCGATAGAGGGGTTAGAGAGGTGAAACGATTCTATTGACCTCTGTTGTGTATCATAGTGACTATCCCCAACCTGTTCTCTGGTGCTTCTTCTTGTCTTAACCTGATTTCAATGCATACAGATGTTAGTTCAGTTTCAATTGGCAAGCTTCTTTGCCGTTGCCTTCACGCTTGTGCTGCAAACTCCACATGTCGGAGCTACATGTGCGAACTTTGCAGCTTGGCTGAAACCTGTCAACCAGAGCCATGTAAGTCCAAATCCGCAAGTGCTATCCATTAATACAACGTTTTCAGCAAGCGTTTGGGTTTGTGGCTTTCAGGCCTTTGCCTGATGGACAGTCCATCGTAATAGATTGGCAAATTCAGTACCCTTCGAATGCAAACCCGAACATTCAGACGAGGCTGGCCGGGGTTTTCGGTCCTTCGACGAACCCTCCGGCAAGTGCATCGGCCTGTTTTCGCTTTTTGACGTCATTCATTTCAGTATAAGCCATCGAATTCGGGTCCTTTGTTGGATTTGGGATCCATTGTCAGCTCTCCTGGGAACGTAGTCTCGTCCCGAATAATGAGAGCATCCAACCACATGTCTCAAATCTTGTCGTTTATGCGTGAGGGGTCGCTTTTCGTCGATGTGAGCAGTACCGCTGTATGCTCGCTTTCCTCCTGATTTGCACTTGCAAAGGTCATATTGGACCCCACAACAAAAGAAGAGCTTTACGGAAAGATTGTCATTCCAAGCTGTATGGAGGCTTCGCTACAAAATACTTTCGCATCGGGATTTGCAAATCTTCTCTACACGGCAGAATACTATGCACTTCGGTTCATTTTTCGACAGGATGTAACAGGTGTAACTGCTTCATTGGGATTTGCGGTATCCATGCGCATTATCTTTTACCTTGTTATTGATGATGCTCAAAACTCCAGAACGTCAGCCAAACAAGTAGTGTGAAACTGAACAACGAAATTCGAACCAGTGGGCAAAGCTACATGTACGTATTCAGATAATTTTGGTTGTGTATTGACGTATTGCAATCGAAAGTTACACTGTCGGGTGGAAATCTGATTGGCCTGGAGTGAATTTTCAGTCTCCAGCAACTTTAACCACCAGCCAGGGGCAAATTTTGTTTCAGTTTGCAGCTGCCCTACATTGTAGAGTGCTTTCAAATGTACCTACAATCATATGTTTCGATCTCATGACTTAATCTCGTGGCAGGTGGACAGTTCGCTGTTTAGAATAGCTGAGGATTACAGAAGTGACTGGATCACAATCTGGTCGATGAACCCTCGCAATCCAGATGTTCGTACTTCTCTGTCACCGATATACTTCGCACACCCGTACTCGGTTTGTTTGTTTCCTCCTACCCTTGGGTAAGTGCGACTGATGACTTCTTAAAGGTGGAAATGGGGGGATCAGCGCAAGACATTTTTCAACGCTTTGGAATGAGCACTGTTGAATTGCAGACAATGAATCAGCATATTGTAGATGTTAACTCTCTGAAGCCCGGAGGTGAGTTTGAACAATGATTGATCTTTTGATAATTTGAGTCGTGATGATTGATATCACTTATGCATCTGGAATGGTTAATTTTTCTTTTACAGACGTAGTTTGTGTAATCCCACGATGGCACTCGGTCAGAAGTGGGAATGGGGCATCGATTTGCGTATGATAGACTTTTAACTTCTTGTAGAAACTAGTGAATAGAAAGAGAAAAGAAAATCTTTGTAATGTTACTGCTCCAATATACCTGGCTGAGTATCATGGTTCTTGTTTGGGCAAGACAAGCACTGAAAACAGCTCTGGGGAGATATACTTTGTTTTCTGTCCTTCCTGTTCAAGGCAGCACTTGTCCTGATAGGAACTGTCAGGGGTGAAGAAATTGTGAGGAGTGAGAAACCTCCATGAGAGCCAAGAATTCATCGACTTCTTCGGGAGGAAGCTTATCACCATAGGACGAAAGAATCTTTCTCATCTCATCAACCGAGAGGCCCTTCCCTTGCTTGTCGAATACTGAGAATGCATCCTGGCCGCAGCAATCACTTCACCGATTCAGTCAACAACTTTTGAAGACCAACCCTGATCTGGTTCTCAGATATTGGCTTTGCCAGCAGCTTTGCGAGCAGCGGTACCATAGGCGCTAGCCTACCGTACAGGGAAGTCCGATGGTCAGCAATCGCGCACAGAGGTTCGGCTGGAAAATGATTCATACCTTACCACACCTTCTCCGTTTGGATCACAAACTTGGCAAACTTGCTGCATGAATGTAATGAGTGTGGATTTCCTCAGAAAGAACGAAGTTTTGTCAGGTAACTTATGCTCAACAACCTGTATGTCTTTGGTGGAGGGGTTACAATTTACGGATCTGAGGAACATACCGACATCTTCGCTAGAGATCACCCCCTGCCAACCCGGCATGTCATGGTCATGGTCCCCATCAGTTCTCAGTTTCAGTCCGAGACTCACCTCTCCTAGTTTCTTGTTGTAGAAGGCCTTGAAATTCTCCTCCACAAGCTCCATAGGCAACTCGACCGCAGTCTTAGCCGCAGCGTCGGCCTCTGCCATTCTCCTCCCCCTCAATTGGTGGATTGACGTTGTCGTTGACTTGTAAATGATGGATGCGTCAAAAAAACTAACCAAAAGTTCAAACGTCAGTGGCCGGCGGGCGTCACTGATCACCGGGCCGGCCCGGAATGGCTCCGACTGAGTCAGTGCCCGGCGGGCCGGCCGCTTGGCAACGGGTGGACGCCGGTACCGTCCACTGTCTTTCCTCACTGACTGATTTGAGGAACTTTACTCAAAGTTTTAAGTTAAAAATCAGATTTGAGGAAAACGATTCCGTCCCCCTCCACTGACTCATACCGTACGGTCCGGACCTCACTGGCGGAAGGAGGGGTAGACTCTCCTGATTGTCCTCGTACTGATTTTCAATAAACTTAACTTTGAGTAAAACAGGTAGTATCTACCTCTGTCCAGCCTATACTCCGGTTCGGAGACTGACCACCACCCCACCCCCTAATATACCTATATTGACCCCCCGATCCCCCAGCTTCCACCCCTTCGGCATTCCGAATTTGCTTCCCCGTCTGTTGCTACCAGTCCTCGCTCCTCTCGGATCAGCCTCTCTCTTCTGCTCCTTGTGAATCTCAACCTCCCCCCCCTCGTCTCCTCCTCCTCCTGCACTTACAGACGGCGTTCCCGAGGTCCCTGCGGTCATAGTAGGAAGAATGGATGTGTGCAAGTTGCTTATGCTAGACATTGAGGCAGCCGTCAGCGAGCTTTGTCATGATGATTCCGGATACACGATTGGATCCCTCGGAATCGCATTGGATGGATGTACGATCGTTGGAATCATAGAAGACGGTCCAGCATTCCAGAGCGAGAAACTGAACCTGGGAGACAAGATCGTAAAAGTGGACGAGGTTCTTGTCACAGAGAGTTCGATCATATCCGCCATAGCAGGAGGCGAAGAGGAGCAGGTCGTGATCGAGGTTCAAAAGTCTACTGGGAGGAACGTCAAGGTGTGATGGGGGCCGGCATGAAGGGATGGAAGTGAAGTTGGCATGTGCAGGTGGAGTTAACGCGGGTGAAATCCCTTGACTTGATAGCCCTCCATGAGCTCTCTAGTCAAGTCAATCTAGCCGTTCACACATGTGAGAGAGGAGGAAGATGTGAACCTGCACGTGACGCCAGCTGGTGCAGGTGAACACCTGCAAGAGGAGCCGGAAAGCAGCAACGGGAGAAGAGTCTCGGACCTGATGGGCATTCTCGGGAATCTGACGGAACTTTTGAAGCGCTCCTACCACAAGGTGAGAGGATGACGACGTGTTCCTATATGCCATGACGCTCGTAAAGAGACAAAAAGCTAGCTCGAGTTATCTCTATCGTTTGCGACGGTCTCAAGAACGAATGTACGTCATGTTATGTTATGACGGCAACTGACGTATACAATGATATGCGTGCAGGTCTTTGAATATCAAAGATCTGCAATTGCAAATGGAGAACATGAACACGTCGAATGAAAGTCAGATGCAAGATGCTATGGACGCCAGAGATAAGATCAAGCAAGAGTGCATTGATCTGATCAACCAGCTGCAGGTATGGTAGCGCACCTCTCGCTCCATGGCGTGCTGACAAACGGCATTTGCAGATCTCTGAATCTGTGCTGAAAGGACTTGAATCTCAACTCAACAATGCTATGGTGATGCGATCGACCATGATTTGATGGATGCTCTTGACGTGTTCCAAAAGATATCAATAGAAGAGAGACAGAGACGCCTCGATGAAGCGACGGAGCGGGAGAATTCTCTCAAACGAGAGATTCAAGAGCTTCAAGTGATGTACAAGCAGGTATTCCCTCTTCACAAGATGTCTTGAGAACATGATGGTGATGATCCAATGCAGGTTGTCGCAGGCCCGTCATCCATGGACAACGTTAGCCCAAATTTGCATTGTCAGAAAGACATTGAATCCTTATGAAAACAGGAGGTGCAGCAATTAAAAGCAGAAATCAAAGAGAAGGAGGAAATAATCCAGGGAATGAAAAAGGACTTCAGGTATTCTGAGTTTAATCAAGTTCTTGTGGATGTAATTGCGAGTACAGATCAAACTCTTCTCCTACAACTCATGATGGCATTCAAGGATTCAAGCAACAACCCATTCACTTCCATCAACCAAACACACCGACACAGAATTCAAGTCACATCAATAAGGTCTTTTGGGATCAGCTGGCGATCCATGTGGATTTGACAGGAGTTTGGACAGGATGGAACTTGTTGGTGTAAGAACATCACGCCGGAATACGTGCAACATCTGGAGGTAAACCACAGTACCCGCATACTTTGGTGACGGCTGGTTGGCAGCTTTCAACAAGCACTTTGGAGAAAGCAGTCGAAACCTTGAAGTTTGAGACTGTCCATATGTCGCACGACTACAACAGATGCAAAAGGAAATGCAACTCTCTGTTGACTGAGAGAAGCCTGATCCTCAAGGAAGGCGAGGAATGGAAGACCAAGGTAAATCCCAAGACGTGTGTGAACGTTAAAATGTGATGAGTTTGCAGAACTCCAGCTTGCAGTCTGAACTTCGGAGATTGAGTTCAATGTCTCGATGATAAGATCGTGCTAATCGGTTTTGACTTGCTGCCAGCAGACTTGAATCTCAGAGGGATCTTTTGGAACTCTCGTAACTTCATCTGATCACCGCAATCAAGCCATATGATTCACGCATGAACAGGTCACAAGAGATGAATAACATACGTCAGCACATGCATGGAAGAGAAGAGAGCAAGGTAGAGATTATGTTTCAACTCAATTGTTTGATTGCTGTGTTCAGGCCGAAATCATGCACTTGAATACCACGAGACCTACAGCGAGAGCATCCGCATCTTCACCTTCGCTTGACACTTCTCTCAATCCTACTTCGAAGCGAACAGAGTTGTCCTTCATGGGTAGACGTTCCTGGCTCCTGTATGCTTGCAAGCCCTGATGTCCACACAGATCACCAGACGAGATCAAACTCAACAGAAACCAAAACTAACGCATGGTCCGCGAGTCTAAAAGAGCATACTCAGAGAAGCCCTCAGGCACTCCCTCGCTCAACCTGCTGCCTTGTGACTGATCCTTCCAGATCTCTCCCAACCCTCCTCCTGTTCAATATCTTGCCGGTTCGGGAGATTCTGCGGGAGAGCTGGTCTTTTCCAGCAGCACTGTGACTGTCTCTGTGTTTGCACTCTCAAGTTGATTGTGATGCAGTCTACCATTTCCTCTCAAACCTCAAAAGTTCCTTCACCCAGCAATCAGCGCGTGCAGACTGTCAAGACCTACTCCTCCATCCCGCATGTTCCACCCTCACAACCGTCGGGCTACAACTCCTGGCACGGTGAGTTGAGGGTGGCAAGGTGAGTTCTCTCATGACGGAGATTGCAGCATCGCCATCCCCGTCGTTACATTCGTCTAATGACGGACGGAACTCGATTCAATCGTCTCCTGGCCCCTTGCATCGATCGTATGACAGGGGCGGGCAAGGCTCGCAGCAGGTTTACGCTAGGAACGTTCAAGGTAGACTTTCACTGTCAAGGTTGGAAGAGTCACGCAGACGCTGCAGTGCTGGCAACCAACAACTTTCAAGTCGCCTACCCGCTCGGAGCACCGATGGTATGCGAGTTGTTGTGAGCGAGAGAAGATTGACCGGCATCAGGTGCACTATCAGCAACAATATGTGTCTGTGCCAGTCCAGGTCCCATATCAACAGCAACGTTCTATGCGAGTATCGGCAAGAGACAAGGTGCTGGAGAAGAGGGCTTGCGATCTCCTTCAGATCTCTCACGTCAATGCAGACAACGATGTGGCTGAGGGTGATGAACTCCGGGTATGTGGAATGATGACATGTGAGGTCATAGTATGGTCTTGTGCGCTGAAGCTAAATTTCCTTCTTAAAGATATATTTCCTTGTCAAAGATATTTTTCTTTCTCAAGCTATATTTCCTTCTCAAAGATATAGTTTTCCTTGTCCTGAACGCGCAAGATGATCACCTTCCCCTCCTGTTTGCAGTTGGATATCAGTTGAATCTTCTTCATAATGATCTGTTACCTTGGTTCCTAAAACGACTTTCCGTCCATCTGTCGGACAAATCGACCAGCTTGATATTTGATAGTTCGGATGAAACGACGCAACCGTCTGACTTTGACGTGTTTCACGCACGATTCTATCGACCGCGTGCTCTTACCTGGCATCAAGATCGACTGCGTCATCCTTCCGAAGCTGCCCAGAGCGTCAGGGTTTCAAAACGCCCGAGAGCTTCATGGCAACCTTGACTGAGTTGTCCTCCACAGTCACGAAGAGCCTTTGACCGTCTGAAAGATTGATCCTCGGGACCTGATCTTCGATGAATGACACCTTGAGACGCACTTGTCCCAGGTCGTGTCCCTGTAAGAACCACTCTCAGATGCATCCAGCACATCACTGCCTTACCACTGCATCGTTCTCGTCACACAGATCGAACCATCTGTCTATCTCCTGCTCATGTTTCAGGTCATTACATTGGGAATCATATACAAACGGGCTGCTCCGCCAGTTGAAGGTGAGTTATCTCCAATTGGCCGAGGAAATCGTGATCTCCGACCAAATCATGGTCGAACACCTTAACTTGAACATGCGGTGGACTTCTCAGTCCATAAAACGTAAACTTTTCGTTCCAAACCTGAGAGAGTTATTCCCCATCACTTTTCCCGATTGTGTTTCAAGAAACAGAGAAGATGCTTACAGGATTCAAAGTTTTCGGTCTGACTGACGTCTTCACCTCCAGAACCTCGTCATATCTCGACGTTCTTGAAATCTTTTGCGCTTCTGAAATCAAGATTTGAATTTTCTGCAAGAAGCATCTTAATTGTAGCAACACATGCTTGATCCTCACGTCAGGATAATCCGACTGCATCTCAGTAAAACGCCTTCTGGGGAGGGCCAGCAGGCTTGTGGCTCCTTCAGCTACAGCTGAGGCTTTGCTGGGCTGCCGCAGCATCAAGGCGATCTCTCCGATCACGTCGCCCTCCTCCAGCAAAGCGATCTCTTCCCCGTACGCGTTGAGGTTGGACTCCTGCTCGTCGATGCTCGTACCAACATGCATGTGCAGCTTTAGACTCCCAGACAAGATCTGGTGGTCTGTGAGCAACACGACAAGACGGAGGTGACATGTACCATGTACATGGAGCTGTAGTACTCTCCCTGGAGGAACAAATGTTGACGATCGGACAACTCGACTATATCCGACTTTGAAACCACATACTCGAGCTGTTCGTCAAACAACTCGAACAGCTTCGCTTTCTTCTTGCGCATGAGCGCCAGTGCCTTGGAGTACAACGGATGGTCTGCTGACCTGAGATCCTGGAAACTTTGACCAGGTAGGCTACGAAAGAAGGTCAGGCTGGATCACGAGCGAGCGGCTGCCTGACCTCTCGAGCTCATCGGACTGGTTGGTGAGGTTGATGACGACGAACGGGTCTGAAGTTCCCGACGCGTCCGCGGCCAACAGCTGACGTGCCTGCAGCACTTCTATAACCTGCAAGCAGATCAGTAGCAGTTCCTCGAGTAGCGACTGCCACCAGAGTTCTCGGCATCATTGCGCTCCTGCTGTCAGGTCGTCTGTTCTGGATCTGCTCTTTTCTCTCGACCTTTCTCAGCACTTTGCTGGCCAGCAACCGCACTCGTGGCGAGCTGCTGGAAGCGAGCTGAATGAGCGTCTGAACCACCTACAAGTCGAGATGGAATCACGAGTACTGCGAGGTGCTGAAGATTGTGAAGGCGACAAGGGTGAGAGTTCGTACCAGTCTCGACGACTTTGTGAGTCTAGAGAGGACCATCAAAGTTTGACATACTAGAGTCTCATCGTCGCGCTCAAGGAGGGGAAGTAGCACCTGAATAGCCTGCAGATCAAAGAAGACAACCAGTGAGATACGAGCTATCATGGTTCAATTCATGTCCCTCTCACCAAAATGTTGATTGACGGGATTCCAAGCATTCCCAGAGCAAGGTGTTTTCTCAGAAGCTTTTGTTTACCTATCATGGATAGCAGGCTCCGTTCCATCTGGAAGAATTCGCTCGCAGGATCTTCAGTGCTCTGCAACGCATCTAGAAGGAACAAGGACAAGGGAACCGATTCATGTGTGACCTAGAAAGAGAACATCCTTCATGTCATTCATACAGACATGCTCAGAAACATCAAGTCAGCTACCTCTCCGTTGTCTGATTGCGACGTGTCTCCTTCCAGTGCTCCATGATTCGACGTCGCATCTGCCGTGACGTCATCGGGAGTCTTGTTTTCATCATCGTCGAGTGTTCTCTTGCTCTCTGAGGTCGTCGACTGCTCTGCATTCGCGTCACTCTCAGCATCCTCAGCTCTTGGCTGCTCGAGCTCGCGCAGCAGCATGGTATACTGCCACAAGCCAGCAGCCTCCTTCCTCAACCCTTCCGATGCTTGGTTGCCCTCAACAGCATGCCCCTGAACTTCAGCAATATCGCCTTGGGACAGCATGTCTGTGAGCTGAGAAACTGAAGTTTCTTCGGTTGCTTCATCTTCTGCTTCATCTTCTGCTTCATCTTCTGCTTCATCTTCTGCTTCATCTTCTGCTTCATCCTCGGCTACTTCACTTGTTTCCTCGATGGTATCAGGACCTTTGCGTTGCTCATTGTCTATCTCGGAGTTGATGGCTAACTCCAACTGCTCGTCAGACAGGGCCATGTCGTCGGCATGTTGAGCTAGGAGGGCGAGGAAGGGCGAGGGATCAGCCTCCTCGTGCACCTCCCAGTCCATCACCTCGGGGAAGATCACATCTGAGATGGAAGCGACGTCAGCAATCCGCCCGACGAGTCGACAAGAGGAGGCCTCCCATATCAGGCATCCGAACTTGTGCAACGTAGCGATGTATCCCCCGTCCTGCGAGAACTTGCAAGCAGCTGCTGGGTCGCTCGCGTCGCACAGGTGGTGAACTATCAGCGTCTCTGCGTTCCAGTCGAGCACTCGGACATGTACACCCCCGTCCGCGGCTTGCGAGATCAAGTTGGTCCCGTCGCGCGAGATTTCAACATGAACAACTTCCATTGAGTGGCTGGTGGTCGTTTGCAGGGCGATGCCATGGGCGATGGAGGGGTCGTAGAGTAGCACGCTTCCTTGCGCTGTCGACACTGAGATCAATCTTCTTGTTGTACAGAAGGTGATGCCGCAGATGGTCGAATCGACTTTCCCGAGATTCAGCGCCATGTCTTGCGAGTTGAGGTCGAGGTGGAACAGGGTGCCGTCGACAGATCCCATCGCCAGAGTTTCTCCTTGAGCATCAAACTCACAGCAAACGATCGCAGAGTCATGGAACGCGATCGTCTCTGACTCCACGTACTGATGCATGTCCCAAAGTTTGATGGTGTTGTCACTGGAGCAGGAGACGAGCAATTGTTGACTGGCAGAGTAAGCAAGGTCGTAGATGATACCTTGATGCTCCTCGAGTTGATGTCTCTGTTCGCCAGACTTGGCAGACCACACCCGAACAGTCTTATCGTAAGACCCTGAAACCACCTCGTCCCTTTGCTCCACCAGCACGCAAGCCGTCACCGCAGACTGATGGCCTAGGAAGGTGAGCTCGACTTGCCCTGTGACGATGTTCCACCTCCGCATGCTGCTGTCCCCCGACGCCGTGATGACTCGATCCTGATGGTAGAAGACTCCGTCCAGCACTTCCCCCTCATGCCCTTCCAGCCTGACGTCCAGCGCTCCTGACCCTGTGTTCCACACGCAGGCGGTGAGGTCAGCAGAGGTCGTGAGGATCCTCGAGTTGTCCTTGGAGAAGCAGCAGTGCAGTATCGCCTCCCCGTGGCACTCGATCTCCCGCGCTACCCTCCCGGTCTTGTAGTCGTGCAGTCTGATCAGCCCGTCCGCCCCGCCCATCATGACCAGGTCGTCTCCCAACGAGTAGGTCACACTGAACACGCCGGAATGGTGGTCGAGTAGAACCCTCAGCAAGGGGTCGACGTTCTCGGTCTTGTTTGCGATCTCAAACCAGACGTCAGGCACGATGCAATGATCCTTGGCTGTCGGCTCGAGGATGTTGAGAGCGTCTTTCACAAGGCCATTGTCGCCATTTGCAGTGCTATTCACCGCACTTTGAAAGGTCTGCAAGGGTTCGATTTGCAAAAGAGATTTGTTCTTGAGAACGAATTCAAAATACATCGCAATGCAAGTATTCCTCGGATACAAGATGCTCCCAATCATAAGATCGTCGCAAAATTGATTGATCAGGCCAGCAATGCAGGCCGCATGAATGAATGGAATGGTACATACCTCTCGCTCAAACCTCGTTTCCCCCATGTCTGCTTTCTTGACGTGTTCATTCGATTTCGCGTACTTGGTTGCTCTTTCAACTGGATCTACCCCTGACCCTTCGAAGCCACCCAGGGCATAGATGTGATAAGGCAGCTCGCGCAGCTTCCTGACGTTCACCATGAATCGCTCGCCCACTCGCTGAAAGATGATGGGTTGCGCGTCTTCGACTTTCATGCTCCCCTCGTGATCCTCTTGTATGGTCGGATGATTTGATTCATCACTTGCTGCTTGTCCGCTGAAGTAGAGGTACTCGATCTCATGAAAGAAGTTCCTCGTCTCGAGACTTGTCAAGTTGTATCGCCTGACGACAAACTCAGTAGCCAAGGAGTTGTTGGTCTTGATGCAGGTGTAATTCTCAACCCAGAAGTCTCTCAGGAAGGGTCCAAGATCTCTGTGCTTCATGTCAGTGTGTGAAGGCAACTCTATCGACATCACCTCTGAAGCAGAAACGTCTGCATGGCGGGGAGGGACTGGACCTCTGGGCTGAAGCTCCCAAAGAATTCCTCCATGGACTCGCTACAGAGAGACAAGATGTCAGCGAGCTCAGCCCTTGTGAGACCATCTCTAGCAAAGAGGATCGCAGAGAGAAAGTCAGTGACCAGCCTCTTCCCCCTCTTCTCTTCTACTCTCTCGATCATGTAGTTGTACATCCCATCGAACGAGGTTGGGAGCTTCAATTGAGTGTCAAAGGAGCGCCATGCAGAAGAAGCTTCAATGCACAGCGAGACGAAGAGGGGGAAGCAGGAGAGCGCTTTCTGCCCGACACTCTCGAAGCTTTGGACGGCATTCTTGATCGCTTCGTAGTGATCAGGATGAACGTTTCTGTGCTGAACTTCCAGGTGGCGAGAAATCAAAGTCGAGGCATCAGATGATTTCAAAGGCTCGATCCTCATGAACACTTCTCCGGAATACAAGTCGCTCAGGGCATCCAGACACTCCTTGGACGTGCTCCTGACCGTCACCACCACGCTGCTGTGCTGCGGCAGCGTCTTGGGCAACCAGGAGAGAGCCTCGGTGAAACCGAGGTAGCTCTCGAGCTCCTCAAGGGCATCGACCAAGACGGCTATCGGCTCCTCGGCAGACGCGTATTGTAAGAGCTTCAAGAACAGATCCCTCTGCTTCAAGACGTCGCCGGTCAGCCCCGCTAGAGTGTTGTCTTGCATGTAACCTGTGACTGAGCACAGCTGACGACAGAGGCCATGCAGCAGCTCTGAGGGGTTGAGGCGATGCAAGGAGGAACCAAGGAACCTGTAGATCACGCACGAGCCCTGGACCTGCTGCTTGAAACGAGAGCCTACCTGACTCAGCAGAGAGGTTTTGCCGACTCCAGGTTGTCCAATCACAAAGAGCGGTTGATTCTTCAGCCCCCACTTGCGCTGGTTTTCTCCTTTCATGTACTCCAGCAGCGTTTTGAGCTCCTTGGTCCTGCACTCAAAGCCAAGACAATGTTTGACTGCCATCTCCAATTCAACGGAGATGTCTTTGTAGCGAAGCTCGTTATCTTCAGTTCTCCTTACATCATGAGCGATTCTCTCATGCGTTATCGAAGCAATATCCTCTGCGAACAAGGAGAAGTGCTGATCTTCGTCTATCCCGATCTCATGCGGCTTTCGTTTCTTCCACCTGTAGGCGACAACTGCGGGCGACAGCTCCCAGCTCTGCCGGTCTTGTGAAGTCAGCATGGCAGTGGGGGTGCGCACACGGAGAATGTCCATGCGCTCTTTGACAGAAGGGAAGACGCCTTTCAGCCGCCTCAGCAGCTCCGGTTGGGACATGAAGTAGTCCCTACAGGCCTCATGAGAGAGCGCAGCGAAGATTCCGAAGGAGCTGAAGGTTGTGACGGTGAAGGTCTTGGGGGTCTGAAACAGAAACGATTGTTCCCCCACAGCATCCCCTGCCTTGAGGAACCCGGTGTTTTCATGGCCAGCGCCTGCCTGATGCAACAGGATCTGAAAGTCTCCTCGCAAGACGATGATCATGCAATGCTGACCATCTTGCTCGTTGGCGATAATGTCTCCTCTCTTTGACCTCCTGATCCTGCAGCACGAGACCAGGAATTCCAGCTCTTCAGGGGAAAGCATCTTGAATAGGCTCGACTTCCGTTTGAAGATTGCTCTCCGCAAGCGGAATCGATGAACCTTCTCCTCCATCCCCTTTGTCGCATCACTTGCAGTTTCCTTCGCCAGCAGACTTTTCAGCAAGGACTTGTCCATCTCAAGGAGCGAACATCGCCTAGTCGCGGTCACGTTGTAGGCTCGTTCCTCATACGGCTGATAGACAGTCAGCCCGAGCAGTTCGCCTACCCTTTGACTTCTTTCAACCTCCAGCTGCTTGTCTGATTCATCCGAGTCGATCGTGATGCTGATTTCGCCGTCAATCAGCATGTAGACGCAGTCTCCGAAAGGTCCCCAGCCCCTGACGTCACTTTGAGACTCCTTCCATACCTCGCAAGATTCCTCCACCGTCACGAGCCATGCTTGCCGCAGGACCTTGTCAAACGCCTCAGCTCCGAGAGCAGCTGGGTTGAGTTGACTGGCTTCCAGGGCTGAGAACCAAGAGGCTTCGCTGATCTCACTCACTGTAAGCTTTCTTCGCTTGCAAACGGACTGGAAGGAAACCAGCTCTCTCTTGATCTCCCCACTCCTCCCTAACAACTCGCCGGAATCCTGGCAGTTCACTTGAAAGAGCATCGCGTCTGAAACCAAATCGACTTGATACTGCAGGTTGGCTTCTCCGAACAAATGCATCTCCCCAAAAGCAGACCCTTCCTCTATCAGGAAAGCTTGCTGATTGCCTTGAGAGTCGAGGTATGTCACTTTACACTTGCCAGATAGCAAGACGAAGAACGATCTTTCGATCTCAGATTGCAGAGGCAAAATTGAGAGCTCAGACTCTCGGATACTCGCCTCTATTGACGATTTTTCTATGATATTCTGCACATTGTTCAACCTTCGCTGTAAATTTTCAATTTTCATCAGAGCATCATTGAGTAGCTTTGATGTTTCCTCCAAATCAGTCGAGGCTCTATCTAGAATTCGCACTGAATCGGAGGATCCTATTTGAACCTTCTTCTTTGATCCGAGTTGACAGATTTGATAGAGCTCTGCAAGGCTCATGATCCTCAAGATCGTACTCCGACGAAACTTTAATGTTTGCATGACCCCGGCAACATCCTCATCTGCAGCCTCTAGTTTCTCTTCCAGTTGCAACAAATCCTCATCGTTCACGTTGCTCTTGTTCGACAAATGATGGAATATCATTGCTTTCAGCTCTGACATGCTATACGGCAAATCTCTATTTACCTTCTGGTACACTTCCAAATACTCAGCTAAGCTGCTCTTTCCTAGCGAGATTGCATTGGATTCATCGTGATCCCACAGAAGAGCAAAACATTTTGATTTTGCTTCCTCCTCTCCCCTTGACAACAAACCTTCGAACGCTTCTACAAACTCCAATGTCTCCGTGAAATATTTACAATGCTGAATGTCACCAACCTGACTGCCCGCCCTTGACTTCTTGGCATCAAGGAGGAGTCCTTCAATCATCAGAAGAAACTCCTCAAAGTCAATGGTCCCACTCCCATCTTCATCGAAGTCTTTCAGGAACTCACTGATCTCATTCTGCCCCAGATGAATTCCAAGCTGCTCGAAGGCAATGATCAGCTCTTCGCTGTCTATCAAACCTGAATTGTCTGAATCTATCTCATTGAACAATGCTTTCACCCTTCGTTTCATGCTCGAACTATCCAAGACTCCGAGCTTCCCTAGAATAGCATCTCTCATGATTTGTTTCTGCTTCCCAATGACCTGCTGCACACAAGCGTCATGAAACCCATCCTGCATCAGGTCGAAAGCCTTGGTCCACGCCTCATTCCCTTTGTCCCGCAACTGTGAAGATTTGCTTCTTCGGGAAGATCGATTCGAAGGGTCGACGAGGACGTAACAGCTGGGATCACTGTTTGTGTCCAGTCGAAACCATTCCAGCATTGCCTTTCTTCTCTTGACATTTTGTCCATGATCTCCCATTGTGAGAAGGATTGATTCGAAGTGCTGCTGATCTATCTTTCTGGGAAAGGCTTTTCCATTTGAAGAGCTTCCCAGCAAGCAGATGTAGTCCATGCTGCAAGAGGCATCCTGGCAAAACAGTCGGAGATCAGAGCAATCCTCATGAAGCTCAAGGTTGAACTGATAGTTGTGAGATGGCGGCAACAGATGCAGAGGATCAAAGATCTCTAACTCAAACCCCCACGATCGCGCTAGGGTTCTCAGCCCACGTTTCAGATGGCCGCAGATGAAGTTTCGTTCTTCCTCGTGCTCTTCCAAGGAAGAGCTGACGTATATGCAGATGACATGCTGCTTGACTTGTCTGCGGTACTGAAAGTCTCCTTTGAGAATAGGGTTAACATGATTTACAAGACGATTCGCATTCTCTTCCTCCTCTTGTGAGATCGCCTGATCGAAGTCAGCTTTTAACTCTTCAGGGTTAGAGTTTGACTCGGATGCCAAAGACACGAGCTCGTCTCCCACCATTGCAATCTGCTCGTCAATGTATCGAATCCAGTGCTCGTTCCCAGATGCATAGACTAACGCCTTTGTTTTCTGAAAATCTTCCTTCGCACGAAGGAAGTGAAAAGAAGCTTTTGAAAGTCTTCCTTGCTGTATCTTTTCTAACGCATCATTGAACAAAAGAGAAGCCTCTTCCAATTTCATCAGCATCTGTTTCAGAGATGAGACTTCCTGGCATTTTCCAATCTCCGCACAATTTTCATACATCGTAAGACATTGATCTGCTGCAGAGAGCAGAGCAGCAACGCTAGTTTGCAATATTTGTATATCTTTCGAATGCACTCTAGCGTATATTGTCTGCAGTTGACTATTCGCATTTCGGAGAATTACCTCTTTTCTCTGCATGGCAGTCTTTTTGCTCTGCAAGACATTTTGCGTCAAGTTCAAGTCAGATATTATGCTTGCCAATTGCGTTGCATCATTGTAATGATCGATGGACTGAGCCACCCTTTCTGAGTCCAACATTCTCTGACCCGACTGCATCACGTCATCTAACCTTGCCACCTTATGCAACCTCAAAGTTGTTGACACCGTGAACAACAACCTCTCGATTCTCTCCGCCATTGTCTGTTCCCCGAGGCCGCTGATATTCCCTTTGATTGAGCGCAACATGTCAACGCACTCTTGGATGGATACCGCAGGCAACTCCTTGCACAGCTCAACAATGGCAGCAAGAGCCTTCAAGTACAGCAAGATGGCTTCTAGTCTGCTCAGACTCTGACTCTGAGTTGTTGCTTCCACTCCAGCTTCAGCAGCAGCCATCGGAGCAGGTACACGATGACTCATTCTGAAGTAAGAGAGTACCTTTACATGTGATCCGTTCGGACAATCTGAAAACAGGATTGCAACAACTCCAGGGAATTTGATATTTGTGATTTGAAAGGGAATTCTTCGGCTCTGCTTGTAAAAGTACAGGGATCCTGCGTTCTCCTCATAGTCGAACTCGAGGCCGAGGGTATCGCCAGTGTCCAGCCTCCAGGAAGAAGCGTCGATAGACATGAGAACAGTCTCGCCGTTGCAGAGGTCTCCATCACTCGAGAGAAAGAAGGCCCTGTCATTGAAGTCTTCTTCAAACCAGTAGTCCCCTACCTTGACCGATTCCCCGTCCACCACCCCAAAGAAGAATTCTACCTTGCTGTCCAGGACGAAGTTTCCTACCTGAATCTCGCAGTATACTCGTCCCTCCTCGAGTGGCTTCCCCAGAAAGATGCTACGAACAGCTGCTGCTTCAGCGCACTGAATCAAGTTCTCCTTCACCGACAGCGATACGTGCTTCGTCTGCTGTGACCAGGGTTGGAGGTTGGCGGGGGCAGGAGCGATGGGTGCGCTGCTTCCCCGATACTCCTGCAGGAACAGTTGGACGGAAGAGCTGACCAGTTGAAGCTGTGCGAGGAGAGAGTCAGAATCTATCCCGTGCAGAGACTTGTCGAACTCTCCTTGAACTCGATCTAAAACCTTGATCGCCTCTGCTTCTTTTGATCCGATCGCTGACTGAAGCTCTGCAGCTTCTTCTTTCAGCTTCTGCAGCTCCCTCCTCCTGCTCTCTTCCTCCGCGTCTCTCGGCATCTTCTCCTCAGCTTCATCTAGCAGTACCAGCGTCTTGCCGACTTCGCCATCACTCAGCAGACCCTTCGCCTTTTGTATGGCCTGATCCCAAGCCTTTCGCTTCGATTGACCGCCCCCCATGCTTCTTCAATCGCCTCTTACAGATGCTTTCCTCTCACCTTCTCCAGTCATCCGGCATGCTCGTCCATGTCGCGTCCTCAGCCTCGCCCGGCATGGCGAATCTCCGTGTGTTCCCATCGTGTCGCACCTGTCGCTCCTGTTGCTCCTCCTGCCCGACAAAGGAGGGCCGGGCTCTGAGGTGAACTAGCGCATGCTTTACTTTGAGGCGAGCCTGCAATCCGAACGCGACATGCGGCGATAGATGAGTCGGGCAGGCGAGGGCGGCAGCGGCATGATTGAGAAGAGGAGACGGTCAGAGCATGGTGACTCTCTCACTGCCTTGTCCCTCACTGCATAGCCAACATGGTGCGACGGAAGTTGACAATCGTGGTGCTTGCTTGCTGTCTCCTCGTCCTTCCTGCTCCATGCGTGGGATCGGAAACCGAGGAGGAGTGCTCGAAGGTGTACATGGACACAGTGGAGGACGAGGCCTCCGGTCTCCCAACATTTGCGACTGCGATGCCGAGCTTTCTGCTTGATGTCACTCGCTGTGTTGCAGGAGACGAGCATCATGGAGTGAACGAGGCGCTGGCAAGCAGAGGCTCCCTCGCCATCTCCGGCTTTGAGCAGCGAGGATATGAAGCCGTTCAGGCCATCGATGGGGTCTCAGGAGCCTCTGACAATGGATGGGCTTACTTGGGTCGGTTGGATGAGGCTTGGTTGATGGTCAAATTTCCGATGGCGACGGTGACGAGCAAGATGAACTTGTGCTCGGGATATGAAAGAGTTGATCATCACATCACGAGATTCATCCTTCTATTCACTAACATGACCTTCGACAACGTAGAGGAAGCCAGAGGATCGGACCCGCTGCTTGCTGGATCGCCATGGTACGTGATTCCAGGGTTGAGGGGAATAGGCGAATCAGTGAAAGTGCAGGAGGACGGGTACACAGTGAAGGTGAAAGGAGGCACAAGTGAACTTGTGCTCACATACCCGCGACTAGAAGCGACCATGTTCTATGTGAAGATCGAAGAGAGCGACACGGCAGATACGGAAAATGCTGTCGTCAACGAGATCGAGTTTCTGCTCGAAGAAGAGCTCTTCTCGTGGACTACATGCACCATGGAAGTATACCTGGACAACGAGCTCCTAGTGAATCACTCACGCACCATCTCGTTGCTGCCCCTCCATAGGGGAGAGACAGCGGGAGAGAGCCCCACAGACAGGGTGCTCCGCGTCTCCCTCCCCAACATCAATGGAGTGCATGAGCTGCGCGTGCAGCTAGGAGTTCCGTTGGAGCATGTGCACTTTCTGGTCTATGACAAGTTGAACCAGGCGCTACAGACGTACGTGGCGTTTCCCTACCCCAACTTTGTCTTCGGTCGTGACATGCAGCCGTTCGTGACAGTGGGCGCGAGCGGTCGGCAGTGTATCGGAGATGCTCCTCTGGACAACTCGACGGGCTTTTGCTGGCACCAGCCCCACCAGACCTATTATGTCAACCTTGACATCATGCCCTTGGCTTTCTCTGGGGAAGCTGATTGTGCTGCCTGGCTGTGGAGGGCAGGTCACCGTATCTGCACAAAGACTTGCACTCGAGCTTCATCGGAAGGAGGGCATGAGTACTGCTGCGATTTGAAGCACTACGCGGTAAAAATGCGACAAGGAAGATACGTTGGGTTGAGCTGTCTTCCGGATGGGGAGTATGTCTTGTTCGTTCACTTCTACGACTACTTGCAACAATTCGACTCTGTGCATGAAGTAAAGATCACGATCGACCGAAGTGATATTGGTAGGTGGTATCACAGAGCGTTGGCGAGCAACGCGTCGTACCTTGACGTCATCGACGACTCTCATGTTCTACGAGAGCAGAATGGAAGCTTTGAGTTTCACTTGCACAAATCTGAAGTAGGAGGAACCAGCGGGTCTACTTTGCTGTATGCTCTTGTGATCCCTGATGTGGATGTTTTGCTGGCAAAGGAGCGAGAAAAGCTCGCGATCGAGATTGACGGCATTGCTTCTTCTTGTAAGTTGGATTCTTTCAGAAAGTCAAGACCTGAAAGCCAGTACGAATGTTTCCTTCTCGATGTCGTGCCGGATGAGTATCAAGACAAAATCGAAATCAATCTCTTGCAGTTCGCTGCTACCTACCGACGTGTCCTTGCTTGGTGCCTGCACTTCAGAGCGTTCATGGCGCGAGAGTTTCTTGAATCAAGTTTTGCGGGAAGAACATTGAGCGCAGCTCTCATGACGTTGCCGCTGACGATGGACAAATCATGCCTCGAAGTTTCACCTCAGAGAATCTCCGTCAACCTCGGGGAGTTCTCGTGGAGCAGCGCCAGTCATTCTCAGCTGGGCGCGAGACACGCACCAGACGTGAAGATTCATGAAGAGATCCTCAAGATGGTAGGCTGGAGCGACGAGCAAGAAGCAATGACCAACGTTCTTATCTTCGGGCATCTCTTCAGACCGAATCGCCTCTTCAAATCCCTGATCCTCTCCAAGCGCCTCGAACTAGGTATCTCCGGTGTCACCGTGGGGATTCAACTCTACCAGGTGGCTCGTGTTTCTGAAGAAGCTTTCAATGTCTTCTGCCGGCAAGTGACCGATCTCGTACGGCACTATCAAGCTCAGACCGTCATTCTTCTTTCTGAGGACACGACAATACCACGAATCCGATCGATCGCAAGTTTCGTCCAAGCCATGGAAACGAAATCCGTGCTCCTACAATTTAACGGAATCGTAGAAACAGGAGATGAAGCAAGTAACGACTTGCAAATTATCTCACTGTTCTTGTTCCTTGAATCTTCTCAGTATATCTTGGCATGCTGTAACGAGATGTCTAGATTGCTGCTTGAGCTTGTAATTTCAAATGCAAAACATCGCAAGATGAACGTTTCTCTGTATGATTTCAACAATCTTTGATCCGTGGATCTTTATTCTTTCAATCGCAAATAAAGGCAAAAGGAAACATCTTGTTCTGATAAGTATCAGGCACAAGCTTCGGATGTTTCATACACATCTTTGTTTACAACTGTTCAAAATCTTGGCGATTGATGTGTCGCTTCAACGCCTCGATTCAGGTAGGGACGAATAAAGGGAGTTATTCGTGTTACCATAAGTGTAAGCTGGTCTGTAGCTAAAGGAAGAGGTGGAGGTGTTGTTGTCCATGTTGTATCCACTTGAAGTATAGCTCATGAGGTTTAGACCATACAGCCTGGAAGAGGCATCGCTGGCATCAGAGTACCTGTAGCTGTAGCTGCCCGGCACGTAGTTGGAAGCATAACTGGTCTGAGTGGCGTCGGGGACATATCCACCAGACGTGTAGCTCGTGTAGTTCATGCCAGACATTCTCGTGGAGACATCGCTGGCGTCTGAGTACCTGTAGTTGTAGCCGCTCGGAATCACCGTAGAGGTATACTGTGTAGCATACTGGGTTCTTGGAACGAAGGTGGTCCTCGTCTCAAATGCTTGTTGGATGGTAACGACATCTTCTTCGATCTCGACGATCTTGGGGCGTCTCACGATGTATCTCTTCTCCTCGAACACTGGACGGGGGATGCTGATGTACCTTGTGCTTTGCACCATCTCGGTGGATCTCACCACCTTGGGTACCTGAATCTCCACCATCTTTGTCTCCATGATGGTCTTTGGAACAGGAACGAGAGTAGGGACGACGATCATGCGCGTCTCGTATTCTACCTTTGGGACCTGCTGCTGAACTTCCATGGTCTCTGCAACCTGCTGCAAGTCGCAAGTCAACCACGCATCGAGTCAAACAAGGACAGTACCATGACTTTCGCTGGCGAGGTAACGCTCCTGACGGAATTATCCAAAGGCTTCAAGCTGTGGACAAGTGCAGCAGAGGAAGTGCTGACAGGCGAGTAGCTGTAGACCTGCCCGTAGACTCCTGCCCCATACGAGGCCGGGGAGGTTGCGACTCCGGCGAGGACGTCAGTCCGAAACTTGCTCGGAGAAGTGTATGAATCAGCGGTCAGAGGGGAGGTATAGGTTGCTCTGGGTTGCTCAGGAGAAAGTACAGCCTGCATAAGAGGGATGGAAGGAGAGTAGGTGGAGGCGGAGGTGGTGGAGGCCGGGGAGGCGGTCGAGGAGAGCTGAGCAAGAGACACGGGCTGCGGCATGTTGGAACACTGTGACAGCTAGAAGCGCTCTTGGTTGAGCTAGGGGGTACAACGAGTCCAGTCCCCCACCCCCTCCACCCCCTGATTTATCCCTACGATGTACCCCTACCTGGCAGAGAGAAGCGCCTCTACCGCACTGACCGGGGTTTCCACTTATCGCACCCCTACCCCCACATATGTAGCATGAAATAACCGGTACAGATAGATCCAGCTAGTACCACCCTACTACCCCATGCCCGACTTGACCTCCCGGCGGTACTCCCCAAGTAAGTGATCCCTCGCATCCGATCCGAGAATGTACCAGGACCCCCTTCATTCCCCTGATTTGTACCCTACCCTGCTAGTCAGCCATGCGTCATCTAGCCGTTATCGTCACGGTGGCAGGGTCACCTGACGGACGGTGACCCCCCGGTTTGCGCCCGGCCCGGCGGGTCGGAGCTTGCAGGCCCGGTCCGGGGCGCGGCAGACGGTGGGGGCCGGGCCGGGCCGCGGCACTGCGCCGGCCGCGTCAGGGCCCGGCGGCCCGCCGGACTCGGGACGGACAATCCATCCTTGGATCACTACTGAGCGAAAATAGCACCGAAATGGCGTGGGGACGGAGACGAGATGCGCTCGATGCTGGCGACCTCGAGGGCAAGGTGGCCTGAAAAAGGCGAGGATATAAGGGAGAAGCAGGAGAAGCAGGAGAAGCAGGAGAAGCAGGAGCAGGAGCGCTGTGGACAAGATGGAAGATGAAATGATACCTGGTACAAGCGTGTCAGTCGCGGATCATCAAAAGTTGAGGAGGTTAGCTCTGATTGCGTCATCGTCTGTACTCTGCGTGGTTTGCTTGCTGTTTTTTACCAGGGAAGACAACATGAACTTGGCTTCAAGAAATGTAATGCAGCAGCACATGATTTCGAGTATGGCGTCGGAAAGAAACGACGAGCTTGCGATCAAGCTAAGCAAGCTTTCTCATGCCTTCGAACTGCAGGAGCTTTCAACCAAAATTGCCATCAAACTCTTGAAGAGCATAACTACATTGGCTTTCAATCAATCCGTCAATCAGACTAACTTCACTGTGTACAACTCAACTGGAAGACTTGGAATGTATGCAAATGAGTCTTACAACAAGACAGAGATCTTTCAAAACCAAGGAAACATCTCTGCAGTTGGGAATGAATCATATGATCCCCAGAGAAACCAGACGGAAGCCCCCAGCTTCTTCCACGAGCAAGTCCATTCAGAAGTATCAACAATACCTGTTAATGCTGTTAGTGGGGAGGCGAGAAAGAGAAGCGAGTTGCAAGCCGACATTGCAGCATGGCCGAAGTCTGATGATGTTTGGCAAGGACCTTTGAAAATAATCGAGCGAGACATGATCACTTGCATTGATGACAGCTCTAACGGTGGGATCGTTGCGAACTATCGGCCAGCGTCATATTGCCTGAAGAACCCGACATATTGCATGTTATACTGTAGAGGAAACTTCGCAGATAAGAGCTTTGAACCGACACGGGAGGTCAAGAGTCAATATCTTGCTCAGAAGGTAATCTTTCATCTCTTGTTAGCTCTCCACGATTGAGTTAGTGACGTCTTGTTTCACAGAGACCAAAGGTTCATAGGAGTCGGGATGGTGACAAACCGAGACGCTACGATTGGACTTCCTGGAAGAAGGAACTCAAGTCGCTCAGTCCCAGATAGACAGCAACCTTATGTTGCTGTGGAATCTCGATCCTCTTTGTAAATACCGTTCATTCAAAGATTACTTATTTAGTAGAATGCCACAAGGTTATGTACACAAAGATTGCCATGGAATTTGCCCGGCGTCATGACGCACATAGATAAGCAGAGGTTACAAGTGTTCGCTACAAATGTGTGAGTCGAGATGAAACAGTGGAAGAGAGTGTAAACCTGACAACTGCAGCCACCGCAATGTCAATTCCTAGGGAAGACGTTAGAGTCCACTTCATATCCTTGAGCTCTTGTAAGCTTGAAACTCCTTGTTTCTATTGCACATGATCAGGTCAAAAACAATGCAGCTTTGTCAACTGACCCTGAGAGCAAGTGCCAAACCCCGTGACTCAGCTGCAGACAAATTCAACGAAGACACAAATGCCTGAAGAAACGCTCAGAGGACGGTCAAGAACATCTCCAGATAGTCTGATTATTACCGTCAACTCATCAGAGAGTACTTGACCTTTTCCCGCGCTCGACTTCTCAGGGCTGTAGGGTTGAGAGCTTGCGTTCAACTTGTTCGACGAGCTCTTTGCGGGTAACCTCTCTTTATCTGATGTGTTTCCTATCTTGCCGTAGCTGACATCTCTTACAGCTCTTGATAAAACTTGACTTTGAGTCTGAGGCATCGGCATGTAATGGTTTTCGTCCATCCCCACCGGCATTCCTATTTCACTGTACGGTTGGCTTCCTGCATATAGACCATCCGGGTAGAACCCTGAAGCCGTGAACGGCATGGCTTGCTGCAAGACAATCAGTAAGTACCAGCACGCAGTCTTAAACGATCTACCACTGGCAGATTCCAATTCTCCTGTACAGGGACTGGATATCCATTGTTCAGGTCGTAATTCATAACAGGATAGGAATATTCATCCACGTATGGTTGACTAGCCATCGGATCATACTGTGCATCATAAACGTTCCAGCCGACGTTCTGTGGTTGTTCGTAAGGAACATCAGGATAACCGTCTGACAAGTTCCTGCATTGAACAAACGAATAAGATCGCTTCTGACGAGTACATCAAGGAATCATTTTTCACACACATTGAGGCCATGTACTGCTCTATCTCAGCCTGGGCGAGATAATCTTGTTCTGTGAATTCCTGCTCAGGATTTTGCCAAGGATTTTCGTGATCTATGTCCTCCACTCCTGCCAATCCTTGACACGTCACATTCTTGCATACAGCACCGGGCGGAACCCACCGGCGAGAATGTTATCGGCGTGCTGATCGCTCCACGCAGCATTCATGAGCGGTATTGACTTTCTTGCAAGTACATAGAAATTCTGTCCATCGCTCCGATGATATTTCTCATCCAGTCCTCTTGCTGTCCACACATCTAAGGGGAAGGTCAAAGGTAATCGAACAGATAGACTGCAGATATTACCCATAGAATCCGGCGTCCACTCCCATGCTCCTGAAAGTGGATCGAAAGGTGGGAGCTCCTGATTTACAAGCAGTAAGGTAGATGCAACCAGCCAGCTTCATGCAGGGACTCGACCTCTTTTTCTTCTTCAAGTGGCTTCAACATTGATTCAGCCTCCTGCGACTTCCAAACAGAATGTGAGAAAACCAAACTTCTGCTTCACAACGAAGTGAATATTGTATCGAATTTCTTACCTGTATCTTTGTTGCCATCAAATCTGATGTAATGATGCTCGATTGAGTTTGTATTTTCTGTTCATCCAAGTCACAAAAGCGACAGCCGTAACAGGTGCAGCAAAATCATAGATGAATGCGATGGGCAAGAGTCGGACAGACAGGTCACTGAGATGAGATGAGCACAATATCAGAGGGCAGGTCAGGAGGATTTCATGAATCAAGCACTCTCGTGAACGATAAAGAGGAGGGGTACAGCCTATCTTTCCTGGCGAACATCTAGTGCTTTCATCGTCTCAACTCAGTCATCAGACGACTCTTCCTACTCTTCCCGCCCTCCCACGTCCTTCTATCTCTCCTCTTCCTCATGTCCCTCTCACCATTGCTCTCCTCCCCTACGCGCTCCCGTCATCCCCCGCTCTACTCCCTCCTCTTTCTTCAGCCGCCATAACAACGGCACAAACCTCGTTGCAATGCATACCCCTACCCTCACGAAAATAGGCTACCCCTACCCTCTCGATTATTGCTCTACACCCCTAGAGTAACAAGACCAAAACTCAAGATGTCCATTACTATGCCTCATCAGTAATGATTTCATATGTATTGGAATAAGAAGAAGAGGCCATCTGTTAATATTGTGTTTCTTTCCTAGCCATGTTTGCTTTACTACCCCCTCCTTTGTGCAAATTATCCCTACCCACTTGTGAAAAACCAATCATACCCCTACCTATCCAGGAACTAATTTCCCACCCCTACCCCCTGGCACACCCTGGCCGCCAAGCCCAAAAATCCAGCAAGACCAATCAAGCATGAAACAGTAAAGGATCCCATGAAACAAGATAGATACCCGTTCTTCTTTATCCTCCTCCCTTCTCCTCCTCCCTTGTCCTCGTCCTAGCTCCTGCTCTCATCCCTTCGCCAATGTTCTTCTTCCATCTCCTCATATCTGATCGTCCCCTCTACTCCCGTTCAGTTTCCATTTCCTCCCCTGCACAAGCTATCGAGCGCGTCCAATTCTCCGTGATTCTGCAGTCCGAACCTGAGTCGCAGGTTCCTCTGGCTCACGAGCTGGGGTCGTAGAGGAGGTTGACATTGTACCTCAGGCACAAGTGCAACCTTACACTTGTCATGCTATGGCTGAGAGAAGTCAAATTGTTACATTTTGCCGAATCTACATTGGGAGAAAAAGTGCAAAAAAACTAAAGGACAGCTGCCAAGTTATCTTTTCTGTCTCTTCGTTGACACTTCGTTGTGCTTGACATCTGACTTGACTCTTTTCTCATTCTCCTCGTTCTCGTCCCCGCTCTCCTCAAGCTGCTCACGACCAGCCTCATCTTCTTCATTGTCGGAGTGATCAGGAGCCACGAAGTTGAGCCCATGGGGGTTCAGCTCGAGCTTCGGCTTGAAGGCGTTTCTGCGGGGGTCAGGTCAGGTTAGCTTGCAAGCTCAGGGGAGGAGGCGACTGACCTAAGCTTCAAGAGCTTCTCCTTTGTTGCCGGCCACTTCTCGCTGCCCGCCTCGTTCTGCTCAACGTCAGAGCACTTGTAGCCTTCGCCTGCACGCCTGGAGACCTGGAGGAAGATGACGCTCGTGTCAAAAGGAGCGATCCTGTATCGGTTGATCCTGTCGTGCTGTGAGCCTTCGAAGTAGCCATGCTCTGCCTGCTTCACTTTCAAGTGCTGGATCGCCAAGTTCTGTCAGGGGGGCTGCCAAGTGAAACGGAAGAGAGGCTTACAGCTCTCTTGTACTCGCTGGAATACACCCTTCTCCAGCCGTTTTGATCTGGCAAGTATGGGATGATGATGATGAAGGACAGTGGCAAGGAGCTCTTGGAAAAGATGTCTTCCATGTGATCGATCTGACCAAAACAGTGACGCGAGGCTCGCTGACATCGAAGACATACCATCTTCAAGATTGTACCATCATCGAAGGGAGGGTTGGCCTCGAAACTTCCTTCCCTCGGGAAGAATTGAAAGAAAGAGCCTGTCGACAAGGTTACGACGTTCTTGAAGCAGACGGACAGCAAGGGGCACCAATGCTGCCGAAAATGTAGTCCGTGTCAAAGTGCGCAGAACAAAATCTTGAATAACGGCAGTTCATGGGCGAGGCAAAGCACTCCAACCAGCACCTTTCGGCATTGTTAAGCCTTCAAACAGACAGATAACCTCCTTTCCCACCCGAACTCCACCATCAGCGTGTCGAAACAACTTCCATGTATTGCAGCTTGAAAACCGCCAGCTTTGTAATGCCCCCCCTGAAACGACGAGTACCTGTAGAGCCAAGCTCATTCGGTTGCTGGGAGACTGGTGACTGATTCGATGCATTGGCTACCTTGCGAGCAAGCTGAAGATTGCGCAAGAGATGAAGCTTTCCGTCATATCTGAATGCTTCACGAACCTATGCAGTACGAAATCATTTGAAAGAAAGAGAAACAAGATGACGACATTACCCAGAATGCTTCATCAATTCTTGTAACTTGACATAGTGATCGAAATTCACTTCCATGGTAACCCCCGAGCATCTCAGCACATACTTGGTCCTCGTCTGCGTTCTCTACTCATGCATGTTTCAGTCCATCAGCAAAGTGTTACCCTTTCGCCCTCCTGCATGTCGACCCGCTTCACTTTCACTTTCCCACCTTTCCCCACCAGAGTTCTGCCAACTGTAGCCGCAGCCTTTCTCGCCCCTTTCCCTATCGTCTCACAAATTTTCTCGGCCTACAACCAGCTCTCAGAAGGACCTCACAGCAGAGCGAGCGTACCTGCTTCGAAGATATGCCAGCTGCTTCCAGCTTCCTCTTGAGCTCCTCGTCCTTTTCATTCTCCTTGCCCAGTGGAAAAATGCCTGCCGGGCAAGTCGGGCATGCAGCGCGCCTGCTGTACAGCCATTTCTCGAACTGCCTGGTCCACTTCGCTCCGAGTTTGTCACCACCCATCAACCGGAATTCCCCCGCCAGCTTGCTCATTTCTCTCCAACGGATCGCTTCTTCCACCGCCAGGCGCTGAACGTCTTTCAACAGGCTCCTCCTGTCATCTGGGTTTTGTGACAGCCTCGACAGTTGTGAGGACTCCTTGAGGAACTGATCCACCTTCCCCCCAACTTTGAACTCTTTGTTCCAAAGCACGCCATCGCCCGCTGTACTTGTTATGCTCTGCTCCCACAGTTGATCTCTGATGCGCGAGTTATCCGAGGATGCTGCTGTACTTGTCTTAACTGAGTTTTTCTTGTTCTTTAGCTGACTTATCGGCTCCTCTCGCATCTCGGCGAGCAGCCTCTCCAGCTCTTTGTCCTTGTTCATCGCCTCCTGTCATTCCACCCTTAACTCAACAGGCACCATCCAAGAATGATGAAAACAAAACAATCGAACTCATTCCTCGCATTTGTTCTACCTTCCTTACCCCGTTCTTTTTCTTTCCTCGTTCTTCTTCTTTCCTCACTCTCTACCTCTCCCTCTTTCTCCTCGCCCTCTCATCCTCTTAAGATGAATCTTTGCATCCCTCCTCTGACATCCTTGCCCCTCTCCTTCACTCCATCTGCATGTTGTCCTACTTCAAGCGCGTCCTATTCCTCTCTGCAGCTCTCGCGTTCCTCTAACGTTTCTTGCTTGCCCTCGAAGTAGAGATCGCCATAGTTGTCTTCACGTGCATTTCTCATATTCGAGCTCGCCTCAGATATATAATAGTCAATTTAGGAAGGGCAGATCATCGGATTGCTTTGCCAAAAATACCCTATATTTGGCAGATTGGTCATGAATATCAATCCAACCGGTACTCTCAGAGCAGAGCCTGATGAGGCTGACGGTCCGAGGCTCCGGCGGTGCCGACGGTCTCAGAGTCTGCGGCGGCGGCCAATAAGCTCTGCCCGGCGTCGCAGCGATCGTGACGGTCGCAGGCCGTCGCGCCTTATTGGTCGGGCCGCCGCTCACTGCCGCTCAGAGCCGGCCCCAGGCTGCTGGGCCGGCACTCAGGGCCCCGGCGGCCATTGATGCGGCGAGGGGTCCGAGGCCAGTGAAAGTTCCAGTGACATGCCCACGGCTGCGGGCCGGTACCTTGACGGTCGGCCCCGCCGGGCCCGGCCGCACGCGCGCCGGTGCCGTGACCGGGCCGGGCACCTGACTCCGTGTGCCACTGACGGTGAGGGCCAGTGCGCGGCCGGGCGGCGGCACTCAGGCCCGGGGTAGCGCGCGGCGGCCCTGCGCGGCGGCTGGCCCGGCCGGTCTGAGCGGGGATGAGATCAAGGGGCGGATCAGAACAATGAGCGAGGTGCCATGGTACTTGCAGCCGACATACACTGGCGAAGCGACGTCGATGGCAGGGCTGCCGTTCGGCATGTCGACAACGAGAGGTACGAAGCTGATAGCAAAGGCCAGAGAAGTTAGCTAGGGGCATGGCGATCGATCAGTCTTGATGTAGCAAGGGTTGGCGCGACTAGAAGAGTATACAAACATTCAGAGCTACCCTGCAAGTTGGGCAGGAAGAGAGTGAGGGCTGACTGAATGAGTAAAGAGAAGAGGGAATATTTGTTTGTTTTGATGAAGGGAGCATGATAGCAGGGACGTGTTGGTGACGAGTGGCAATGTTTGGAAAGGAATGATGGTTTTGCGACTGAAGTTTTAAACAGGACCTCCGTCAGAGAAGAAGGAGGAGTACGTGTCCAACGATTACTTCTGCGATGCCTGTGAGAAAGATTTCAAACTGTACGCGCACTACGAAGCGCACCTTGCAACGCACGTCCCTTGCTCCTTCCCTGGCTGCGTTTTCTTTGCTTCCCAGCGAATCGTCAAGGAGCATTACGCCAACACTCATGTAGGAGCCGGAAGTTTGAATGACAAGAAGAGGATGGCAAATTTTGACAGCCCTGAAGAAATCGAGAAGTGGCGCGAGGCAAGACGTCGGAACTGGCCATCAGCAACCAACATCTCCCGGAAACAGGAGGAGGAGCATGTGCGGAAAGCGCGAGGAGACTGCACGTCCTCGTCGCTGGACAAACGTAGGAAGGGACCGAACTGGGAGATCCGAGTGCCCAGAGACAGCACGTCCTCTAGGAAGACAGAAACGAAGCGCTCGGCCAACGTGTCGATGCTGCCCGGGGCGAAGGAGCAGAAATCGGAGGAAGGAGCCTGCGAGAGCCTGACTTCCCTCTTTTCCTATGGCTCGGACGAGTCAGAAGAAGCTCCGCCCGAGCAGGAAGCCATTGTTCGGGGAGAGGAGAAGTCGTCCTCCAAGGCCCAGGAGAGGGAGAGTGGAAGGGTGTGCAAGTATTTTGCAAGGGGGTATTGCTCCAAGGGAAAAGACTGTAGGTTTCAGCACGTGAAGCAGGAGCAGAAGCCGAACAGGAAGAAGGAGAGCGACAAGGAAGGGGAGTATGTGCCGCACTCGTGCATCAAGAGGAAGGGCCCGTCCCTCCTCGACAGGCTCCTGCAGAAGGACAACGAGAGGGATCAGCGGGTCGTCTTGCAGTGTATCCGACATCTCATACAGAGGGGACTGTTGGCCGCGTGACATGCGCTGTTGAAAGTCTTGCGCCTGAATGGAAGAGAAACTCTTTTAATGTACACATATTACCCCAAGATGTTTTCCAGAGACGCCTTGTTGCCTCCTTTCTTCTTGGCGCTCTCCGGCTCGTAGGCAGGAGGAGGGACGATTGGCTGGGAGAGGTCTGACCGAGAAAGCTGATCCATGAGGTCCTGCGATCCTCTCACGCTTGCCCTCTCGACTGCCATGATTCTCTCTCACCTTTATGTAGAAACTTCGCTCGCCTGCTGTCTCCTTGTCCCCTGACGAGTCCTGATGCTCTCCCTTGAGTCCAGAGAGCAACAGGAAAGGGACGAGGAAGGGGGGAGTGGGAGGGAAGACGAGGGAAGTGCAAGAGCAAGGAGGGAAGGAATGATGTGGTGATCTTAGCGATTCGCATTGAAGGAAGGAAGACGAGGAGCCAGCGGCAGCACCCAGAGGAGAGAGGGGACGAGGAAGGGAAGGGAAGAGAAGAGCAACCACCTCCATGACAGCCTTCAAGATTTGGACGGTCGCTTCCCGTATGTTGGGCATCATGTACATCTGGCAGCTTCTTCGCAGTCGCTCGCAGTCCTTGTACAAGGCTTCCTTCTTGGCTGGAAGCTGCGCAGTGTTCTTGAGGACTTTGGCCAAATCGCTCTGACACGCAAAGAAAGTGAATGACGGGGAGAAAGGAGAGTTGAACGATAACAAGGACAATGGAGGCGCGAGGAAGGGTAGGAGCAGGAGCCATCACAAAGGAAAAAAGGACAGTGGAATGTTGACGAACAAAACAAAGCTGCTTTTCTCTCACCTGAAGGGTTTCAGGAGAAGGAATTTGGCTGTCTTCTGCCATCAATCTTTGCTTCTTCTCCTTCTGCTGCTGAACTTTCAGATCCCAACCTCCTCAGCTCCATCCAACACCTTCGCATCTCCCTCTGAGCTCCTCGCACTCAGCCCCAAGTTGATGAGTTCCACCATCTTGCAACGAGACTTGTCAACGATCGCGGCATCACAGAGCGTCAGCTAAGACACCGGGGAAGTCAAGAGCAGCTTCGGTTGTAGCAGTCCTGCGTCAAGACATGGACGCGGGATGACCAGCATGAGCTGAGAACGGAAGATGTTTAGGAGAAAGGAAGCGGGGGAGGGAGACATCAACCTGAAGTTGATTTGTCTTCTTCTCCGAGCTCGAATTTTCACTCGCAGGCTGGTTCGATGGGAGCAAAAAGCAGCTCCTGGCCTCGTCTCCCGCCTCCTTGCCTACGTTGCATCTCAGGTCAGTCCGTTAGCCAGGTTGGCGCGTCAAACACGCACCTTGGGCTCCAGGCAGGAGATGGCAGACAGCAACCTGGCGGCATCGTCAAGTTGTCACACGTCTCCTGCAAATCCTCACCAGCTCGTCGGCCAACAAGCTGTTGAGGAGGAAGTAGAGGAAGGAACAGTTCTGCTGGGGGGTTGCGTTGCTTCTGAGATCAGGAAAGACGATGTGTTTTGAGCTTATCTACGCGAAGACTGTCACAAGATAATGGCAGCAGACACCAAGTGGTACGTCACCGGAAACTTGAACTGTGCGTAGTCACTCTTCACTTCAGTCACAAGAACGCTCTTTTGAATAAAGCTGTAGCACCAGCAAGTATTCAGCACGAACGGTCAGCTCAGCCGCCTGGATCACCCGCGGATGGCGATGAATGGCGGGACAGGGCCAGAGGATGGAGCATTCGGAACATCTGCACGAAGAACCATTAACAGAGGGAAGAATCACGATGAGCAAGGGACCACGAGAGCCCGTCATGCCATGAGAACTTGAGTCCACGGCAAGGTTGGGGTCTGGGTAGAGGGTGATACTTGTCTACACTCAGCAGTGAGAAGGGCACAGGCACCCGAGGTGACATGGATCGAGAACCTGGAAGTGACCGCAGACGATCATGCCTTGATACGGCTGGAAGAATCTCTTTGCTAGCATGGTGAAGGCATTCTTGTAGCCTCCAGTGTCCTGCGGCAGAATCATGAGCACAGGATGGAGGAGAGGGTGCACGTGCGGAAGGATGACGAGAAGCGATTGAAAAGATAAGATGAAGAGAGAGCATGAGGGAGGGAGGGAGGGAGGAGATGGAGGGGAGGGAGGGGAGGGAGGGGAGGGGAGGGAGGGGAGGGAGGGGAGACGACAAGAAGATGAGGAGAGGCTAGGAGGACAAGTCGAGCAGCGAGAAAGAAAGGATGACATGCCTGGGGGACACGAACGCTGACAAACAGTCCCCGAGACCTAAACACAGCGTGTGAGCAAGAGGAATATGGGGAAACCTCGACCACCTCTCCGCAAGAGTTTGGTAGATCGAGCAGCGATGCAGCTCGTCGTCAGACCCCATGGCGATAATGTGAAAGACTATGGACTTGGGCAAGTGGTTCACAATGTCTCTCAGCTGCCTGAGCTCGGCAAATGACGGAGCCCCGTCCACGACTATCACCACTTGGCAGCCGACCGCTGAGACGCTGAACTTTTCCCTGAGCAAGCTGCATGCAGACTTCATCGCCTCTGTGACGTTGGCCGTGTCCTCGAGCTCGATGTCGTACAATGCAGTCCTCAGCTTCTTGTGGTCTGTCCTGGGATCGTCCTCGAAGGGCACCAAGACTTTGCAGGAGCTGGACATGGTCATGAGGCATACTGGCTCGAAGTCTTGGCTGTTCTCCAGCAGCTGCAGGAAATGTAGTATTCCTATCAGTCCAAGTCAGCTGATAGCGCGTGGGCGAGGGGCGTCGTTGTACCTCGTTGTGCTACGTTCTGCCTGGTGGTTGAGTCGTCGGCAGGATCAGCGGGCCGCAGCAGCGAGGCAGAGCAATCAAGCAGGAGCACAGTGGGCATGATCAAGTGAGAGCAGCGGTCAGGCCGTTGGCCTCGGTGCTCATTCCTGTCAAAAGCAAGTCAAGTCATCATGAAGAGCCCCTTCTTCTTTCATCCTTGAGCATCTACCCTTGGTTGTGTTTCGATCGTCTACCTTCGCTCTCCAGCTCACCCTCCCTGTCTCTCTCCCTCCTTCTCGTCTTGTCTGGTTCGTTCTCCTCTCTCCCCATCTTCACATGTTTGCATTCCATTCTTCCTCCTAACGACCGTCCGGTCCGCTCCCCTCTAGCCTGAGTGCATTCCTCTTCAGATCCTGACCACCCCCTTGGAACAAAGGTCGTTTTGTGTGGGTCCTTGAAATAAATGGGTCAAGGGAATAGATGAAGGGTGGGTACAAAAGGTAATTTGACCAGGTAGGTTTGAAAAAGAGGGGGTCCACACAGAATCGATAGGGGTGGTTTATTGGCGGGTAGGTGCGCGCATGGCAGATTGGCATGAGATGAAGGAGGAAGGGCGAGAGACGGGGAGGAGACGGAGGAGACGGAGGAGAAGGAAGAGGGTCTGGAGGAGGAGGCAGAGATGATATTAAGTAGACAGAAATCACCATGCATGATTCAAGATCGAGAGATGGTGAGAAGGGGGGTCTTGGAAGACTACTGGCTCCATATTGTGTCATCCACATTGGATCCTTGCTGAAGATAGGACAAAGGTAGACAGGAAGATATCAAGAGTGGCTGTATGGATGTGTGAGTAGTGTGATTTTCATGCTGTGATCAAGAACAGGAGCACCGTTGAACACAAAGACCGTGTGCACGCTTGAAAAGCGTAGGTGGAGATTTGAAATGAAGATCCCCCAGTAGAGCAGAGGTTGCTGTCTTTCGATGGCTCCGAGGACACCACTGGATATGTATCATATCTTCGTTAAGACACTGTCGACAGGAGACTCCGATGGATCGTCTATGATCATGGCCAGCGTCGAGAACACCCCTACCAAGAAGGCTGGTACCCCCTCCAGGGTGGCTGTGCTGGCGCAGGGGTTTGTCCAGCCCCGGCCGAGCTTCTTCCTCGATGAGGTGGAGTCAAGGTTCTTGGATCGATCTCCTCCCCCTCTCGTGTCTGACCCTGAGGCACCAGGAAGAAGGAGAGGTTCTGGCTGCCTGCCGAGGCTGGGAAGGGCTCCAGCCTTAAAGGGATGCGGATCTCGATCAACAACGAGCCGGCGGTGGGCGACTGGCCAAGGATCATCTACGACAGCGGGCCGAGCATGCTCACGGGCTGGAGGCTGCGGCAGGTTGAGATCAGCCCTCCCTTCAGCTTCCCCGTGCCCGAGGGTTCCTACTTCGTGATCCTGTCCGAACCCAACTCGCAGCTCTCGCGCGACCGCCTGTGGCATCTGCACCAGCGGCGCACAGAGAAGTGGCACCGTTCTTCGAGCTTCCTCCTCCTCAGCTTCACGTTGATCATCTTCGCCATGTACGTCTACTTCTTCCAAGTGTGGCCGGCTGTCAACAGCCTCTCCTCGCAAGCCCCCCTGAGATTCCCTCAAGTGCAGTGGAACGGGGAGATGAGGACCCTGACGATCACCAAGAGTCCTTACCTCTTCTACATCCGCCTCCTCTGGACTGCCCTGGCCTGCTGTGTCTCCACTGTCTGCCTGCTCCGTGGGATGAGAGGGTTCGGGTTGTGGGGGAGGGCGACCCTTTGGTCCTTAGACGAGCATGAAGACGGGAACCTCCCCCCGTCAACCTTCACGTCGCCAAAGGAGACGCTGCCAAGTGCGATGGAAGGTGAGCTCTTGCTCTGTCGCTCCCAATGTGACGTCTCTCCTTGACACTCTCCCTGTCAGGCCCTCTGAATCGCTCCTTCGGATCCAAGAGCATGAACCGAAGCTTTGGAGAGCAAAGCTTGCTTGGGGGTATGGGGGTCCTGGGCTCTCCTCTCCCTGGCCCCAGCACCTCTCCTCTCGCTGCCATCAGTCGACGTGCAAACAACATCGTAATGTCACCGAGCAGAGGGATGTCCCTCAACCTGAGTGGGGGAAACCTCAGCTTCGGTTCACCCATCACCTCAGCCGGCAACGACTTCCTAAGTAACCTGTCGCCGAACGGACGGAACATGTCGATGCAGAGGTGAGGGGGATGAAGCTTCTTCTGCTGGGCGATTGACGTTTGCGGGCAGTCCTCCTCGATGCCACGTCACCTTCGGGCAAGTGACTTACGCTTCGCCTCTCTCCAGCCACGATTACCTGCAGGTTTGACAAGTTGGATTGCTCCGGCCGCACCAACTGATTGCCGTCCGCAGAAGAGCATCTCGCTGATGCAGACTCCCATGCGTGCTTCGGCCCTGGCCAACTCATCAGTGCGGTGAGAGGAGAAGCAGGTGAAGGAGGAGAAACTCACGACAGCTTCTGTCAGTTCTCCGACCCCCATCCTCCTACAAGAGCAGAGCAAGCCCTTCGACGAATGGTGCAGCGCTCGCAGGTCGGACGAGAAGATTTCTCCTTGCTATTCCTGTGCATCACCACGTGATTTTAGGGTGCGCCTGGATGACTCGAGCCTTGCGCAAGACTTACGTCGGAAGACGAGGATCGCTGGAGGCGCGTCCTACGGCAACATGACTGGGTTCGGTCTTAGCGGAAGCGTAATGAGCCTAGGAGGGAGCCCGAGCTCCTTCCTCTCTCCCAACAACACCAGCTCTGTGTCAAGGTATCTTCCTTTCCCCCCTTACAACAACTGACGAGAGGCAACAGCGTCCTGGACTCCACCAGGAAGCCGGTAGACAAGAACTATGCATGGTGGCTTCAGGTTCAGACGCAAGCTCTTCTTCCCGTCCATGCTAACTGTCTGTCGTCCCGCTCAGCATTCCAATGGTGTGCTGGAATACTGCTCCCGAGTGATCAACGAGAAACTTCAATGTGGGCAGAACGTCAAAGCTGACCTTAGCCCGCACGAGATCCTCAAAAAGAGCTCCCGTGGAATCCGCCAGTGGATTGCAGTGCAGGTGCTGGGGCATGTGGTCGAACTGCTCCAGCAAGTCGATCTGGACACCGTGAGGGGATACAACAAGCCTGCTGCTCAAGCGCAGGCCCCTGCTGCTCCCTCTCCCTCCATGCCAGCACCTTCTCCCTTTGGTGAGTAGGTGGATGGGTAAAGTAGTTCGATGACAATCTGAGCAGGAGGTGCCACTGGGTCGCTGTCCTCGCCCTTCGGGTTGGCTTCCAGTCCCTTCCAGCAGCAGCAGCAGCAGCAGCAGCAGCAGCAGCAGCAGACCCTGCAGGGCGAAGCTGAAGCCCAGGAGGCCGTTGAGCGTGCAAAGGCGATGGACAGGAAGCAGCAACTTCGGTGAGGAAGCTCTTTCATATCATCAGTTGGATCCTCTCGTTGCCCCGCACGTCTCAAGCTCCGCCTCTCTTCCTCCTAGGAATGACCCATGACGTCCTCGCAGGCAATACACTCACATGAAGCGGTTCCCCTCGCACGCGGTGGAAGCCTATATCAAGAAGAGGATCAAGGAGCTGGCAGGTGCGATGAAGGGCGAAGGGGGCGAAGTTGCTCATCCTTGCGAGCAGAAGACAAGGAGCTCTTGAGCTACACGTGGGACGGTGGGAGCCACGATCACTATGACGTCCGCCAGGTGCAGACGAGCCGAGTGGGAGGAGTAGATGCGGGCGACTCGCAATTCTACAGCGTTTACGCCCCCCAGGGGTCCTCCCTGATCCTCGATCCTCCTCTCGTCAACAGGTACCTCGATCTACCCCCCGCCCTCTGCCTTCCTCCTCCTGACCTGTGTGCAAGGGAGAAGAGGGTCTGGCCGCAGCACTACAACAACCAGCTCAACCACAGGGCGCTGCCGACTGACGCCGAGCTCCTGATACATGTGAGCTGTGAAGAGGGGGGGAGGAAGCAGCCGTGGGACTGAACGTCTCTGTCAGATCGTCTGCACCTTCTTCGACTTGAGGTCGGAAGGCCATCTTCCCCTCGCTGTCCCTCCTCCGTCCCCTCCTCTGACACTGCACGACAGGCAGCGGGCTCCGGTCAATCTGAAACCGGCCGCTCCTGCAAACCCTTCGACCAGCCCGCAGGTCCTCAGGAGATCCCATGCGAGCTGCTACCTGAGCCCTTCTTTCATCCTCCAGGCTCCCATGGGCACGTCGTCCCCTTCGGCTCGTCCTTCGGCTCGTCCTTCGGAACTAGCACCTTCGGTGCTCCTAAACCCTGTGAGTGCTGATTTCTGTGTGATGAAATCTGCGTCATCTTTCTGCTCTTGCAACTTCTTCCTTGACCCCCTTCTTCCTCCTTCCTCCCATCCCTTCCCCGCTTGTCTCTTCGGCTCCTCCCCCACTTTGCTGATTGCATTTTCCAGCTCCATTCGGCTCAATGCCTCAAACTCAAACTCCAGCTGTGCAGTCTACCAATGTACAAACAAGTAGCAGCAAGGTAAGGCTGCGATCCCCTCTCCTCATCTATCCCTCCCCCCTGCCCTTCCTTCCCTTCCCTTGGTGCCATCAACTCTTCCCTGCCCCTCCTCTTGCCTCTACTCCTGTTCCTGTACCTTATCGATGGTGCCAGCAGGACGTCAAGTGGTTTAGCACCGAGCACTTCTTCGCTGCGCCCATGCCAGGTAGCAGGCTCGCTCGTCCTGCAGCCTTGAGCAGCACTGACAGTGTCCAACAGACTCGGAGGACAACGAGAAGTTCAACCGCGCAAGCATGAGCTCGATCCAGACTACGGTGATGCCCCGCCTTGCCACGTCTCCTGCTCCTGACCTGAGACAAGGCCGACATGAAGCGAGAGCTGAAGAGCAAGCCCTTCTTGGAGGAGCGACTGTCTCATGGACGCGACAGGTGGAGGCTGAACTGTTCCACTGGCTCCTCATCCTGTTGCTGGCAGTTTACACCCTGAGTCGCACAAGATGTGTCCTCACTACGTGGTCTTCCTGGAGAAGCGACAGGTCAGTGCACGGCCTGTCCTTGAGTTTCTTCCCAACCTCATGGATGTTGTCAGAGCCTCGGGGCATCGAGCGCGGGGCTCTCGATGCGGAGCGACATGGAACAGGTTGACAGAGGGCCCGGCGCTTGCAGCCTAACTTACTAAGTTACGACATACTCAGGTGGTCCCTCGGCCCGGGCCAGACAACCTCTTCGACGCCCTGGCGGTGCTGGCGATAGAAGTGAAGCTGAGGAACAAGGGGAAGCTCGGGATGCTCGACCTCAACCACCCGAGTCTCAACCTGATGTCATTTGTTCCCGCTGAGCTAGCATGAATGGACTGATTGACATCTCAAGCGAGTCATTCGAGTCATTCCCGTAGCCGGCTCAGCATTAAGGCTTTACTCAACACTGAGTGGCCGCTGCCGGCCCCTGAGAGCAGTCAGAATCGCTAAAATCCATGAGCTAATTCTGTTTACCCCGAGGCAGCTCAGGTTACAGGTTGTCCGGGGCCCATCATGAGTCATTTCGCCGGTTGTCATCCTGCCAACATTCCTTGTCTTGTCAATCTTGCTCTGCCTGCTAAGTTTCCCCGGATCGCTCGACCTAACGGTCACTTTCCAACTACCCCACCTACCCTTCGAGGCTATGACGTTCCCACCAAAGCACCGCTAGCACGAGCTTTCCAGTCGGTCTCGCTTGAGTCAAATTCATATACAAAACAATATTGACTGATTTATCATGGTACTCCTTGAACTCTATGCAGTATTCGCACCCCCACCCCTGATCGATGTAGTACTGAGGGGTGGGTGATAATTTTTTGATGATCAAGGGGTCACTAATTTTACCGAGGTCATCGAGGTAGGGTCATGAGCCCTAGGGGGTCCTAGAGAGTTCCTAGCATGATAGAAATTCTAGAACAATAACGGCTCAGCCCTAGTACGGTGGGGGTGGAAAGGCAGTGGTGGGGTAGTGGTATCACTGAGAAATGAACCAGGAAGGAACAATGATTCAACATCGGGGGTAGGGTGGATTTAAAGATTTGAAGGCACTGGTGGGTCATCGGCACAACTACCCATTGGATTTAGGTGTTATAGACGGGTGAATTCGGGACTAAAAAAAAATGACGCGGTATCCGATTACGGTAGGAGGGGTGGTATCACACGAATTCAGGGGTCACTGAATTTGGTAGGTAGGGGCCCTCTGAGGGGTCAAGGGGGTTCCTAGAGTTGAACGTTTTCTCGTGGGGCGTATGTGAACGTGAGAGGTTCCAACGGTGGGGGTGGTTTTGATCGTTACAAGGGTCGTATGCCGTGAAGAGGGGGGTCCACATGAATGAGGGTACATATTCCTGTGGATTTCAAGGGGTACAAGCTAGACTTTTTGAGGGTAGGGGTAGTGAGAAAGGGTGTAGTCCCCTGAAGGTGGTGTGTAGGTTGGTAATTACGAGGATCAGATGAGGTTGGGGGCAAGACACGGGTAGGGTAGTAACAGTTATCTATTAATCTTAGTAATAGGGGGTACGTAGACTGAATCGGTGGGGTGGAGGACCCTACCTCAATCATCACAAGGTGTTTTACTTTGGAGGGTGGGGTGGGTGGCAAGGAAAGAAATCTTTGATAGGAGGGGGTCCAGGTAAAGGTTTGATTAAGAAGGATAACCTCGGGGTGGGTACGATTGAAGGGAGGTATCCAGGGGGTGAGGGTCTTATAAAATTTGGGGTGGGGGTGGGGGACGTCGGGTGGAGGGGCTGGAGGGGTGCGCAGGCTCTAAAGAGGCGAGGCAGAGAGGGAGAGGTAGAGACTCGCGCCTCGAACTCGTGCCATGTCCACCTCTCCTTCGTTGGCTCCTCAGCAACCCACCACCAGTGACTCCGCCACTACCTCTCCTGTGATCAACAGGGCGGCCTACCAGACCTCCTCCCTCATCCCGGGCGGCATGGTCTACCCCGGCGGCTACATGCTCTCCGGAAACGTTGGAACTTCTGACGTCACCACCACCACCGGACTCACTGGCATGACCTACGGCAGCTTGCCCATGGGCTACAGCACCGCCTACACCTCCTTGGCTGCCAGACCAGTGACCCAGGTTACCAGCCTTCCGGTTCAGAGCGTCGTGAGCGCCCCCAAGGTTCACACTGTGAGTCGCACGCCATTAGGTGTAAAGCAGGTCTGACGTCTTTTCCAGGTCACCGAGAGCCAGCAGGTCGAGCAGACTGTCCCCAAGTACGAGTACGAGACCCGCCCCATCATCGTCCCCACCCTCGTCCCTGTGGAGAAGACCATCATGGAGACCAAGCTTGTTCAGGTTCAGGTCCCCAAGATCATCACCACCCAGGAGCTCCAGAACGAGACCCGCTACATCCAGATCCCCAGACCTGTGTTCGAGGAGAAGAGGATCAAGGTCAAGCGCCCCACGGTTGTGTATGAGGAGCACGAGATCGTCACCACCCAGCAGGCCTTCGAGACCCGATCTGTCTCTATCCCTGTTACCCGCACCTACACCACCACTGAGCAGGTTGTCACTGGCACCACTCCTACTGTTCAGACTGCTTCCTACACCACCGGTGCCTACCAGACTGGAACCGCCTATCAGACCGGAGCTACTTATCAGACCACTGGCACTGGCTACACCGGATACACCACCGGATCATACATGTCTGGATATCCCTACAGCACTGGCAGCGTCACCGGCACCACCGGCGCTACAGGCATGACTGGAAGCGTGGGACAGTGGCAAACCCTTGACGGACAGCCTCTTCCTGCTGCACTTCTCAGCCAGCTCAGCAGCGGATTGTACTCCACCAACGCTTCCAACACTGGTGCCAGCCCCGCTGCTCCTGCCAGCGGCGAGACCAAGCCTTAAGCACGAGTGCCTAACAAACATTGAATATGCACTGTAATATTGTTTGAATAAAGTGAAGAAACACTGAGTTTAGTTCAATCTGCAATCAAACGTTCACAAACCATGCTATATAGTTTCTGGTTCTGGAAAATCTCAGATATCTGAAACAGATCAAACGAAGACAGATTCACCTTGCCCTGTAATGTTAACACAACGTGTGTATGTGCTGGTCCCCTGAGCTGTTCATGTACTTGGTCCAAGGAACCTCGAACGGGCTGTTGTTATAGGTCACATCATATGCCATTGAAACACTGAAATACCTCGCCATTCACCGAGAGCAGGATATCACCCACGTTCGTCTGATTTATATGCATTAGCACCAGACAGACAGACAGGTCAAAACTGCTTCTTTGCCTTACTTTGTGGGCTATATTGCATCTATCATCGAATCCCTGTACCATTATTCTTCCACTCATCTCCTGGAAGAAATTTTGGCTTGAAAGCACTTCAAAACAATTGGTTTACAATGAATTGAATCCCTGGATCTCCATTCCTGGATCTTTCGCTCAATAGACTGCACTCCGAACGACTATGAACAAGTTCAGCTTGTCAGTACAACTTTCTTTCCAATGATATGCTCACTTGTGTATTGCAAAGGCTTTGCGCTTTGACGTCGTCTGAAAAGATCCAGCAAAGGGTTAGCACAAATCTGTAGCAGATTGATCAAGACATTATCAGGAAACTTTTGCAACGGCACAAATCTCTCTTGTTTTACGGTTCCTTCAAACTGCATTTCGATATCATTCAAGAGGATTCGACAGGCCTAGAATTGAATTCATCACCTTGGGAGCGAAGTTCATGCCCTGGTAATCGTCCTGCTTTGCTGGACAGCAATCGCCTTGAAACAAGCACCAAATTTTATCCAGATCCATTCTTTCTCGAACCTCAGAACTGTTTAAGAGTCGTCAACAACATTTTCAAGTCATGTCTTGGTTTCCAACGGGCTCGCTCTTACACCAGATTCACTCATACACAAGACATCGATCTCATTCTATGCATCGCGTACACCAACTGTATTGCAGGGAAAAACTGCTCGTCATCATTCCTCGAGATGTCATGGAGATTCTCCTTCTTTCCTTCGTGAATGATGCCTAATCTTAATCCATCTGACACAGTTCAGGTCGGATGTGGCTACGCCCGCTGCTTTCGCATCGATATCTACTAGGCGCCCATTTTCACCCTCATTTCAAACCCGTATTGATCTCTCCAAAGCGACTTTTGAAATCTTTTTTTTCAAACTCAGTGACTCACTTGACCGTACGGGGCCTTGCCGGGCCGCCCGGCACTGCGGCTGCCAGCGCCACTGATCCGCCGCTCTCTGGCGAAAGCCCGCGAGCTGGACGCCTCAGCGTAAGCAAGCCGCCTAAGGCTAAAAGGCTCGAGAACTTTCGGATCAGCTCAGGGGCCGAGGAGGGCCCCGGAGCCTCACGCGGCCTCGGCCCGCCGAGGCCGGGCCCGCCGGACAGCAGTAAGAGGTAGGCGAGGACCGACTTGATATGTAAGCTCAGCAGCGTCATCACGTGATAGCCAGGGGGGTCACCAGTGTGTGGGAGGCTAAGACCCGACAAGGAGTGGCGGCTGAATCGCAGAGGCGCTTGTGGAGATGAAATGCCGCTGGGATCTGCAGGATGTGATCGACAAGTCGTTAGACTGACTTGCTGGATAGAGTATGGGCATGCATGAGATCCTCTCTCAACCTGTCGGCATAGATCGCCCCTGCCTCTGGCTTGAGAGCATGTTTGAGTATCAAGGGCAAACACAAATTAATGGCATTGCTTTTCCCTGTTGAATTGGAGATTACAGCATTTCGATTAGCCCCTGTGCCCCTCTCTACACGCCCTCGTCCTTGTCCAGCAATGACCGCTGTTGCTTCCAACAAGTAGAGGATGTATAATCCAATGGATCAACCCGAACACGGCCAGAGATTGTATGAAAACAAAACCCAAAAGGACGTGGTAGTATCGTGGGAGTTGAACTTCTGCAGCATGTCTCACTGACATGCGCGAGCTTGCCACACAATCGGGTCATCCGAGCACGTGTTCACGAAAGTGGTCCTGCGGAAGGTCAGCTCTTGCTGCACCCCTCCTCGCTCTTGAAGACGAGGACGTTCTGCTTGTTCTCGGGGTGGAGACGATCATTCCTTGCTACTTGCAGATACTGTACGGAGAAGGAGAAGGTGAGGCTGACTCGGACACATGACTTCATCCTCTGTCAATTCGACGTACAGACGTTCTGCTCGAAAGTCCCTCCAGCTGTTCACGACTCTTTCATATCGTAAGATGCGGCGTCAAACTACGTCAATGGTTTCTGGGGCTCGATGACATCATACTTGCAAACCATTCGCTTTGGATAGTCGAGATAGTGTAGAGGATGACTCACTGAGTCAAAACTCTCTTACTCTTCATCGCATGTCAGGTAGACGGCATGAAAGCAAGTCGTCTAGTAGCATTGGAGCTCCTTACAATGCGCGGAGAACATCTTTTGGGGTTTATTGAAAATATTCATTGATTTTCTTCTAGATATTTGAATATTGAGAGGTAATGTTCATGGATGGGCGGGAAAGGGACTTTCTTTTTCAATTTGAGCTGAAGTGATTAATGGTCTGATGGGTAGGGGTTGGGAATATCGACAACGACACAAGTGGGGCTAGGTGGGGGTATGAATTGCTCAGAAGTAGGGGTGATATCCAAAATAGTGGGGTAGGGGTCATTGTAACAGCGTAGGGGTCGGAGGGTCGGGTAGTACTTGTTATTAGAAGGAATGGCGGGAGAACGGCGGGTGGAGGTGACGAAGCGGATAGGAAGGGAGAGGGGAAGGAGGAGAGGGTTGTAGGGAACAGACATGGCAAGGAACAACCAAGTTGAAAGAGCATTTGAATGATAGACTGTAAGAGATTTGAGAGAGATCGTGATGGAAATGGTTGATTCATTTGTGAGACAGAAATGTTTGATTGGTTCTCGATCCTCCATATTTTCACAATCTTAAAGACCCTTTTGTCTTCACAACGTGAGTGTTGCATTTAGTCTCCCGCTGTGCTGCGTGATGGCCTATATCTGATTACCATTAGACCCCTACTTCTATTCGAAGGTGGATTGTTTGGAAAGATCTTTGCGTATGTGTTGGTCCTTCTGATCAATACTTTTGGCAAGGTTTTCGGGATCTAGAAATGCTTGCTGTTTGGCAAAGGCAGCAAAACAGAAGCGTCGATGTGGATTTCTCATACCCTCAGCTGGAAAAACTTGGACTGATTCGGGCTGGCAAACAGTGCGGGCCAGAATTTCACCACTCACATTTGCGTTTTTCTTGCTTTGACGCTGGAAGGTTGAGAGTAGAGGTCTACGGGAAGAAATCATTCGGGTAGTTTCACTTTGCCAGGATTCCCCATCTGATTCCTGTCTTATTGGATGATCAGGCATCGCACACAAGATTTTGTCGGAAAGTTGCCCGAATCAAAGATACAAGCTTCTCCATTCTATGTACAACCACTGCCTGACTGCTGTGGACATTTTAAGTTTTACGTTTGCCCGGTAGCTTGCTTGTTTCTTTTAGGAGGGTGTGCGCATTTTGCTGAATGGAACATGACAGATTGCTGCTGTCACCTTGATTCTGGAGATTGCAGATCAAAAGAAAGATTTCCAAGGCCACATGCCTGTCTCAGCGATCCAACTGCCCGAAAATTTCGAGCAGCAGATTCATTCAGCCTTACAGATCATGGCTCTGATCGTGGCGGGCGAGGACCATCAGATCGAAGGGGATTGTTGCAGGTTCAGTGCAAGTCCAGCTGCTGTGATCATGGCTTCGGGTCTTGTTCGTGCCATGGCAACTCTGGTTGCAGCTGCGATGGATGAGAACGAGTACCTTACTTGCATGCAAGTGTTGAGAGGTCAACTCCTCGCATTACCTGGGGTCAGCTTTCATGCATGGGCGATGTGGGTATGCTGAATTCGCATTGTAGGTGATATGGCCTGGCAAGCAAGCGGGAACGAAGCGTTCAGCAGTAGATCTTGCCAACATGTATCAAGAGCATCGACATGAAGTGAAGCGGAGACAGGATGAAACCAGGTACAGCATTCTGAATGACGAAGTTGAGTGAAAACTTACATTTCCTGCCTTGCTGGAGCAGACGGTTGCAAAATACCATCAAGGACTTGAGGGCAGAGAATCAGACTCTCAGGATCACAAACAGAAACCTTACAGAACGCATAAACGAGCTTCTAGCTCAGGGCCATGGTAGAGTGGACACAAACGCATCTATGGTGTCCTTAAGTATATTTACCTCATCCACGTTGAGCATCACCAACTGATGATTTTACAGGCTGGGGACAATCATGATTGCCTAGGCACACTGGGAAAGCAATTTTGTAAATGTGAAGGGAAAGCTGAGCGCTTGAAATCTCTGGCGGAAAGATTTCCTCCATACCTGTAAATTGACTGCGATTTTTGATACCAACACGCTCGTCTGAGCGTGAGAGCATCTGATGAAATAGCTGTTGTGATGCAATTCTCTTGCATTAAACGTAGGATCTGTGGAGTTATTGTCGAACGAGAGTGCTGGTGTTGCATGTTGATGTGGTCCTTGTACGTGTGTGCAGCAAGTAAAATCCTCGAGACACAAATATAATCTGAAATAGATGATGTTTTGTGATGTGATTGATAAATCCGCGTTTGATTTGTTAGTTCCTATCTAATCTCAGAATCATGCGTTGCTCATCATGTCTTGATTGAGTTCATTGTTTCCTCATGATGGTGGTGATCGTTAATGCCCCAAAAGCACACAAAATGCATTTCCATTTCATTCTGTCGCAGACACAAAGCTTTTTGCAAGACTTTTCTTTATTCATCGCATAAGCATTTGTTTCCCTCCATTGTGAGGTTACCTTCATCCAGACAGCGCTATCCTTGCCTCTGTCACTGGTTCCTTTCATCCTTCTACAGTCATCCTCCGTTGCCTAAACTCGGAGCCTGACCCCCACCTGTCGCACCAACCCATTGCATTCATCCTTGCTTCGGTTAACCCAGACTATCGGCATTTCTCTACCTCCCTCCCTCTGTACCTACCTCTGTACCTCCCTCCCTCCCTCCCTCCCTCCCTCCCTCCCTCCCTCCCTCCGGCCCCTTTCCATCTTGTGCATCCAGTTGCATACCTTTTGCCTGCGTGTGGTCTTCCCTCACCTGGGTACCTCTGCCATCATTCCTCTGCTATCTTACGATACTTCTACCTCCTCTGCTCTGCTCTGCTCTCTCCTCCTCGCCCCCTCCCCCCCCCCTCCCCCCCCTCAAATCTCCCGCTCCCACCCAGCTTGTGCTTCTCTCGTTCTCCTGTTGACTCCTTCCCAGCATTTCCCTGCGCCTGTCCATTCCGGTAGTTTCCTTTCGCTCCGAAAAGGTTTTTATGACGGAGGTGGGTGCCGTGCTGATCCCACGTGGCCTCCTTGGATGGTCGAAAAAGATTCTTTTCGAATAATTGAGATTCGAAACGATCCGTCCGATCTGATCACATGATAAATGGTGAATTTATAATATCTGAATCGGTCAAACAACGGGGTGGGTTAACCATCAATAGGTGGGTAGTGGGGTTGAGGCTGTGTATAAATGAATTTATATTTATATAGCTTATAATCACGTGAGCGAGGCTTTGGCAGGTGTTGTTTTGTAGCGGGAGGGAAAGGAGGGGAAGGGGAGTGAAGGGAGGGGAAGATAGGGCACGAAAGTAGAGGAGAGAGCAAATCTTGAAGAATGGGAACTGGGCCATGGTAACATTTGCGTTTGGAATAGCAAACGAGGAAAGAAATGAAGCAGAACTGGAATTTACACAACATTCGCATTGTAGTACATGTATACTAGAGCAGAGGAGTGTAGATCAGAATGCGTAAGATCCTTATTTTCTGTCCTGTTCCAAAGATGTTCCACCTCCTCTGTCTTTGTCATGACGGTTTTCTTGCCAGGGTCCTCGCTCAAGGATTCCAATATGTTGGGCAGACCGCAGGTAGTAATACTAATGTGTCCTTCCACCCTTGCCTTACTTTCTATGTGAAGCTGCCAGTGTCGCTGCTTCAGTCCAGCTGGGACGAATTTCTCTTGTTCAGGAACTTGAGCACTGAGGAGATGAATGCCTGCATCTCGCGCATGAAGGTCAGGACGTTCAAGGCTGGACAGCAGATCCTGAAACAAGGAAGCATTGGAACTACAGTGGTAAGTCATGAAACCTCTTGTCCTCTTGTGCTGCCTGCTCTCGAGCTAACAGCCTCGCCTCCAGCATTTCATCGATGTGGGGAGGGTGAAGGTGATTCGCGACGGGGTGTTGCTGTCAGAGCTGAAGGCGGGAAGCATGTTTGGAGAGATCTCCTTCGTGGGGATGTGCAAGAAGGTCATGAGGAGGGTCTATGGGAGCAGCCAGATCGAGAGGACCTGCAGCATCGAAGCGACGGACCTCACCCGAACGGTTGAGATCAGCGTGCAGGACTTGTTCTTGTCCCTGCAGTTTGACAGCTCGGGCGAGGACAGGGTGATGAGGTAAGGCATGCTCCTGCCATCGTGCCGATGATGCTGAACTTGACGCGCAGGGCGTTGGAGTCTTGTGAGGACCTCATAAGGACCCGGAGCATGAACATCCAGCAGCTGGTAGAGGAGCCGGTGGACTGTGTGCCGGGCATGCTCGAGGCCTGCGACAGCCCGCTGTCCTCCTCGGATGAGCCGAGCGGTCCGATGGTGGAAGTGAGGAGGCACCAGAGCCCTGAGTTCAGTGCAATGGATAAGGCCATGGCGGCAAGGAGATGCCTGCGGGCGGCATCGCCAGGAGGGGGCGAGGAGAGGAGCGAGGAGATCGTGCGCAGGATAACGATCCTGGCGGCTATGAGCCTGTACTCGCGGCAGGAGACGTACAGCAGACCGTCGGCTGACACGAGGAGTGTCAAGTTCAGCGAGCGATACGTGATGGGAAAGAGGATAGGAGACGGAGCCTTCTCCACCGTCAAGGAATGCATCAGCAGGCAGGACGGCAAGAAGTACGCGGTGAAGATCCTGGCGGAGAAGAACTCCCTCTACCACCACGAGGTCCGTAGCCCCCGCACGCGTGCTGCTGCGTCTTGCTGACGGCTCGGCGCAGATCAAGGCGCTGAGGAACGCGTCACACCCCAACTGCGTGACTATGGTCGACGTGTTCGAGGAGGAGCGAACGTACCTCGTCCTCGAGCTGTACGTCCCTTCCTCTCCTTGAGACTCCCCAGTGACAGGAAGTGTGTCAGGTTGTCAGGTGGGTCTGTGCTGGACAGGATCGTCGAGTCCGAATTCTTCTCCGAGAAAGACGCGATCTTGGTCACCGGCAGCATCCTCAAGGCGTTGGAATATTTGCACTCACAGGGGATTGTTCACAGAGATATCAAGGTGATGGCCTTGCTACCTCCTCCCCCTTTCATCCTCCTCCTCCTCCTCCTCCTCCTCCTCCTCCTCCTCCTCCTCCTCCTCCTCCTCCTCCTCCTCCTCCTCCTCCTCCTCCTCCTCATCCCCTCTGAGTCTCACTCTGCATCTCTCAAAACTTCGCTGACGAAGTGGGTCTGCAGCCAGAGAATCTCCTCTACGTCTCCAACGATCCTTCATCACCTTTCTACCACACTGTCAAGGTCTCCGACTTCGGCTTCTCCAAGCACGATTGCCAAGTCTTGAAGACCGCCTGCGGCACGGTGATCCTTCTCCTCCTCCCTTGCCCTCCTTCTGAACTGACCGTCACCTCCCTCTCCAACCCCCTCCTGCTCCTCCTGCTCCTCTTGCTCCTCTTCTCTCTCTCTTTCTTGTCCTACTCTCCTCTGTATCGCCCATCCCCGCCTGACCCGTCGGTGAGCAGCCGGAGTACATGGCGCCGGAGGTGCTCGAGACGACGTCGTCGGGTTATGACGAGAAGGTGGACATGTGGTCACTGGGTATCGTCGTGTACGTCATGCTCAGCGGCTTCTTCCCTTTCCTCAGCAGCTCCCGTCCTGCTCTCTTCAAGAAGATCGCAGCTGGAGATTTCACCTTCCCCTCCCCCTACTGGGACTGCGTATCGGACAAGGCCAAGGACTTCATCAGCCAGGTGCGATCAGTACACCAGGCTCCTTCACCTGCGCCTTTCCTGCTTCCTCGACCTCCTCCTCGTACACTCATTCCTGCCTCCCTGCCTCCCCCCACCCCCTCTCCTCATCCTCCTCTCCCCTGAACCTTGCTCCTCTCTCCTCCCTCCCTTCCATTGATCCTGCGCGTCCTAAAATGCTGCGTGCAGGCTCTCAGGGTCAAGTCTGAGGAGAGGATCTCAGCATCGGCTGCCCTGCAGCATCAGTGGATGACTGAGGGAGTCAGCCAGTGCGAGACAAAACTGCACGGGTAAGGAGAGAGGGCAGGAAGGACAGGGGCAGGGCAAGAGTATGACAAGCAAGGGGGAATGAACGGGGGGTCGAGGAGGAGGAGGAGGAGGAGGAGGAGGAGGAGGAGGAGGAGGAGGAGGAGGAGGACATACGAGGAGGAGGAGGAGGAGGAGGAGGAGGAGCTAACAGGGTCGGCAGGCTGCATCGGGCCTTCATGCTCATTCGCAAACTTCCTCTCTTCGACAGCGTCGACCCGTCCTGCCTGCAGGAAGTAATCAAGTGCCTCAAGACCGTCAGAGTTGAGCCGGGAGAGTTTCTGATCCGCTGCGGGGACGTCGGAGACTGCATGTACTTCGTCAACTCGGGCAGGTAACGATCATCTTCTGGTCCTGCTGCCCCTTTCCCCTCACTTTCCTGCTCCCTTCTCCCACCCTTTCCTCCTCCCTCCTCCGCCTTCACTTCTCATTCCGTCACATCCGTCCTCCCTTCTGCTCTTTCCCTCCATTCAGCTTCTACAGCTCAAGCACTGCTCTTCTCCCCCCTGCTCTTCTCCCCCCTCCCTCCCCACCCTCTCTCGCTCCCACGTCTCACACGTTTGCTTCAGCGTCAAGATCATGTTGAACGGGGAGGAGATCGATAGGCTGAGCACAGGTGACTTTGACGATCTCCCTCTCCCCCTCTTGTCCTCTCATCCTTGCCTCTCTTTCCCTCCCTTCCTCCCTTCTTTCCCCTCCTCACCCTCGAGCTCTTGCAGGCGACTTCTTCGGGGAGGTGGCGCTCATGCTATCAAAGAAAAGGATCGCCGACGTCATCTCCCTGGGCAGCAGCAGGGAAGTCAAGGTCAAGAAAACCCTCTCCTTCCCCGAGCCCAACTCCACCTCGAGCATGCAGCATGGCAGCATCAAGGGAACACGGTCCTCCTCCACCGACTGCAGCTTGACATGGGGAGAGGAGAGGAAGGGGGTGAAGTCACTAGAGCGGGAGGTTGAGGAGCGAAAGCCAGTGGAGCTCTTTCAGCTCATGCGGACGGACTTTGAGAGCATCGTGTCCAAGTTTCCGATGCTCAAGGCGAGGCTGGCGAGCATCGGAAGGGTAAGGGAGAGAGATGGAGGGGGAAGGCCGAGAGGGGAGGGAGGGGGAAGGGAGGGGGGAAGGGAGGGGGAAGGGAGGGGGAAGGGAGGGAAGGGAGGGAGGGCGGAGTACGTGGACGAGGCAACGGGAACGAGGAGTTGACTTGGAGTTGATTTGGTTCGCAGGCTCGTGTAAGAAGGAAGGACAGCTTCGTGAACAACAATGCCAGCGACGAATGAAGGAGAGGAGGATGAAGGAGGAGAGGAGGAGAGAAGGAGAGAGCTGTACACTAGAACATCGTGCCTTTAAGTTAGCGGGAGGATGAATCGTTTCTGAGCGAGTACATCATGAGAAGACCGCCATATGTTGCTGAAGGGGTCAGGGGAAGGGACGGGGGGCGGGAAAGGAGTGAGAGAGAATGAGAAGAGGAGAGGAGGAAGGGACAGCATGAAGCGTCATAGGAGGGAGACGGGAAGGGGAAGATGGAGACGACCAACGATGAGGTGAAGGTTGAGAAAAGGGAATGAAGGGGAGAAGATATCGATGAGAAAGAGGAGGAAGAAGAAAAGGTGGAAGAGGAAGAGACAATCAGGAGGAGCAGGAGCAGGAGGAAAGGGGGAGGGGGAGGGCGGCGTGAGGAGAAGGACCACGAAGGAGATTTTAATCCGACATGTCGTCGAGGATACGAGCTTCCCCCGACCCCTTCCTGTTGCTCCCGAACGTCAACCTGTTGGACTGCTTTGCGATCCTCGTCCCGAACTGGATCGCTCGCTTCACCTCCTGCGCTCCCCTCCTCAGCCCCACGCGCTCCGCCACCAGCCGCAGCAGCAGCTTGTCCCCGATCCCAGGAGGGAGGCTCATGTCGGCGATCGCGGAGAGGGGAAGGGAGGACAGGAACGACACGACCTCCTCATCGAGGAAGGGAAACCTAGCTTCCCTCCCATGGTACGAGATGCACCGATCGTCTCTCCCCAGGTTCCTCTGCCAGATCCGCTCCATGTCCCTGCCCATCTCCTGCAGGACTCCCTCCTCTCCTCCCCTCTTCATCTTCGCCCTGTACCTCGAGTACCCACACAGCTGCTCGTCCGCTCCCATCCCCAGCAGCAGCACGCTGCTCCTGCTCACGAAGGGCCTCCCCTCCCCCAGCACCCGCGCGATGGGCAACGAGCGTCTGCCCCGCACCCACTGACGAGGATCGGAGGAGGTGCCAGCAACAAACTCCGCCTCCTTCCCGCCATGGCCCTGGGATGCCGTAGCGTCCTGCTGGAGCAGAGGCTTCAGCCTGCCCAGCCATGGTCGCACCCTTCCTTCCCCGATCAGCCAGGAGGGACGCCGTCTCCTGATCTCCTCCAGCACCCGCTTCACCCCCAGCTCAGGGTGAGCTGAAAGAATCTCTTGCACGACCTCTCCGATCTCTGACCTCTGCGGTTTGTAGCTGCCTTCGGCACTCGCTTCCACTGCGGCACCCTCCCGTCCTGCCTCCCCTACTTCCCCCTCCGTCGCCTTCTCCACCAGCCTCTCTCGTCCCCCTTCCCCTGTCGTCTCTTCCTCTTCCTCTGCCTCCTTCCCCTCCTGCTCCTCCCTGCCTCGCTCCTCGCGCGCTCCGCTTGCCCTCAACGCTTGCAGGCGCGTCGACAGGTCCTCCTGCACGCGGACAGAGAGCTCCTCTCCTGCATCTTCCTTGGGATCGTCCAGCACAACCCCAGCAGCCCTCGAGCCGAACCAGAGAGCCGAGCCGATGTTGAAGTCCATCTGGGTGGCCCGCGGGAAGATCAAGCTGAGAATCTCTTCTCTCCTCTCCTCCACCTCCTCCTGCGTCACATCCACAACAACCAAGTTCCACCTCCTCCCCGGGAAGAGCTCCCGCAGCTCCCGCAGTGACTCGACGCCCGTGTAGCGGTCAGGAGCCTCGAAGGGGTCGAAGGAGACGTTGATGAGGTCGATGGCCATGCTCGGATCGACGTGACGATGCGCAAGGGCGGCAAGGAGCGTTGAGTCGAGCCCACCGGAGAACATCACGGCTACAGGGGAGCCGTCCTCCATGCCCGATCCCGCCAGCCGCCTCACTCCCTCCACTCTGCGCCTGACGCTGCGGTCAAGGAGGAGGAAGAGAGCCTGGGCTGCTTCCTCCATGCTCATGGTTGGTGACGTTGCGCTGATGTAGCAGGAGCGATGGAGGGGAGGCACTCGCGGTGGCCACTGGGTCTTGTGAAGCTCGAATCTCTCCTGCTCCCCCCCCTCATCGTGCAGCTGGAGGAAGAAGATCCCGTCCGGCGTCACCTCCTCCCACCCCTTCTCCTGTATGTTCCCTGCGCAGGAGGACAGTTGGTAACCGCCCCCGTCGATCCTCCGCATCAAGAGGCTCCTCCTCCCCAGTCGGTCTCGTCCGAACCATAGCCTCTTGGCCCTCTCCTCCCAGAAGATGAAGGCAAAGGGCCCCTCGATCCGAGAGACCGCCTGCAGGAAGTGCTCTCCTCCTCCCCCCCCGGCAGCACACGCCCTCGAGAATTGGTCGAGCACCACTGGGGTGTCGCTGGTATGCTCCTTCACCTCCATACCTCCAAACACCTCGCCGTTCCAGCACAGCACGTCTCCTCCTATCTGACCTGCTGGCTGCTCACACATCTCCCTGCCTCTCAAGTGAAGGACGGCAGCGAGCAGCGTAATCCTCCCTCCTCTCAGTTCGCGCGAACCCCAGCCATCCGGTCCTCTCCTCCGTAGGGATTCTCTGGTCTTCGCACTCAGCAGGTGGTCTCCTTGAGATGTGCAGCAACAAACTCCTCCTCCTCCTCCTCCTCCTCCTCCTCCTCCTCCTCCTCCTCCTCCTCCTCCTCCTCCATGAATGATGGCCACACACCCGATGCCGCACATGCCGGCGGGTCGCTGTCCTTGGGGTCTAGAGTAATCTCTGCTACACTTATACTGATGTCTTGTACTTATTCTATGCACCATGACTGAGGCGGGTCTACTAATCTATACTGGCCCGTCCTCCGAGGCTCGGAGCCCGCGTTGGCAGCCTGGATGAAGAATGGTTCCGAGGCTGTCCGGCCGGGCGGGGTCAAGCCCGCGGCGCCCTCCAGGCGGCTCGAGTCTACTCTCAGGGCGGCCTGACTTCCGGTATGCGTTATGCGTCTCATTCCTTCGGCGGCGGCCGCAGCGACATCGCTGGCATCATCATGGCATGGCGCGTACAGCATTGGCAAGTTGGGTTTGGTTCTCGCTGTCTTTTCTCTTCTCGCCGTTTGGCCTGTGCGACAGTGTCAGAGTCAAGCCTCCTCGTCTCTCCTGAAGTTGGGCCCTGAATTCGGAAGTTCTCAGTACTCGCCGGTATCCGGCGGGCCGGGCCGCAGTTACGGCGGCGGCAGTCAAGCCGCCGGGTCACTCGGGGTAGCCTGGCCCCGGCCGCGCTACTACCGGGGCCGGGCGGCCGGCCCGGGCTTCCGAGTTACTCTTGAAGCGGCTACCGGAGTACCATTCTTGACTATTTCCATTCTTGATGATTCACGACTGTAGTCAAATATTTGATGCGTTTGAAAGGAGTTGGGCATGGCGGATGATTGGGCCGTCTTCCTCCTCCTCCTCCTCCGCTCCTCCTCCTCCCTCTCCTCTCGCAGTCGCTCGTTCTTCTTCTGCTCATCCTCTACTGTCTAGGGTCCTGTCCTCTTCATCCCCTGCTCCTCCTCCTCCAGCTACATTCTCAGCGCAATCTCCCAACTCTGCAAGGCGCGCCGTTCGCCAAGCCGACCATGGGTCGTCTCCTGCTCACTCAGGAAGCCAGACGCCCAAGTCTCTGCTTGCCACACCCTCACCTCGACGAGCTTCGTCTCCTGCACTTCACTACCGCTCTCGCCCCCTTTCAGCACAACATCCTCCAAACCGAATCCGCCCTGCTTCTGCACTGTTGGTGCAGCGGGATGACTCACCCGTGAGCGGAGGGAGGAGCCGAGACGATCTGTTCTCTCCTCAATCATCCTCCGCCTCTCTCGTCAGCCTTCCTCTCTCCGGCTCACAGCTCGTCCGCGACTCCTCGCCATTTTTACCCACGCGGGATTCACGGAATGGCAGCGAAACTCGTGGCAACGGAAAGGTAAGAGCGTGCACAACCTGATCCAATGATCCTTCGTCTCACCACCCTCCCGCACACAGGCGATGGTACGGAAAGCAGCGTCTAGCTCTCTGCTGCGTCCTAGCAGGTTGAAAGAGCCTAAGTCGGGCCCACTGGGCGGGTCTAAGAGGAGCAACCTCTATGCAAGCTCGAGCTCAGTCATCCCGGTCTCTGACTCGAGGCGGAAGCTCGCTGCTAGCCGAGGAAGCTCGACGTATCGGTCGCAGGAGGAGGAAGAGGATACGGAGCGAAGACATCACCAGAGGCAGGACAAGAACCTTGAGTACCTCCTCAAGTCTGCCGACGGCCTCTACCCCCGCCGCTCCTGCTGGGAGGGCCTGAGCTCCAAGTTCTTCCGGGAGGACGCCATGTCGCTCCTCAACCCTGACGTCATCTACGGGATGTGGAGCTGCTGCCGCAAGTCGAAGTTCGCGAGCGTGGGGTGCGAGACGTCGAGTCATGTGGAGGACGGGGAGATGGCCCGCTGCTCGCTGTGCGACAGCATCTTCAACGTCCGGCTGTACCGCTCGATTCCGAGGAGCTCGATCTACAACCGACACTCCGTTGACAAGGCCTGTGCGCGACATGCTGGGGAGCTGGTGGCCAAGGGCGTCTCGAGCTACTACTGGACATGCTGCAACGGGTCCGAGGGAGCGCTCGGTTGCTCCAGGGGGAGACATGAGGCAGCAAAGCTCGAGAGCCTGGTGGAGTATGTGAGAGGTGAGACGGGACGGGACGGGGAGGAAGGAAGGGCAGAGTGGGGATGAAGAGGGAGAGGGGGGGATGAAGTGGGAGAGGGGGGAAGGGAGGAAGAGGGAGAGGGGGGATGAAGAGGGAGAGTCACAGAGGAAGGGAGAAGGGGCAAGGAGAGACGAGAGCATTGGAGCGAATCAGCAGAGAGGGAGAGGGAGAGAGAGAGTAGAAGAGAAGTCAAGGAATCTGACTTTGATCTTTTTAAGATCACAATGTCGAGGTGGACGACGAGGAGGTTCGCAAACAGAATTTGGTCTTTTGCATCCGATGCCTCAGGTTCGTTGATCGCAGGAAATTTCACGGTGAGTCGCTTGCGACAAAGATGAGGGGAGGAGGAGGAGGAGCAGGAGCAGGAGCAGGAGCAGGAGCAGGAGCAGGAGCAGGAGCAGGAGGAGCAGGAGGAGGAGCAGGAGGAGCAGGAGGAGCAGGAGGAGGAGGAGGAGGAGGAATGGGGAGGAGGAGGATTTGGTTGACTCGTTATGGGGGCAGATGCTGCCTGTAAATTTCATACCGGAAAGTACCTGGAGGGTCAGGCTGTTCGTCCTCGTATGCTTCTTCCGCTGGCACCTGGGGACATTTCGCTTCAAGCCACCTTCCAAAAGCTGATTGTAATTGCTACGATCTGATGTTTTCCATCATTGACATAGCCCTTGTCACTGTTTGTAAAGTCCTTGTTGTGAAAGACGAACAGTAATCATAACGATGATGATGACGATGATGATGATGATGATGATGACGATGTCGATGACGATGATGATGACGACAATGATGATGACAACGATGATGACGGTGACAACGATGATGACAACGATGATGATGATGATGATGAAAGTTGGTCAGTTTCATCGACTGGTGTAGAGTGACTCTCCTATCAGATTCACTTCAAAGCTCCTGAGCTCGGCGGGGAGTCAGGGTGTACAAATCCTCACCTGATGGCCATTGAAGGTCGAACTCCACTAGCCTGTGGCTATGCGCTCATCACCCACTTCGAGGTAAACAAGAGCTCCAGTCATCCTCCCTCTCAGCTTTCCTCCTTCGCTTTGCTCCTCTTCCTCTTCCCTCCTCGTTCTCTTTCCTCCTCCTCCACTTCCCTTCTCGTTGCGCTCCTGTCCCTCCATCTGAACCTCCTCCCCTCCTCCTTCTCAACCACATTCTCTCTCGCGTCTTCCTCCTCTCTCGCCTCTTCTCTGATCACCTTTTCAGGTCCTCATCGACAGAGGAGCAGGCGGCAAGTTGCGGTTCGAGCGATCGGAGGAGGTTCTCAGCAAGAGCGCGAAGATCTGCGGGGTCTACAGGAGCGACATGTGCAAGTCCATGCACATCCCAGCTGAGCCGAGGGAGCACCTCTCCCACCTCAGCCTCGAAGCTGAGCAGCAGCTGGAGAAGAATGGCAGGGACGTTTTCCACTGCGTTCAGATCATCTCCTGCACAACACAGAAGAACGCAGGGAGGCCCTTCCCGGGATGGAAGGGGGACCACAGCGAGGAGGTCTTCTTCCGTATCCCTGAGGTGAACACTCCTCGTCCTCCCCGTCCTCCCCGTCCTCCTCGTCCTTGTCCTTCTCCCCCTCCTCGTCCTCCCCATCCTCGTCCTCCTCCCCATCTCGTCTCCTCCTCGTCTCCTCGTCTCAGTTCTGCTCCTCCTGATTGCCTGTTCTCTTCATCCCTCTTCTTTTCCTAATCTCCTCGTCGTCTTCCTCCTCCTCCTTCGTCTCCCTCCTGTAAACTTTCCTATCAGATCGGGAGGCCGGAGGTGGAAGTTAGGGATCATTTTGAAGTCTACCGCGCTGTCATACTCAAGTGGAGGATCCCTCCTTGCACGCAAGACGCAGGCGTGCGATGCTTCAAGGTGCGGTGGCGCTTCATCCTCAACTACTGGGGAGAGGAGGAGGAGGACGCGGAGGGAGAGGAGGAGAAGGAGAGGAGGAGGAAGATGGAGGAGGAGGGAGAGCTTATCCTGGGAGACTCGACCTCCCCCATAGCTAGTGGAGGATGGAATGAGGTGATAGTGAGCGGGTCTTCCCGCAGTTGCAGCCTGTTTGACCTCCGCCCTGGCTGCCTTTACGAGTTCTATGTAGTTGCCTGCGGGATCGTGCCCGAGGAGGAGGAGGAGGAGGAGGAGGAGGAGGAGGAGGAGAGGGAGGAGGAGGAGAAGTTCAAGGCCAAGGAGGAGAAGAGTGCCCAAGGAGTAGGGGACAGACGGTCGCAGCTTCTGCAGGGGGGATCGTTCAAGTTCAAGCAGACGAATCGGGCAGCAGGGAGCTTTTCGAATCTGATCGACATGTCCACCACGAAGAAAGAGGAGGGCAAGGGTGCAAGCAAGCAGCAGGAGAGCGGCAGTTCGTACACTCTAGAGCTCCTCCTCCCCTGCTACGGTCAACACGAGATGGCCTCTGAGCGCGTCAGGATGGTCACCATGCGCCGACCCGCCACCTGCTCCGACCCCTGCGTTCACTTTGTGTGCTCCTGCAACCTCGACCTCCCCTTCCGCCTCCGTTGTGACCTGGGGATGGAGGAGAACATGGAGATCTACTGCAGCAACTCGCTGGCCCTGTGCTGGAGGAAGCCTCGAGACTTCGGGGAGGTCAAGGTCAGCGGCTTCAAGGTGGTGGAGGATGGAGGGCGGAGCTTCTGGATCTCGGAGGAGCACTCGACAGAGCTAGCGGGCATCCTGCTCAGGTCCGGCAGGATCCCAGCTAGCCTGATAGAGGAGGAACGGGTCCGCTCTTTTCTCCTCCCCGTCCTGCCCGCCACGAGGTACAGAATCCGAGTGCTTGCTACCACCAGGAACCCTGTGGCGGCCGAGGGAGACGATGCTCCTCCTCTCCTCTTCGTCTCTCCTGGGGTCCGGGCTCCTCGTCTCCAGCTGATCTCCGCAAACTTCTCCGCCACTATCGGAAGTTCCTTCCTCCTGCAGTGGTTCCCCCCTGAAGAGCTGGGTACGCGCCCTCTCCTCGGCCGCGTGAGGGGCTACACGATCTGCTGGGAGGAGGAGGAGGAGGAGGACAAGGCAAGGAAGCGGACGAAGAGCATCTACCTGTCAACGGCTGAGGCGCACATGTTGGAGCGATTGAATGTCGGGATTCACAAAGAGCGCTGCGAGAGCGAGGAGGAGGAGGAGGAGGAGGAGGAGGAGGAGCGGGGGGGTGAGGAGGAGGAACGAGAGCAAGCAGAGGAGGAGGAGACGCGAGGGGTTCGGAGAGACTCGGCCATGCAGCGCGTGCTACCGACGAGGACGGTGGAGGAGTTGGAGAAGGATGAGGAGGGGACGCTGACGCACAGGAGCACGACTTTCTCCCCCTCCCAACATCCTCACTCGCGCCATGTCGTCGTTGGTCGAGCGCAGGTCCCTCCTCGCGGGAAGGAGAGGGACTTCCTTCTCCGCCTGCGGGACGCCTCCTCCTGCTTCGTCTGGCTCTCCGTCGACTGCGAGCACTGTGAACCCGAGCACGCGTACCTGCGGAGCGAGAGGCTGCAGGTGCAACTGCCGTTCCCTCCCGAACGCCCATGGCTGGAGAGCGAAACGATCCTGAACGAGGAGGCGAGGAGGACGATGAGGCTCTTCGCGCAGCTGTGCATGGCAAGCGAGCAACGGGAGGACCTGCTGCGAGAGATCAGTGAGTTCGACAGAAGGGCGATTGATCCTTCCCGCCTGTGGGTCAGGACGAGCGAGTGGAACCCGCTGCTGGAGCAGAGGACCAGGAAGACAAACTTCCGTCGCCTCCTGCAAACCGAGTCGGAGATCCACTCCCTCATGCAGCAGCATGCGCATGCCCGTACGCTCGCGTCCTTCTCCCTCCTCCTCCGCTGGGTGAAGCCCAAGGACTACGGGGAGGCAAAGATCTCGAGTTTCATCTTGCAGGTCGAGCGGAGGCCCTGGAAGAACGCTCCCTTCCGCACTCCAGCTCACATTCAGCTGGCCTCTGACGACATTGCCCAGCACGACGCAGGGCATCCGTACGAAGTGAGACTCGACGGGCTGAAGTTCGGGGAGGACTTGTCCTTCAAACTCTTCTCCCTCGCCCTCCTCGGCTCCTCCTCCCGCATCATTCCCCTCCCCCACTCCTCCTCCGCCTCTGCCCTCTCCTGCATGAAGCTCAAGGAGAATGAGGTTCCCAGCTTGCAATCCAACGAGATCGACTTGTCCAGCCTGACACAGTCGGACGCGATGAAGCCTTTCACCTTCGCCGTCAGTTTAGCCTGGTGGGTTCCTCCTATCTTTCTGCTATCGCCCTTCCTCTCCTATCGCCCTTCCTCCCTTATCGCCCTTCCTCTCCTATCCCCACTGCTCCGCTCCTATCCCCTCCTCTCCTGCCCTGCTCTCCTCCTCCCTTCCTCGCTCTTCCTCGCCCGTCTCACCTTGCTGGCAGGCACACACTAGACCTCAACTCTTTCAGCACCTCCCTGGTTGATCCCCCACCCTTCCGACCTCCTGCCTCCCAACCTCCGCCTTCTCGAGTCCCCTGGGTCCCAGCAGGATTTCAGCTGGGGGAGAGCACGGCCGACTTGCTGAGGGAGAAGCACGAAAGAGCTGAGAGTCTTGACCCGAGGAGCGCGATCTTTGCGGAGGGAGGAGGACTATCCCCGACTAGCAGGAGGAGGATCGCAGCGATGAAGAGCCACAAGGCGAAGCAGGTGGAGGAGGCGGCGGCAGCGGAGGGCCCGAAGGCGGCGACGAGGGAGCGGCTGCTGGCGCAGATGATGAGGAGGGCTCTGGAGAGGAGGAGCGACCCCGCGGAGCTGACGGAGTTCCGGCTGACGCTGGAGCAGGAAGCGCTGTGCCGCAACAATCTGTCCATGAACGCTCCCCCCGAGAGGAACGAGGAGATTCACGGCTGCACGCGCATCTCCAAGAGTTCCGCCAGCCTGCAAAGGAGCATGCTCATCGGGTCCAGGGCCGCAGCCATCGCAGGGCTGACCCCCGTGCAGGGAGAGCTCTCTTCCTCCTCCACTACTACCAACAACGCCGACCCGGCTGCCCAGCATCCCGTCGCCCCCCCGGCCTCCTCCTCCTCCTCCTCCCCCATGACGCTCAAGTTCGACGACGGGGTCTGCAAGGTCGTCCTCTTCTGGGTGCCTTGGATGCGCCATTGCCAGAGGATCCTCTTCCTTCTCGGCGAACTCCTCCGAAGGCACCGCAACCATCGGGGAGCTGGGAAGTGCAGCTGGGAGCTCGTCACCGTCGCCCTCCCTCCTTCCCCCGAGCAGCTGCAGCTGTACCCAGACCTCAAGGCTCGAATAAAGGAGGCGATCGATCAGCTCGACTCGGCGCGGGCCGCCCGGCCCCAGCAGGAGGGCGAGCTGGACGAGGGGACGTCCCGTAAGCCTGCTGGCGGCAAGAGGGCGACAAAAGGGACAGGAGAGAAGCTGAGAACTCCGACCCCAGCTGATCCCGACCTGGTAGAGAGCCTGAGCAAGCTGTCGCGAGTGATGGAGCGGACGACAGGACGAGCCTCTTCCCTCCTCTCGGGCGTTCTCGGCATCCCTGCTAGCCTTTCCCAGCAGATCGCCGAGCTGGTCGTCCCTCACCCCTCGGTCTGCCGGCAGGAAATCTCCTCTCCTCTCCTCGAGTTCGTGGAGATCCGCGACGGCCTCTGCGTCCGCCGGCGCCTGCTGGACAAGGCGGGTGGCGAGAGCTCCGAGCGCTTCGGGCTGGCCTGTATGAACCCTCTGGAGATGATGACGACAACTGCTGGGGACGTGCTGGAGAGATTGAGGATGCGGAGGGGGGAGGAGTGGAGGCACTTCGAGCTGAGAGAGAAGATAACCCCCCTGAGGTACGAGCAGCTTCCCAGCTCCAAGAGCCGACGATTCCAGCTGCTGCAGGACCAGCACACGGCGCTGCAGGAGACGTACCGGATCTCGTCTGCTCCCACCATCCTCGTTGTCGACCCCGAGGGTGTGGTAAGCTGGAGGGGTACTGGAGGCTGGAAGGGGCTCGATGAGAAGGCGCTGGACACGGGGAAGGCAGCTGAAGATGCTTTCCTCCGCTTCATAGAGGAGAGAATCCGCATAGCCTGCGGTCACACGGAAGGAGGAGGAGGAGGAGGAGGAGGAGGAGGAGGAGGAGGAGGAGGAGGAGGAGGAGGAGTAGGGAGGAGCGGCCTGTCCTTGTACAAAAAGCAGCACGAGCGGGGCACGAGGATACAGCCCGGGGAGGAGGCGCACCCCGTGGCATGGCCGTGGGAGGCGATCGACCAGGACGAGGCTCGGCTGAGGCTCGAGGAGATGGACCGGCCGAGGAGGAGCATCGTGCAGGCGCGGCAGCAGATCTTCGACCGAGCAACCCGGTGAGAGCATTCCCAGCAGCAGGACCAGCTGCTTCCTCCTCCTCCTGCTGATTTCCCCCCAGCAACACCGCAAAGTTCTCGAAGCACGGGCGGGAGCTCGAGATGCAGGTGGGAGGATGGCCTGGCTACAGTGGAGCGGGGGATTGTGTTGAAGAGTGTGCAGGCGATGGCGTTTTCGTTCGAGCGATGGAAGCGGAGGGCGAAGAAGAGACGACGATGACGCGGGGCAGGAGCTCGGGCTCGACATGGTGGAGAAGGGAGGGAGGGAGGGAGGGAGGGACGGTCGGGTAGGGAGGGGGAGGGGAGGTAGGTAGGTAGGTGGGGGGGGAGGGGAACGGGAGGGAGGGAGGGAAGAGATGTTTGAATGCGAGGAATGAGACAGGACGAGTAGGAAGGAAGAAGACAGACCTCCATACATTACCAACCTTCTCACTCCGTTGCCTCAGCAGTCAACAAACCCTGCCTCTGCCATGAACTCCCACCTGCACCTCAGACTCAATACCCTCTCCACTTCTGCCTCCCACCTTCCTCCTTCCATCCTCTAGCCTCCCTCCTCCCTCCTCCCTCCTCCCTCCTCTGTTCTGTCTCCCGTCTCCTTCCTGTCTTGAATGCTTCCTCTCCTCTCTTG